TTCTTATATCTCATAGAATCTGATATAACTGTTGTTGGAACAATCTCATTACATGAACAAATAATAAACAAATCCTTCAAATGATAGTAATAACATCTTTCCAAAGAATGCTTATGACGTGTAAAGTACAATGTAGTGCATCACGTTTATATTGCATCCGTATATAAAAAGTATATGGAGGAGTACAAATATTTGAACAAATATTTACTTGGGAGACGTTACAAGAATTAGATGGCTGGTTCAGTGACTGTAGACGTGATTGTGATTCATAGTAAAGATTCTTTGATTAGCTCAACAGGTGGCAGTCTATAGGTTACGTCATTGGGTGCAGCTAATTTTGGCTCAAGAACAATATCTAGTAGAATTCATCAAAGCTTTAAAAATAAAAATTGGTTACGCGATATTTTGATGTATTTTAGGTAAACCCTGTGTTGATGTCCCGTAGTTCGTTAAACCGTGGCTTGAACTTCAGAGGAAAATATAATAATTAAATTATTTATATAGCCTACCTTAAATATTTGAAATAACTGAGTAAAGTAATTTTTAATCAAACCGGTCGAGAACCCCAATATGTAACATGAGCTAACACCTAAGCCTTTTCATGTCAGTTTTAACAATTATTGGACTTGTGTGGGGATGGGGGTACATATAAGCTGTTTAGTTTCGTATCATCAATGCCATGAGCGTAAGGATTATACAAATCAAAAAATGCATGTATCCTTGTCCCAGTAATACAAGCATAGCCCCACCCTTACCGGGTGGAGGGGCGGGGGGGGGAGGGGTCGTTGTTATTAACCAAGGGGAAGAAGAAGAAGCGGACCGTGCCAAGTTTATTTTAATATAATAAATCCTATATAATTTCAGGACCTTTTGCTCAAATGCTTTCAGGATGCGACCATGCTCTATGCCCCACAATATCATTGCCACGTAAATCATATGGTTGGTTTATAAAATAATCTATAGGCTTGTAGTCAATAAATTATTGTGCGCATGCATCCAGGGCTCAGTTTACACCGGTTTTAAAGTGGTTAAAGTCGTTAGCTTTTCCAGATTCATAAAGTTATTCGTTGATAAAATAGGGTTTAAATGCAAATTCAGTGCCAAAATACGAAGATATGTCCCAATTACCTTTTGTAGAAACTTGAGAGTTTAAAGTCCACTCGACACAAACCATGTCATTTCGGGACTAATAGTTCAATTTTATTTCAATAACTCGCTTGCGCGTAGGGGTCTTTAGCAATAGGAGAAAACCGGGGGACCCAGAGAAAACCCAGGTTGGACATTCGACCATACTCCATACCCCCCTCCCCCCGCCCCCTGCGTGAGAATCGACTGATATTGAAATGGTACCAAAGATATTAGATAGCGTAGAATTTAGGGACTCTTCACAAAACTGTTCGTGCGTAAGATATTGGCAGGAGACACGACACGAGGATTCAAATGGGCCTTTACCACAGTAATAACCAGATTGATTCACTAAAATACCGGAAACTGATCCTTTATTGCCAAGTTTCCACCGTCATGCGATGCATTACGATAGGAATGACCCTATTGAATCCACGATCTGCTACGTGCAGATACGTTCGGATAGTTTCGATACGGTCAACTCGATTGCTACAACTGGCCTCAATATATAAGACCTGATAGGATCACCATGATTACTCTAGGATTAAAACCACGATTTCAAACGATGCACGAATCGTGATGGTGGGGACCTTGTAAAGGTGGTCGTTGATTGGTAAAACAAAAAGAAACAAATTTCGAGAAAGACAGAGGTTGCTCCTGTAACCAATTTCGAATACAGACATTTTGATTAGAAAAAGACGAAGTGTGTAGAAATATGCAATGATAATATAGTGTTTTATAGACATTATATTTAAAAAAAAGTACGAACTTATTATGATCAGGGGCCGAGTGTGACGCATAACAGCTATCTCGGAATTGTGACGTCATATTAAAGATCTATGCGCAATTGTCCAAGGAACAAGTATGGCAAGTTTTATGTCGACCGTACTTGAATTGGCGAGCACACCCAAGCAGAAGAACACTAACAAGAAGACGAGTAGCATTTCCTGGTCCAAAAATTGAGTCTAAGCTACGCAGTGAAATGAAAGAGAATCCAAACTGTCATTCTGAGTTGATGTTGATGTGCAGGCTGGGCGCGCTAATTGTTTCTGAAACACCTGATAACATTTATGATTTGCTTGGGAACTCCATTTAGCTAACTTTACTTAATACAAGTATTGTTGCCTCTTTAAACAGTCTGGCCTACATGAACACAATTAGCGCATAATACATGCGTAACACGTGTGAATTTATTCGGATTTTAAAATCTTAGGTATTTTAAAATATCTAATAATTCAGCATTGCTGGAATTTTATGAGATGGGAAAATCCATTTCAGCTGTGAACTTTAGCCTTGTTAAGGAATAAGAATGACAACAGTTAAACGACAGCTGTAATCACAAGTTGTGCATATCGACAATGTCTGCACCAATTTCTATATCTTACGTGTGTGCCATAAGTAAAAGGAAAGCCAAACCTAACCGAGTCTGTAGTCAAAATATTATATAATCGAGGTGGAAAGGAACGCATGCCACTGGATATACTATAGTCAATAGCTCTCGGTTAAATTATATTACTAAATACCTTGCTAACATTACTACTACTGAATACTCTGATATGACTTAATTTTCCAGGTACAATACTACAACTACTACTTATTATATAATAAATAAGTAGTAAAACTAAAGACTCCTTAAACACACTACTACTACTACTACTACTACTACCAATACCACTACAACCACTACTGTTACTTCGTTGATTGATTAATTCTATTGAACCCCATAAAAACACAACTATGGGGTTGGGTTATGGTAATTTGTCCACAGGGGCAGCACCAGAGTAAGCTTGCATGGGACCCCTGGCTGAAAATGTCACCAGGACCCTTGCACCAACGGTGAAAAGGAGACATATCCTGACAATTTGTATGTCCGTATGATAGATAGATAGATTTATTTGGTACAAACATATACAACATAATAAATAAAATCAGAAAGTTATACATAAAACATTTTTTAGAACTAATTTGGAGGCTCCTTTAATATTGGGGCCCCTGGCTACAGCCAAACCAGCCATCCCTTTAATCCGGCACTGCATGGTGGTAAGTATAAAATACTTTAATGGCAACGGCAATGCTTAGCTCAAAGATGATTTTAATTAATTAGAATCGTAGAAACATTCTATTTGTGCTACTGGTAGATCGTAAAAACACAAGTAGGGATCCAGATTATCTATTTGGCACGTTTTAGCAATTATAACATAGTAAGGTGTTCTTTTCACCACTCTCATTTTGTTTCGTCACAAAATCTGACGCAAATAGATCGTTAAAGTGAAAACAGTACATACTAAATCAGATAAAAATACAATTCTACAACTTTTCATTTCTAAAAATACGAAACTAAAGATGGGTGTTTTGCAACGTAAATCTGTTGTCTGCCAACCTGTGATGTAATAACCAGAGTGAAAATGGCAGTTTATTGAGGGTATTTTTATATACCGTGGGAATACTGTGGAATTAATTTCTAGTATCTTTTGACAAAGAATATTGTTTTTGCAATGTTAACTTCTCCAATTTCATTGAGTATTGCGAAGCAAAGTAAGTACCAGATAGTTCAGGTGGAATGATGTGCATAATGTGCTATAATACCCGGGCGATGAGAATTAACTTGCTTATTTGAAGAGCATTTTTGTCTCTGTGTGTGTTGGGGGGGGGGGCGTCTGGTTTTCTTCGTTATAGGCCCACTAGGAAGTTTCCCCCCCCCCCCGCACACACACACTAACTAACTAACCATGCATTATGCGATCTAGAAAAAAATGTTCCACAAAATACAGACGGACCCTTATTATCAAAGGAAGCTGCCGCCTTAATTTTATATGTAGCCATAATAATGTTTCAACATACAGACATTGCACTATATGATCTTTATTTATAACAACATATTTTCCTGACGGTGTACATCTTGACAGATGGGCAAGTCAGTGATGCCAAAGATATCGTTCGTATATATAGTTTGTTAATTAAACAAGAAGTTATATAGTGTGTGTGTGGTGGTGGTGGGGGGGTGTTAAAGGGTTAAAGGCTCATTTATACCTAATTTAAGTTTCATTGAATTATCTGTCGTGTCTTGGATGGAGTCTCCCTTTATAATATAATTCATTTTAATGACGGACTAAGGTGCGTGAAACCCCAGCCTGTACACGATATATCCCGCATTCTTACGAGTGAAACTAGATTGAATTTTTGTTTATTTTACGTTTTGCATTTTTGACAACTCTAACGCGCCCTTATAGTCTAACATCATCTTAAACAAGCTGACCAAACCCGATAGTCTCCACAGGACGAGACTCTTAATAGTAACACGGGGAGGGGACTGAAAAATGGGCGATAAAAATTCATTGTTCCCTCATCCGCATAAGGCCCTCGGTGTCCTATATTAATGACTTATCATTGCTGATCTTGGGCATGGATGGTTCAGATTTTTGATAAGCATGTCAGATCCTCTGTACACAATACAGAAAATCAAACTCGGATAAAAGAAAGATCTATGTTTAATTATTTTACAATTTCTTATTATCAGTACAATCAAAGATTACAGCTGAAATTTTTTATCAAGCACGCTAACGTTTATGAAGTCACGAGTTATTCCCCTTTAATTAGAAATTACAAATTCAGGGGTTAGACTAATTCATGCGAAACAAATATGACATTATAATAAGTCACTTTATTGATCTTAACACAAAAAATATTGGTAACAATAATTGTAAATATACATTAAATAAAGACCCTGGTCATCATTTTAGCTATTTTTTTTTTCATTCCGTGCAAAATACAATAGGGTGAAAGTGGAGGTCGGATGGATCTCGAAAAGGAATATCAGTTCAAAAATAGTTTAAATTTATTCTGTTTAATATGTACAAATTGTCAACATTCAGTATCCTTTGCATAAGGTCAAAACAAGCCAAATCAAGCTATAATCCTCGCTATACTTTTGAGGACTTCTTTTTAATCCGATGAAGCCGAGATATTATCCAGTATTTTTATTTTTATTTTGCTACGAGTGCATGTTAGATTGGATTAAGTCGCCAAAAGATGATGATCAGTAGATTTATCACAATTATTCGTTATTTATTCCTGGACTTAATAATTAGCAATCTTCTATTTGCTCTTGATTCTCTTCTTGGTGCTCAAACATTTGCTTTGGATAACCGATTCCAGGTCCGCTTGTATCGCTCACCCTTTGGTCCTCTTCCCCCTCTAACGTTTCTTCCTCGACCGGTGGACCTTGACCTTCTTCACAAATATTCTGAGTTAGTCCGGATTGTATAGCTCTTAATTTCCTCTGCAAGGCGATTTTCTTCAATCGTTTAGTTTGCTCAGCGTCCTCTACTTTAATTACACGACTTCCTTTGTCTGTCCTTTTGTTAGGTGTTCCGCTGACTGACGCCGTTTCTGAGGTTCCGGCATTTTCTTCCGTCTTTTTGATCATGGGAACAGGTTTTCCAATTGTTATTTTGCTTCTAGGATTATTTTCAGGATTCGCCTCTTCCATAGAGTCTGTTGGATAATCATCGGCTATGTCAGTCTGTCTGGTATCGACTACCTCGGCATTTCTTTGGTTTCTGGTCCTGGATGGCGGTTCGTCAGTTTCGTTAAATCTGACTCTCGTAGGCCTTCCACGTTCATCCCTACTCTGGTCTAACCCTTGTTGATTTTCACCTAGACGATTTGGCTCATCAGATCCCTCATTGCGTGCACTTCCTCTTGCCCGAGTACTGTTTTGTCTTTGTTGGTGATGTTCGATTTGGTCATAAGATGGTGGTGCTTCGCCTATATCATGGGGCTGACGGGTTTGTGAGTGTCTATTACGCGAGCGGAATTCGGGATCCAGACCATCCGATTCGTAACCTGGCAAATAACCTGGTATCATTCCATATTCCACCCTGGCTTTATTATGAAGATACTCAAACTCTTCCATGGATATACTACCTCTATGTAGACTTGGAGTTACTGCTCTTATAGGACGTAGTCTTCTTCTTGGGCGATCATCGTCCATCATATCAATATCCTGCAATGATATTATAACGTACAAGGTTATCATAATCAGTAATCGAACGTGTACGATGTTGGCCGGCGTTTTGGAGTATAACCTTCCAATCTGATTAAAACACGGACCCTATTTCGTTTCGTTTTTTTATAGTTCAAAATTTCGTTTTACTTGTCTTCGCTACCTTGAGATCTGGAAGAGATGTTAAATAAGCCGTGTTCTGGTTGATGTTCAGCATTAGCCAATGAAATGGTCCCCGGCTACTGTTCTTCTTGTCACTGGTATGGTGGGCTGCAACACTAATTCACTAAACCCAAACGTCATTCAGAACCATCCAGGACGATGTTTTTGTTCAGCGCGAAAGCAAGACTAGCGTTATAATGTGAGAAGCGTGTGAAGTACAGTTGAATAGAAAGGTCCAGACCCAGGAATTAATCCTGAAATGATTAATTAGAATCTTATAACGCTTGTATGGAAATCAGCAGTGTAAAGATTTTGCATACCTGTTTCTTGGACACCCAGCAGCATATACAACATATTATAATGGCTACCAATACAATGATTCCCAATAGCGACCCACAAGCTATTATTATTATAAGTACGGTATTGTTGGTCATATCTAATGCTGTAAAAAGAAATAACAATAGAATGAAATGGAGATTTAAGATCTCGTCTTATGTCGGTGTCAGCAGTCATGGGATATTTATGTGCACTAAACATAATATGCACATGGGTCTTTGGTAGTGCAATCGCCATTAACGTGTTATTAATGAGTGTGCGCACCGGATTCTTTAGCAATCGGGGTCACGGTGGCTAAGTGGTAAGACGCTGGCTCGCTAGCCTGGAGGTTGGGTGTTCGATCCCTGCATTGGCCGAGACACTTCGTCTCCCCCCCCCCCCCCTTTCTCTTGTCAGTGATGCAAGACCGACGGCCTGACAACACAGCTGTCAAGTCGTTCGGATGGAACGTAAAACCGAGGTCCCGTATACACATTGGCGTGCACGTAAAATATCCCTTGACAGTTGGAATTCAATATAAGAGTAGGCCGTAGTGCCGCTGTCCGGGCAAAAATTTCCCTCATAGCAAACTGCATGACGTATGCCCGTCTTCCTTGGCCCAGTTCGGAGCAGAACAGTAGGACGTTAAATCCCATTTCATTTCTTTAGCAGTTGGAGGAAATCATTTAATCTTACAAACCACCAAATAGGATAATAATGTACGAGAGCTGGCTGAAAAGTTCTAAGCCTGAACAGGATAGATGAATTGGGTTGAAACAAACTGAAGAAAATTTCTTTCTGACCGGGATACTGGCCTTGCAACACAATTGACTTTGTACTGGTCGTTCACAGATAGGCTATGAACTTTTCAGCCAGCTCCCGTAGCCTACACGGAATATCTGTTTTCATTCTATGTGAAAGACACGAAGGTCAAATTTTATCCTTTTTTATAGCTTCTTTGATCCAACTATTTCTTTCCAATTCGGATACGCATAAAAATAGGCTATCGATGTGACAGAGATTTATATTATAAAAAAGTAAAATGAAGAAATATTCCTTGCCCCTATCTTTAGTTTTCTACAGAATAATTTTACTTACCCAGTGCACTGTTAATAAAAACACAGACAAATAAGAGTATTAAAATCATTTTGAAGTCTTAATGGCGGTTCAACATTGATAAATAATGAACCGTGTTTATATCTCTGAATATGTCCCAAGTTTGAAAAGGGTACAAAACACATACAAGGTAATATGACCATATAATTATATTAGTATAAAATTAGTACTGTTTTAAAGTATTGTGTTTTTGTATGTTTTGGCACTATATTCCTTAATTATATATTTAATAATTATATGATATTTTATACACTGATAAAGTCAATACGAATATGATGATATATATTTTCATAAACGTTATACCTGGATCCTTTGCTCATCGCCGACAAGAATCGATAGGAGCGTGTTTTTTTTATATCTTCTTTTTTTTTTGGGGGGGGGGGGGGTCAAAGGCGTCCAAATATTGTCAAAAGTGACCGACAAGGAACGATATGCACATTCTAAATATCCAAACTCTGAAATGATTACTACACACACACACACTTCGCCTATTGCTAAGTGAGGTTGTAATCATAATATTTGAAATTGAATAAAATCTCCCGATAGAGAGCTCGTTAGATATCACTTTTTTAGTAACATATATATATGTTATGTATTTAGACTATCGGCTGTCGAGGAAATATATCTTTAATTCTGGTCACAATAAAAGCATGAAGCAACAAACGAAACCAAGAGATCTCAGTATTTGTACATGTGCTCACCATTTTAATAATTTGGAGTTTTTATAGAATTCCAACTGGTTTCTTTTTCTTTCTTTTTTTAACCCCCCCCCCCCCACAACATTTCAATGACTTTGGTTATAAGAGAGCGATGACAAATAATCGCAAATGGTACAGTGTATATCAAACACGGTAAACCATAGATTAATTACACGGTTTTGATATCAAGAGCAATAACTGACTTTCGACAGGGCCCACCCTTATAACTAGCTAGACAGTCCCCTCACTCTGAAAAACTCGGACTACAGCGTTTTGATGACAGGGATACTCATCAGCTGGCACGAATAAGTCCAAAACATGAATCCTATTTTATTTCGTTTTCAAAATATGTTTACAAAACGAAAACATTTATTATTGTATTTTAAATAGATGTTTATACAGAGAATCCCTAAAGGTTAAAGTAGCTAAGTCTCTAACTCAATATCATCAAAAATCTTCGACATTGAAAACACGATTTATTTGTCGCTTTAAATCAACATTGATGTTGTGATCTTACCGGAAAAGATAACCTTCTGATATCCAATATTTAAGACAAAATAAACATTTTACAATGTTTGTAATAAGGGACTCGAAAAACGAGGCTAGGCATAATTATTCCACAGGTCATGTCAAACGGTGACGCTATATTCTTATCTGGAGAGCATGCCCAATAAATACTATCGGCGTAGACTGGAAAAACCAGACACTAGAGATTGAAATTCAATTGAGAATACTGGCGTATTACAGTAAAAACAGAAACGATTGAATGTAAATCAATTTATATACATTCATATTACATTATTGTATGCGTTGCGACCCATTTGTGTCAATTTCTAGGTCCCAAATATCAGCGACTTAGCTCCTTTAATAGTGGTGCCAAATCGCATTGCAGGTTTAGTAATGACTGGTGTCGATGGGCCCTTGGTCCATTTATCCATTGACTTCTCAAATGCAACCCATGGTAGTGCACGATCCAGTGTATGCTTATTCTTAGTAAAACATATGGGTTCCAGGATAATATTATACTGTCGTAAAAGCACTGGATTCAGCGAAGGATTAACAGATAGGCACAGTAGTCAAAGGGTTAGTGGTAAGGGACCCTAGAACCACCCCTCAACCCCCACGCCGGAATAATATAATAAAATCTTGAACGTGCCTGATTCGGTGTCTAATTTTAATAAAAACCTGTTTGTCTACGAATTAACCAGTTGCTTCCAAAAGTTGAATGGCTACAGGATCTGGATGGTCGGTAACATGGAACATAGACCAAGTAACTATAAAACGTTTAGTGCTAAATGATAAAGCCAGCTCAGTTTTTCATCATATGTCACGAGATGTAAACAGGACTAGCGCTAATCTCAACCCTAACCTTATTTACATCTCAACGACCATGACAAAAATTGAGATGGCCTTAACAAATAGATTTAGCCATAGGTTTAACCATGACAAAAATTGAGCTGGCCTTAACAAACAGATTTAGCCCTAGAAAACTGCCTAACATGATGCAGCTCTGATTTTTACGATAACTAATATCGACAACCTCGTCATAAAAAAACGAGGTCCGTGTTAAACCATTGGTATTATATATGTTAAAGATTACCGAAGAGTTGAAAATTTAAATAATATTAGCCGATGTCGCCGCTGTCCGGGCAAAATTTACCTCACAGCACATGTTCTTATCTTTTCAAATAGGAATGAAGTTAGTTATTGTGAAGCTTCCCTGGTCGTTTGATTTTCTCCTGCATTGCAAATGTCTGATATAATGATTATTTTGTTTCTTTTAGCGATGTCTTAAAGATGCAATATTGAAGAGTTAAATCTGCATATTGCAGGTCTTTATTTTGGCGTCAATATTGATATATAAACTACTATATAGACATTTATTCACATGATAAGCCTATAATCCACTTTCTAGGGTGTCGAACGACCGAGATTCAGATGGATTAAAACATTCGCAAAATTTAAAGGGAGAGAGAGAGAGAGAGGGAGAGGGGAGGGGGGGGGGGTAACGTCCACTCGATACAAACTAGTTACTATTTAAAGGGACTAACATACAGTATGGTTCAATTTTATTACAATAATTCGCTTGCGCGTAGGGGTCTTTAGCAGTGGGAGGAAACTATTATACCAAGAACGGCCAGCTCTTTATCTAAATATTAGATAAAGCAACTTTAACTTCTATGATTATTATTTCGATCAAAGTGGCGGTGATTAGAATTGTGTAACAATAATGGAAGCTTTGGGGTCTCGTAAATGGAACAAACAAATATAAGTTACAAATCCCACTATTTTATTTCATAAAAAAGACAAAAATAATGCACAATACAGTTCTTGTTTGTGCTGCTTTAATGTTTTGATCGTGGGGACTATAATTGGTTAGGATGGGGCTGATTAAAATCGTCTAACTGTATGATATTCCAGGAACCTAGGCGTAGGACCCGTGGGGGTGGGTAGCTGCAATTTTTAGCCGTGATAATTCATATCTACAGCTGCAATTGATGATCTATCCGAGGCTTTGAGGAAGTAAAATTAGGTTCAATTGCAAACTTTTCAACATATATGATCACAGTTTGCATGGAAATAAGTGACTATGCTACAAATAGTGAAGAGTGGAGCACTGAAATCTTAATCTTATCTTACCGAACAGTTTTTATGTATTTTCAAGTGACATGACGCCTCGTGATTCTGGTTCGGCGAAGTTTCGCATAGCAGTTGGGTTTAATCAAATCATATAATTATACGGTAAGGTTTCACCTTTATTTCAATGGGAATTGGTTTATTATATGTTAAGCTATGTACAGTACTGTTTGGGGTCAGTGTTATTGGAAATTAAGGGATATATAGGCCAGTAACTTTTTTGTAGTCAATTTACAAAACTTGCTCAAAGTAAGGCCTTAGGACGGTAAACAACTGTGGCTGGAGCAAGACGGCAGACATCAGTAGGGGGTGGGGGTGGCTGCAGATTCGGTGAACCGTCCATTTTTCGGGCAATTTATAATTGTATAAGGATTGATTCATTCTGAAAATTCGGATGACAAAAGAAAATATTCGGGTAAATATTACTTGCTTTATAGAATCAGACTTAAATTTGTAAACGAAACGAATAATGAAAAATTATCTCTATAGAAGTAATGTATCATTAACCCATATTTTTCATTATTAATCATCATCATCGCTGCCACGCAGTTTTGGCAAGCGAGATCCAATTTTTGGCAGAGCCTTTCGCCTGGTACGTGGCATCTCGGTACCAGATGGTGCTGTTTGTGTTGGTGGTGTAACTCCTAGACTTGGTAATACTCTCCCGCCATGTCGTTTAGGTAGTGCTGGGAAATCAGGTAGAGGTGGAATGTTGAGTCTATCGGACCGACGACTATCGCCTCTAGACGTTGACGGTTTAGGAAGGCCATCCCTATTTTGTTCTTCTGGTTTGGGGGCAGATCTGGCAACTGGAGATTTAGGTAAAATACTTTCAGTGCTGGCAGAAACACATTCTTCTTCGTCATCGTCTTCTGGTAGTATCTTTGTCTGCAGAACAAAATGTAGTATTGATGACGTACAACTTAGTTTCATTTTTTCTTATGAGGTTTTGGCTAGGCTAGGCCTAAGAACCTGTACAATCCCCGCTTGATAGATTCTGTAGTCGCTCCTATGTTTTAGAACAATAGGGAACTGTTAAAGAGAGTCAACGACACATTAAAGCATTTTAAAAGCATGTTAAATAAAATTTATATGGGGCGGACATCGTATGATTATGCATCTTCAGTCATATTCCTGCTGCATTGTAGTCAAGTTTTAAAGGTATTTTTAAAATCACCTGATGCTTTTTCTTATAGTAGTAAATACCAAAGCCTACTCCAACTGCTACCAGAAGTATCAACATTAAAGTTATGGAAATGATCTTCACTTGACTATCATCTGCAGCAGTACTAGCACTTTGTCCTGTAACGGGTTCTGTAATATAAATGGATAATTAAAAAACGCTACATTATTAATTCGGTTTTTTTAATGCTTAAGAAATCTAAATATAGAGATATGTAACAATTTGGCATAGATATTTACAAAATGGCTGACATCTTAGTACCCAATACTGATAACTAAACATCCTATTCTTACAACTAAGTATCCAACACTGACAACCCAATATCCAATACTGACAACTCAGTACCCAATACTGACAACCCAGTATCCAATACTGACACGCCAGAATAAAATACTGACAACTCAGTATCCAATGCTGATAACTCAGGGGTTGTAAATTAATTACATAATAACATTGCATCCATATCGAGACATATAGTGCACTTTAATTCTCGAGACCGGGTTATGAATTCCTGTAAATTCAGGTGTGTATGAATTTATACTTGGACATCATGTGAGTGTTTTTGTTTTCAGTTAGCATGTATGCATATCGGATATTCTGGAAGGCAAAGAGAATAAATTGATATTAATTACCTTCTGGTGTACTGTTGGTAGTAGGTGTTGGAATATCTTGTCTAAGTACTGTTGCGTCATCTGAATAAAATTCATTCCATAATAATTTGACAGGGGTATCTACCAGGAAGAATAATTTAAATTTAGCAGACCAGATAATATTTGTTCTGTAAACTCTACACGAAGAGAGGCTGATTATTTAAAAGTAAGATATTCTACACATATAGACAAATATAGACTTTTAGACTTTGCTCAATAATCCAATGACATGGAATGGGGTTTAACGCCGCATTATCAATTTGATTTAGTAATGCTAAAAAATTATAAATTTAGAGTATGCAACAATTTGTTATAGATACAATCTGGTTAAAATACAGATCTATATTTCGTTTCGTTTTTTATACTTTCAATGGCCTACACTACACGAAGGTCTGACCAGTTGTTTTGGGAGGTCGCGTCAGAGGTCATACCTGCGGCTTTTGGCCCTATGACGTCAGAAATTTGATCAACCAATCAGCATTTATGTTTCTAGTGGATTACCCACAGTTCCGCGCACCTCACGCCAAAAGCCCACCGTAATAGGCCGTTTCATTGGCTAATCCCTCACATCATTCAGAACACGTCAATGATAACAACTCTTCCAGATCTTAGTGTAGTAAAGACAAGTAAAACGAAACGAAATAGGATCTGTGTTTTAATCAGATTGGCATAGATATTTACAAAATGATTCACATCATAGTGCACAATACTGACAACTCAGTATCCAATACTGACACCCCAGTATCCAATACTGACAACTCAGGGGTTGTAAATTAATTGCATACTAACGCTGCTTCCAGATCGAGACATATAGTGCACTTTAATTCTCCAGACTGGGTTATGAATTCCTGTAAATTCGGGTGTGTTTGAATTTATACTTGGACATCATGTGAGTGTTTTTGTTTTCAGTTAGCATGTATGTATATCGAATATTCCGGAAGGCAAAGAGAATAAATTGATATTAATTACCTTCCGGTGCACGTTCGGTAGTACGGATTGGAATATCTTGTCTAAGTACTGTTACGTCATCTGAATAAAATTCATTAACCATAATAATTCGACTTGGGTATTTGCCAGGAACAATAATTTAAATTTAGCAGACCAGATAATAATGTTTGTTCTAATATACTTGAAATCGTGGCCACATTTGAAACCATAAAAGACCTGGTATAGGCAGTAATGCATCTTTCAGCAACTACCAGTTTAGACATTTGATCTTTTCTGAAGGTCTATAATGAATTCTTACTTATAGGTTTAGTAGTTGTACAGCTACTGGCTGTTTTAGCGGCAACTTTTCCACATCGAACCGTGACTTCTGCTGTAGATGTAGATTCTGAAGAAAAACAAGATTTTTTTTAAAATTTTGCACACGAAGTGAAAATGAGCCAATATATATATATTTTTTTTCCATGCTAGTCATTGAACGTGTTACTGGTGACCTGGTTTGTACAGTAACGTTAGAGATCTTTCAGTGCCGATAGTTTTGTCTCAACACAAACGAGGTCATTTCGGAACTACTATATGGTGCATTTTTATTTCAATATTTCGCTTGTCCGTTTGTGTAGGCGACTACACTTGACTCGATGATAGACTTTGTGGTCTAAAGCACACCCAACACCGCCCCCCCCCCCCTCCACGATCCCATCCACAAGATCTCATGTCACATCCAAATGCCACACCCCTGGCAAGTGGGGACCAGGTTTTGCATATTCCTAAAGGGTTTCATAGAACAGTGACTTCCCAGTTCTCAAACCACGCAACCGTTTCTCTGAAATTATAAATTTTAGAACTCAAATTCTGTCGAACTTACCCATAACCGCCAGCCACACAAACGACCCTCCTTTACCTTTCTGCTGGTTTATTATGGTGAAGGTCATGAAGTTTGTCTCGCTGACGTAATATTCTTCTGTTCGGAAATTATTATTATTGAAGCAGTCTTTACCGGTCAGGATTGTTTCGTCTTTTAGTTGTATTTTCTGTTGACAGCCTTCGCCCTTCTGATACGTTAAATGGACGTCCAGTGCCACGAGTTTAATCATTTTCCCACATTCTGTTTCCATGGAGCATCGAAAGGAGCTGAAGGCAGGCATAGCTGCAGGATGATCAGAGTTTATCAGATAAACCAGGGTACCAGAAAGCTTCGAATTATCTTCAAGTTTCAGAAACCGAGCTTCTGAAAAATTGAGTTGTTATTTTGTTAATTATATGTTGGTGAAAATCGGCTTCCATAGATCATATTATTATTGGGTAATATTATTTTTATAATTTCCAAATTAAGATGTCTAATTTCCGTTTACTCGATTTTGTCATTCTTTTGATGACCTTGTTACGGGCCCCGTTAATTTATTACGTACTATATCTGTATTGGCTGTGTATTCAATTCAAGAATTAAGTCCAACGAATTATGATTGAACAGAAGAATTGGGCTTAAGAACAAACGAAGCCTTGATATTGACATCAAGGACTGAACAATGTTTCCCACCGCGACAAATTCGAAACCCAAGTCCACTAGGAACCGAAGAAAGATTATATCGGACCATAAACTGCCAAATCTTTGTACATAAGTAAACATACTATATCAGGTGCATTATAGTCGGCATTTAATAGACATTAGAACATGGCGGTTGACTTTGATGAAAACTGAACCAAGCTTACCATCTACCAAGTAACTTTTACGTCACAAATCTATTTCTCTGTACTTAGTGACAGCTGTCGTACACGAGACAGGTATGTTTAGGCACAACATAACCAAGTGTGTCAAAGAATCACGGAACTCACCTGGAATACAATAAAAACTAATACCAGCGTAATTCGGTCTGGTAATAGCTGGTGTTTTTGGACAGGTCATCGTATCATTATAGAAGGTTATGGAACAGGTTTGTCTTCCAATACATGGTGTATAATAGTCTTTATCGGTTTGAATAACGCAGTCGCTTTGTACGTTTGGGAGACAGCAACTTTGAGCGCCTCCGTTGCATTTAGATTTAGTTCCGTCCTGGCAAGATTTGTCTTTCCTTTTGGCACCATAGAATATCCCTTTAAATGCTATTCTCTCGTTTGCTGAACACACAAGACTGGCTTGTGGCGTTTCCTGGCAATCCAAACATAGTGTACCAGACTTTGCTGTCAATGATAACAAATCTGAAAGGTAATGATGATCATAATAATGGAAAGAAAAATACAATGAACCTAAAATTTTGACAGGTTTAAACCATTCGTTTTCACTCCGAAACATCTGGAAAAACTAGGAAATTTGTCTATCGATGAAATTTCTAAAGTTGAACAAACTTCTAAAGCTTCTGCAAAAAAGTTCTAAACACTCATAAAATTTAGAACAACTTACCAGCACAGAGGATAACGCTGACCAGTAAACTCAAACAAAAGACATCAAATAAATAATATGTCACCATGGTCATTTTAATCGTTGGGACTACATGTTGTGTTAAAAGACCAGTATAGATATATTTTGTTCATGATATATACCCATTGTTTAATATCCCCACAGCAATAATTACATCTTACAACCTCTAATTAAAGCTACAGTCTCTATAGATTAAATTTAGCCAAGACATATATCGTAGCTTATAGTCTAGTCATGTAAACTCAACAGTTATCAATCTATGATCGAACCAGTTCTTTCACGGGAGTCTTTTCTGCGGCATCTATACTATTAATTCAGGGTAACTATCAGTATTTATCCACCATAAAAACTACTTTAAAATCATTGACTATGGATCAGTTCGTGATTGAATTTGCGGAGCCTTCGACTTGTTTCAAAGGGCGTCACCAATAACACGGTGAGGAGCGCTTATGGAACAAGTCCTGGTCCAATAACTAATTTTAAATATTACAAGGAAGGTGACGAAATAAATGAAAATGAAATGGGGTTTAACGTCCTATTGTTCTGCTCCTAAAATGGGCTAATGACGACGGGCATACGCCATGCAGTGTGCTATGAGGAAAATTTTGCCCGGACAGCGGCGCTACGGCCTACTCTTATATCGAATTACAACTGCGGAGGGACCTTTTACATGCACGCCAATGTGTACACGGGACTTCGGTTTTTCGTTCCATCCGAACGACTAGACAGCTGTCCTTGTCAGGCCCTCAGGTGACAAAATAATTCTGTGGACAGATCTGTGCTAAAGCAATATAAAATTCATTAAAGTTACCCCAACTTTAAACCCTGTGATTATCTTATACAAAATGATATGAAACCCCATACCTATAATCTGTACGTTAATAGCATTAATACATATCATATAATTATCTAAAACATGCTATGTAGAAACAAACCTACCGGATTAATTCCGATAAAACAACTATTGTTAATAATAGTTAAATATTCAGTGAACCTTGTATTAAAAATCTAGTTGACATTGCTTTAAAACCTTGATTAAAATTAAATCAACGTAATCCTGATTAATAACAAAAAAAAACCCAAAAAAAACAATTTTTAAATTTTCATAAGAAAATGACAAAATTTCAAGGAAAATATATTTTGAACATGAAACTTTAGCAGATGTTTGAATGCATATTGGAAACCAGCACCGTATATGTGATCTATGAAAGGGCGGGGTGAACACATTTTAAATGAATTAAATAAAAAGTAAGCACAATCAAATACTAAGTCCAATGGTCGTATTCGGCATAATCGAATAGCGGAATTCAATTGACACGTCGAGTGAGAAGCATATCCTGCCAAGCTCGACACTCGACACTCGAAGTTAGCTTGGATTAAAAAGAGCTAACGGGGTAAAAATGCAGAATCTATGAGCAATTGAGGGCGATGAAGGAATAAAGGGAACAACTACACCAGGACAAATAAGATTTCATATGTCTTTTTTTTTTAAAAATCTGACTAAATGAAACAAAAAGAAAAGCTGAGTAAACTTGTGAACATATTACAGTACATGATTTTCATGTTACTTTGTAAAAAAATTAATTCTTTACTCACCTGGAAAATTTTGTGGAAAATTGCATTAAACTGAAACCCAAGTTTAAAAATCTTACCTGGAATTTTGGTTTCAGAAAACAATTTCTGAACTCTACCCTACACTTTGGAACAAATTCACGATATTCGTCATTGTCTTCCGTACTTCATAACATGTGGAACAACGGTTCACATTCTCACCAAAGACGGAGCTGATTGAACATCCTTAACCCAAATGATCTGAGGAGACTGCTGCTAACCACAATCGCCCCCAATGTCGAGAAGCTGCTACGGTCGTACCAAGCACACTCATAACATTAGATTAGTGGGAGATGAGAATAATAACTAGATTATCGATCTCAAAAATTCAAAGGATGACTTTAATTTGACAACAGCTACCTTAGGAAAAGAGGCGATTTCTCGAATGAGTTTTTTTTTAAACCGCTGACCTAATTCAACCAACCTTACGTGGTAAAAGAATACACTTGAAGTATTTTTAGGGGGATCCGGCATTGATGTTTTGTTTTACCTTTTTGTGTTTTGTTTTTCCTTTTGTGCTTTGTTGTTTTTATTTCCGCAAATTACGTACATGTATTTTTAAAACAAGTACATTGTGAAATGCTTACATCATCGTAGATAACAATATCTTACAGAGGTCGAATCTATTTGATTTAAGTCAAAAAAAAGTATGAAACTGTCTTTATCTACAGTGTTATTTCTATCAATAATGCGCCACATTTCGCTTGGGCTTCAAGAAGTTGGTTTGTTAACAAATTTTAGTTAATGCTAGTTTCCGATTATCACGATTCGCGCTACGATTGAAATTGTGATTTTAATCGTGGTGACCCATCAGGTCCTATCATGGGGCCAATCCTATCGTAACGTATCGCACGACAGTGGGAATCTAGCATTACTTCGTTTGGCATTACTAAATCAGTTATATCTCAGGTTTCAGCTACTGACTCCCATCTTTCAAACCAAATTAAGACATGCAATTAAATCGAATACACTTTTGGGGGGTTTTACCCCATCGATTACACTTTTAATTTCTGTTCAAACATCTCTCCACAACTGAAACGTTTCTGGGATTTCTCATTGAATAAATTCATCTGGACTTTCTTGCGTAGTTTACCCTTGTCAGTGGTGCTGGACGGGGGTGGGGGGTGGCAAGGTAGATAGTCAAGCCGTCTTAATGGGACGAAAAACCGAGGTCCAGTGTACATCTTGGCGTGCACCCCCGTGGTGCTGGACGGGGGTGGGGGGTGGCAAGGTAGATAGTCAAGCCGACCGGTTGGGACGAAAAAACGAGATCCCGTGTACATTTTGGCGTGCACGTAAAAGTTCCCTTGACAGTAAGAATTTAAAATAAGAATAGACCGTAACATCACTATCTGGGATAAATTCCCCTCATAGTGCACTGCATGGTGTATACTCGTCTTCATTGAGCCAGATGGTGCAGAGTTCATTTCATTCCCTTTAAGATAAAATACCTTAGTGAATTTGTAGGTTGTAAGGCGACCAGGGTTAACTGAATGTGACTGAATTATCAATATAAATACTGATGTATCTATATGACATTGTAAATTAAATATAAGTACTTTCAATGTCCTCATTATAAATTATCTATAGGTTGAGACTGGCTATATTACACCTCACTCGTTCGTTTAGTTATTCTTTCCAAAATTCAGCCGACATGTCGGTAGGTAATGAAATAACGATTGAAAAGTATTTACGGGGGTTGTGTACGAAGCACGGTGTTTTCATTTACTGGGTAGTTGTTTGCCAAATCGACACAAATGGGCATTACCATTGGGCTACATCCCGGAAGGCGATTTTTCAACCGATCCGTTACTATCATATTTTCGGGCTTTCTTTAGAAAATCCATTTTTCTCATTAAATATTCACTTTTTTGAATAAGACGGTCATTCATTTTATTCAGCTTTCAAAATATAGTGTTTACTCTTTTTTACTGCAGGATTCCGAAAGTTCTCGGGGAACATGGGGATCTCAGTTGGAGTTTATTTTAACGTCTATAGGATGTTCCGTTGGTTTAGGAAATGTTTGGAGGTTTCCATATTTGACGTACACCAGCGGTGGAGGTAAGCTAACCTGAGTTAATTTCTAAGACATTCAATCTGACCAAATTACATATGACAATTCTTTGTCTTGATTTTTATCCTTTATATTTCACTAAAACGATACGCTCAGCCTTTTACGATAATGCGCGACCACCCTATGATCCTTTAAAATGACAATTCCATCCATTTCTACCATGCCTGGCAGTAACGATTCTCTCATTCCGCTTTAATTTAATCTCGATTATAAAATGGACTGTATGGTATCTAAGAGAATATTACAATCAGTTGTAACGTATAAAACTGCTTCACTAATTTGTATCTTTGGGTATTTTTTCATGATACTTTTTTTATTCCAAAGAATGCTCGTTTAATGTTTTTTTTTTCATTATTACATCGGTATTATGAAAGCAATTACCACAGAAAAGATTGAGAGCGGAAACCTGAAAACTAAAGACGCAAAGGTACCAGACACAGAAAACATACCGTAAAATATCAGAGCCCCTGAAGGCAGGTGCCAATGTCCTTGCAGATGTTCTATATATAGTTTTACCTCTTGTTAGATGTAAGTGAGAAGGAAGTTGTACCACAGTAGTAGCAGATGGGATATTTTTTAAAGTTAACAAAAAATGGGGTTCGGCTTCTATCACTACCAATCTAAATTATCTGGAAAGAATGAATTTTGCGGTGGATTCAGACCTCGGAGAAAAATAATTGGATTTTGAAATAGAATATCGTGTATATGCATAATCAGCAAACAGTCCCTAGAATGGCAATTACAACTTTATGAATTTTGTGGATTTCAAGAAGGCTATTGATACGGTGATATGGTGAACAGACCAACGATTTAGAAAATACTAAGCCATTATGACATACCTGCTAAGATTCCCAGATTCATCCAGAAACTATTTATGATGAAACAATCTTTCACGTTATCTATTCCAGTCTTTTGCAGTAGATAGATGAGTGGGTACAAGGATGTCTCATATCACCACAATTGTTTTCATTGGTAATGAATATAGTTATATGAACACACCAGCATAACTTTCCCGAGAGCATGGCCAAGACCTTTTGTCTAGCGATAAACACAAACAAAAACTAAGATTCTGTAAAATTCGTGATCGGATCAGCATATGGAAGCGTTATAGAACTTCATCTATCCGGACAGCATCATCGACCGACAACACTCTGGGAACTGTGTTCGTATCACAACCAGCGTGGAGGAATAACAACAGTTCTCTTCAGTTCAAACTAAAGTTTTTCAATTCAAGTGTGGAGTCCGTATTACTTTAGGGGATGGAAACGTGGAAGCATAACAAGAGCATTGAATGCAAACACCAGCTATTTATCAGCATGCGTATGAGATTGCCAGGTCGCATCCCAAACCCAAAATTATGTGAGAAAAATGAACTTGGGGCGGACATACAATGCGCCGTCTAGATGCAAACATTCGAGTAGAAACAAAAGGGCAGACAGATGCTTGGACGTTATCTGACAACCTTTATGAGAAACCTGGACTGAAAGCCCATTGATATCTCATACTAGAAAGAAGTGAAGAAAGTTGCTTTGGTTGTTCCTTCGAGTTAAGTCTATTGTAAATTCTTGTCTTTCACTCTGAACGTAAAATGACTAAAGAAGAGGGAGGAGGCTGGAGAGATCATGAAGGATGCTTATTTTCAGATTAAAATTTTAGACTTTTTACTTATTATTCCGATTGCTAATCTTTGTTTTTAATATCGTCTGTTTCAGGGGCCTTTCTTGTACCATATTTTATCTGTCTTTTAATAATTGGAATACCACTGTTTTGTCTGGATATAAGTTTTGGACAGTTTACTAGTCTTGGTCCAGTAGCTGCTGCTGGCAACATAAGTCCTATATTTAAAGGTAATAGGGTTATCGCACTTTTAATGAACAAATTATCACCACACAGGGCGCAATTTATAGCCCTATATGAATGTGAGCGTCAATTCGTTTCGGCTTGGGGTATTCAACCATAGAAACATGGGATACTTTTTGTTTCAAATTGCATATGGCCTTGGACATTTTCAAATATTTAAAGGGACAGTAACACTCTTGCTGGCTTGAAAGCTCCAGAAAATAAATAATATCTCTATCTAAGTACTAGATGTTTAAGTGTCCTACCTGTTGCGTAAATTATCGATTACATCCTATTTTACTTGTCCAGACGGTTCGAAAATATTTTTAAATCGAAGTTTCATTTGAAAAGGTTTACGTTAGACGTTTCAAACCATTATGTTGAATTTTTCAAAATTTTTAAATAAGGTGTGTTAAGATGAAATTTGTATCATCAATTAATTGAAATATTCTAAAATAGTGCAATTTGTTGACCAGAATAAAGATTGGGACATATTATTCAGTTACAACAAGAGTGGTATTGAGCCTTTAAATGGTAGTAACACACAAGTGAAAACGTACGCAATAGGTGTATATAGATATGGTGACTATCAATAATCTGTGTATTCGGTTTGACCTTTGATTTAATTCAGGCAAAGCCCAGCTAAGGCATGGGCAGGGGGTGGGGGGCCAGAGCCCCGCGATGCATGGCAAAAAGAGAAAAAAAATTCAAATTCTAGATGAAAGTTTCACGGTAATCGATCTAGTGGCGTGAAGGCGGATACTAAGCTATCCCTCAACCTTCAAAAGGCTATGAAATAATCTTTTGGTCGCGTTAGTGGCCCCGCGATTCTAGTCAGGCCCAGGGCCCCGCTCCGGTAAAGCTGGGCTTTGAATTCAGGTAGGTTCCTGTCAGGACTTTAGGGAAGCGACCGAGCAATCTATGTTTATTTTAAGCGGCATTAATAAGTTTTGATTTTACGTGATTTGACTTACATCGACAATGTTCAAATTTGATTGTATGCAAAATTTGAAGGAAACCTGCCACGCCATCGCTCAGATAAACACGTTTTGACTTTCAGTCAATTATGAATAGTTTACAAGGAATTTAATCCTCGTAAACGACTTATTATAAGTAGGCCAATTCTTTGATTTTTGATCATTAGATGTGTCTTAGGTTATTTTTAAACGGATATTATTAAAACAAAACAATATATATTTATTTTCTTGTTGAAAGTGATTTGTTCTTTTTAAATTCCGTTATCACTTGCCAGTAGAGGTTATGATGACATTGAAGTTTTCCTAGAGGAAAGTTCACTTAGATAATATTGTTTATCTACGTTGCTATCGTAATAATTATAACTGATTACAACGTTCCGGGTGAAAATCATATCTTACACGTTAGGAGAGCACGTAAAAAAAATATTCACTGGCAGTTCAAATTGAAAGAATTGCCCATGCAAGTCGCCATCTTGAGTCGGTTCCTAAAGAAAGAGCCGCGTCTAAACAGTCCGAATTCGGGGTACACCCACTCTTCAGCATTTCACATATATTGTAACTTATTATGATGCATTAGGCGTAAGCAAACCTGGAATATTTAATCCTATATTAAAGCGCTAATTGCATTTTTTTAAGTCATATGATTGAAATATGTTAAAATAAAGCGATAGAATACATGGCATCTATACACACAGTCCTACCTTGTTAAAGAATTATCCTAAATCCTATAATTCACTTGTGTTAGTTGAGAAATTGGGAAAATCTTTAATTTTCTTTTATAATCCAACGTTTGATTTTATGTTGTTATTTGTCACGTGTGCACGTTTGAAATGACTCGTTAAACCAGGCATCATTATCACGGACCTTGACAATCGAGACAACTCTCTTCCAATGTGTAAACTTAGGTTTCCAGTGAAAAGAAATGATACAAATTTAAAATACCGTCGGCGAGTAGAATTTTTTTCAAATTTTTATGTAAATGTTTTATAAGTGCTAGAACGATTTTATAGTAGTGGTTTAACAAGCTATTAAGTAATCGATTTATAAATGATTATGTTTTGACTTTCCTGGAAAGTATGCAATTCTCGCTTAAGTGCATTTTTTTTTTTAAAAAAAACGTCTTAGCGGTAGTATGATGCAATATTATCATGCATTGGGTGTAAACAAAATTAATATACAATCCTGTATAAAGTGCATTTAAAAACGTCAGTGTCTTAATGGTAGTATGATGTATTGGTTCAATAAAACCATAAAAATCTTAAGTATGGGGCTTGTTCATTCAACTCAGATTAGTTCCAATCACTGAATCAGTGTGAAAATGTCTTTAGAGTAAATTGTAAAAAAAAAGAAATTAGTCTATTTCAATCGTGAAAAGAAATCAAAGTCTGATATAACATAAGTTGTGAACATATTACAGTTCATGAGTTTCAGTCAGTTTTGCAAATAAAATCCGTTAGTTCTTTACTTGTTAGGTCGACAACAATCTCTTTTTCTTTAATTAGAAGATTCGGGTGAGTCCTCTGTCATGGGGTATCGAGGGTTGCAAAGTAATACTGCACTTACAAAATATTCATATTTTTGTTTGCTTTTTAATGAAATAAATTTATCTATTGAAAGAATACTTAAGGCACATCCATCGCATTAGATTTGTAGAGTTGATATTAATATAGAGAATTTATTTTTACGGAAGTGAGTGGGCGGGGGCAAGGGAACAATAGCTTAAAAGGTATTTGGGAACCACTCTTAATTTTTAGAGTTCCGAGTTTGGGAAGTGTGGAGAGTTGAATGATTCATTAAGTTTGTAGATGACTATAATAACCCAAGGTAAACACTGGGCGTGTGTGGCTATTATAAATCAATAACAATACTACTACTTTAAGATAAATACTGAATTTATACCTGTCCTAAAATATGTAAGTATATGATTGTAATTTATAGTCTTCAGGAAAAGTTTATTTATCTAGATCAGAATACGAAGAGCTGTGTCATGTCTTCTTTGATTGACATTTAGTATCCTCGTCGAAACGTCGCTTAGTATTAAACTCAATAATTGTGTATCCATAAAACTGTACCTTGTGTTAGCTGTGTTATTGTACAAAACGTCTTTCACTTGGATCATGTCTGCTATATCACCCCAGGTGGGAGCGAACGCTAAGCCCCAAGAATGAACGAATGGGAGAAAATAACGCATTGAATTACGGTTGATCTTGTGGGTTATTTCCTTCAGTGATGCTCTATACGAATAAAATTATTATCAAATTCTAACTTGTATTGCCTCCATTTCGACTACAACAGATCATAGGCGAAGCGGTCAATCCGTTTTAAGTTGGTGTGGCGACATCCTATTTTTCGGTAATATTGTCTCCGTGGGTGTGGTTAATTCGGTAACAAGTTTGACACAGAGTTTAAAATCTACTGGATGAGCTAAGGTCGATTAACGAACACAAAATCAGTATTGGTAAATAACTGAGCATCCGTCAAACTCCTCAAACAACAATAAAAGGTTTCTACGACGCGTAAATTGAACGTTACAAGCGGTGGTTTGGACGATTTGTCTCAAATTCTATTTACATTTTAAAATGCCCGATGTAACCTCCTAATCTCTGTTTAATTCCAATGGCAGGAAACATGAAATACAATTTAAAGAAACGCCATTTAGTGTCAACACTAAAAATTCCAAAGAAAAATGTATACGACTGTTAGCTGCTTGAACTTCCTATCAAAATGCACGATACCAACCTAAATATTTTTTTATTGCAGGTGTTGGGATGTGTATGGTGACGGTTATGGGTTTGATTATGATATATTATAGTGTTGTTATAGCAACATGTATACATTACTTTTTTGCATCTTTAACGGATGTGCTACCGTGGACCGATTGTTTGAATGAATGGAATACATGCAATTGCCGCCAAGATACAAACGACACAGATTATCTCCGTAATACTTATCTTAATTGTAGTAAGTTTACAGATTATCTCAAAAATACTTATTTTAACTGCAGCAAGTTTACAGATTATCTCAGTAATACTTATCTCAACTGCAGTAGGTTTACAGATTATCTCAATAATACTTATCTTCACTGCAGTAGGTTTACAGATTATATCAATAATACTTATCTTCACTGCAGTTTGTCCACAGATTATCTCAATGGTACTTAACTGTTATGTTTACAATTTATCTCAATAATACTTCACTGCAGTAAGTTTACGAACTATCTCTATAATACTGACCGCTGTAAATTTACAGATTAACTCAATGATACTTATACAGCAGTATGTCTATCTGTTAACAAACGATGAAGAGGAGTAAATGACCTAAAATATTGAATTAGTGTGTATTCTTCGTTTACAGCTCAAATAGACAATACAGGAAGTGCTTTTTCACCCAGTGAAGAATACTATACGTCAGTATTTTTTTATTATTTTTTTAAAATATATATACATGTAGATAATCTCTCATAAACTAACAACCACTGGTAAATCGGTAGTGAAATAATATAACATTAAATAGGCTACACTCCAATACTGCGAAGACTTCATCACTTCTTGGTATACTAAGATAGGTGGAATAATCCCCATTACAGTGCTGCCGGATGATAACGTTGGGGTATAGTCCATTTTGTTGCTTGGGGATTAGTATCTATGAGTTAAATTAAATAGGCCTACCTCTCAAATAATTTTCTTTCTCTGGTAGGAATTTTGTGTTGGGTGTAACAAGCGGTATAGGTGAAGCTGGTGGATTTCAATGGAGGCTGGTATTAAGTAATCTGTTGACATGGACAATCATGTTTTTTGTACTCATTAAAGGCGTCAAATCAATTGGCAAGGTAAACTCTTATATTTACATTTTTTTTTTCTTTTTATGTTCCCATTTTGACGGTCGAGGAGCATTATCTCACTTACCCAGAAGCAAGATTTAACTAAATATATTACAGATAACGATAGACTTCTAGGGTGTGTGTGTGTGTGTGTGTGTGTGGTGGTGGGGGGTGGGGGTGCTCAAGACAAGTCAAGAGACCGTAGTACCCCCCAACATGAGAAATTAAATTTTATTTTCTGCAATTTGAAATTATCATTGTAAACTTTGTTCTACAGGCTGTGTATGAATATTAAGCAGCTGCTTTTTAAGACCTTTTAATTATTAATTTATAAAATTGATCAATTTTACAGGTTGTTTACGTATTTACCATACTACCGTATGTACTATTAACAGTTTTATTAGTACGTGGTCTAACGTTAGAAGGCTATTATGAAGGTATCAAATACTACCTAGATCCCAACTTAAATCGTATTGCGGAACCACGGGTAAGCAGCAATATGACTATAATGTTTTAAGCATTTTATACATGCACATAATATATCGTCACTGCTCCTGTTTGTCCTTTCATCTGTTCAGCGCCTTGTAATCGTCCTTGTATATTCCAAACTCGCTAGGTTTATATTCAACTACTCATAGACAGGAAACCTTTTGAAATTCAGAGCCGTGAATCATTTTTTTTACAGAATTATTGCCCCTGTTCTTCCCATACTGCTTCTACTATGAGGGATCCCTATGTCGGACTGCGTGCCAGACGGCTTTACGTTGGACAAATTGTGGACGGGTCACTGACTTTTGTTTTCGCTCCTTGAGTCTACGTTACAATATGGAACGTAATGATCGAAGATGGTGAGGTTTTGTTGACTTTCTGTAGTCTGTATATTATGACAGGTATGGGCTGACGCAGCAGTACAAATTTTCTATTCTACTAGTACATGTAGTGGAGCTTTGATAGCCATGGCCAGTTTTAATTCGTTCAAAAACAATACATTCAGGTAAGATACAACACGTCTCCATTCCCAATATAAAACTATCGCCATATTATATTCCGCAGATAGAGTTTGTTCAGAATATTCCATGAGAAACGTTCGCACTGAACTTATATTCCGCAGGTGGAGTACTGTTCAGAATGCTCCATTCCCCCAATACAAATGTTTAGTTCATGCTCATACTGAACCTAGTTTTTAACTCTTTTTTATATAAAAAATAATTATTCAAAGATTGAAAGGGGTTGGGGAACAGGCATGGTCCTAATGTCATCTCTTAGAGAAGTGGTTTGAATTTTGAAATTTTAGATTAGAGTTTGGTGTAATATGAATTGATATGAATGTCCCACAAAGCAAATGAACTATCAAATCCAATGAAAACAACATTTTAAACATGGTATATAATGTTAAGAGGACTTTTCGATACCTCTCGGTTAAAATGTTAAGATGTCTATAATACAGAGATTCCTTTATGATACCAATAATAAATGCACTAACCAGTTTCTATGGTGGATTTGCGACATTTGCTGTTCTTGGTTTTATGGCGTTGAAGAAAGGTGTTCTGGTTTCAGAGGTTACAAAACAAGGTATTTAAACTATTTGGTTGTTGTTAGGTAGTGTATTTTGAATACAAATCAGATCACGACCGAAATATACTAAGATGCAATAAATGAATGAAATGGAGCTTAACTTCCTACTCTTCTGTTCCAACCGGGGTAATGCAGGCGGTGTGCTATGAGGGAAGTTTTACCCAGGAAGCAATTGAATTCTAGCTGGCAAGGGTTCTTGTACTTGCGCGGGGCCTCGTTTTTTTTCGTACCACTCGAACGACTAAACGCCGTTTCTTGCCTGGCCACCTGTACTGCACCACTGCTGTGGGGAAACCACGCCAGAAAATCCGACGGAACTTTCTCAGTCAACATCATGATCGAACATAAATTATCTAACATAATCATGTACGTATATTTAATGATTCAGTTTACTTTCAGGTCCAGGATTGGCATTTGTTGTTTATCCTGAAGCATTGTCTAAAATGCCAGCAGCTCCATTCTGGTCAGTTTTATTTTTCATGATGATGATGTCCCTGGGTATCAGCTCTATGGTAAGCTAAACTTTCGTAACTTTTTTTTAAGTTGCTGGTTGTCATCTGCATTCATCGGAAATATCTAATTTTCACGGCTTAACCCATGCTAAAATGTACTCAAAACAACTAAGAAAAAAACCCCTAAAATATGAACGAGAGATAATGTTCCTACTTTCAGTCTGATTAAAAAGAGGCCCATCAAAAGATTTTACTCAACACTTGTGGCGCTGGTTTGTTTATGTCGTCTGATGAGTGTTACAGGATTGACATATCTTTGTAAATACTGGGGAGTCGCGGTGGCTAAGTGGTTAAGACTAGCCTAGAGGTCACGGGTTTCCTCCCGGCGTGGTTTCCACTTGTCAGTAGTGCAGGACGAAGCCCTGACAAGGACAACTGTCTAGTCGTTCGGATGGGACGGAAAACTGAGGTCCCGTGTACACATTGGAGTGCACGTAAAAGATTCTTTGAAGTTGGAATTCGATATAAGAGTAGGCCGTACCGCCGCTGTCCAGACAAACACTGTATGGCGTATGCCCGTCTTCATTAGCCCAGACGGAGCAGAACAGTAGGACGTTAAACCCCATTTCATTTCATTTCATTTGTAAATAGTGAACAGAGTGAACCTTTGGTTGATATTCCTTTTAAGAGATTCGGCTTTCACAGTATTGTAGTTTGTAGATGCAAAATCCCTCAAATTGCTATCAGCGGCTATTAGTTCTCATATGGTGCCATATGATAAAAAAAATACGTTTGATTTCTATTTTGGGTGGTTGTTTTTAGTTAACTGGTGTAGAAACTGTAGCTTCAGCCTTTATGGATGAATTTCCAGCATTAAGAAAAGGGAAGAATACGTACATCTGTAGAGGTATTATATGTTTTTGTGGATTTTTACTGGGATTACCGCAAGTTACTCAAGTAAGTATAGGTCACATAGATAGATCAAGTAAATATAGGTCCACGCAAATAGCTACCGCAAAACAACTATTGAGCAATATAAACTCATTATCCTTTGACGCATATATTAACAAACAGGGCAATTGTTTTCATTGGTCAACTAGTTTTGTTTACCGACTGCAGATCTGGCGTCCACTCGACACAAACTAGGTCATGACGGGACTAACACACGGTCCAATTTAAATTCATAATTCGCATGTGTGTATGGGTCTTTAGCAGTGAGAGGAAACCGGAGGACCCGGAGAAAATCCACGAGGTTGGACAGGTAACCCTACTCCTTGTCACGTACAAGTTACTACAACCAGGGAATCCAAACCACCCCAGTTGATTCAATGACAGACTTTATGATACAATGTTCACACGCTAACAATTCCATCCCAACCCGCAATCACCTGGTACTTTATAATGGTAGATCATTTTGGATCATTATTTACCTGACAGCACACTGGATGACGTATGCCCATCTTAATTAACCCGTTTATGCAACGCAGCCAGACGTTAAACCCCATTTCATTTCATTTTTAAGATTATATTCAAATGAAGTATTGGATTGAGTGACGGGGCATACTCTATACCATTCTGTTTCACAGAGAATTACGATTCCTCTAATATCTCTGTAAAAGATGACTGCCTTTAACACGTACCGTCCCAGCACGTGGCGTCAATCATTGGCTGAATGGCGCGTGCATTGTTTACATAAGACGTTACTGCTTCGGGCAGAATGCTGCCTTTTAGTCAATTTAATACCCATTTACACTAAATAGGAAATAATTTTTACCTACAAATACGACAAGCGTCTTTATTTGTTTTTCTAATACATCAAAAAGATGTTTCAGAATTTAATTTATCGGTGAAAAAAAGCTAATATTTGAGACTCATTAAGTCGCATTGATGTCATCCTTATCAGTGATTGTAGAGGCCTCGCGAATATTCACTGCTGATCAGTGTGACTCTACACGAGGGAGTTGAGGTGGGCGACATCAGCCTCACAGTTGGTTTGTTTCAATGTGGATATCATAAAGTTCTGAGAAGACTAACCCCGCACTAATGTTCATTCCCTTCTGTGGACTATACCCTTTAACCTGCATTTGTTTATCTATAATTTCAGGGTGGTAGCTATATTTTGAATCTGATGGATACGTTTGTCGGTGGTTTCCCACTACTCTTCGCTGGTTTATTCGAAATAATAGTCTTAGTATATATTTACGGTAAGTATTGAGTTACCATAGAAAATATGACTGTATATATTGTCTTGTCTTAGAGGGAAATAAACCGATCTAAAAAAAAGAGTTTTGTCTATTTTGTGTATTATCTATATTTTATATGAACTCTGTGTTTTTGTATACTCAGGTTTTAAGAAGTTTTCGTCCGACATAAAGATGATGGTCGGTGATACACAATTTGCCAAATATTCCTACTACGGTTTCTTTCTATGGTGCTGGACAATTATTACCCCAGCAGCCATCTTTGTAAGCACGTGTATAATAACATTTATTCAATCAAATCAGAATTTCTCTCCATGAAAAAATTAATTTAAATAGGTAGAAAATCAAATAATTTTTTCCCGATATATGAAACCATGAAACAAAATTAATTTAAATACTACGGTAGAAATCCAATAATAATATGAAAAAAATAATTTAAATAGGTAGAAATTATGACAAAATTAATCGATGTCAATTGTTAAATTTTATAGGCTGTTATAGTTTCTAAATATTGCTTTGTATTTTACAGGCAGTGATAATATCTAAGTGTATTGACTATACACCTATTATATCAGAACCAACATATCCACCGTGGTCTGAAACATTAGGCTGGTTTCTAGTTATGACACCTATAATATTAATACCGGGTTATGCTCTATATTACCTTGTTAGATATTGGAAAACACAGGTGAGTTTTGTTAATCTCGTTCCGTAAATATGTTATGGTTTTAGAAATATTTGTCCTTCGCCTTTCAAAGGAAGCAGTGGACTTTTTGGAACACAAATAACTCAAGGAACTCTGCTTCTTATTGAGAATCGTCAAACGTAACGCATTAGGTGAATGTTTTGACTGATTTCGATGATGATTAGGCTAAGCAGGGATAAGCTATTTAATTTGATTGCTAGCTGGTTTATAAAACCATAAATGTGATGGGAAATAAAATGAAATGGGTTTTAACGTCCTACTGTTCTGCTCCGACTGGTTTAATGAAGACGGGCATCCGCCATACAGCGTGCTATGAGGGAAATTTTGTCTACTCTTATATCGAATTCTAACTGCCAAGGGATCTTTTACGTGCACGCCAACGTATACACGGCACCTTGGTTTTTCGTCCATCCGAACGACTACACAGCTGTTCTTGTCAGGCCCTCCGCACTGCACCATTGACAAGGGGAAACCACATCGGAAATTGTGACGAGTGTCTTGTTTTAAAATAGTAAAGAGCCTTCTTTTTAACACTCTACCTTTCTGTTTTAATACTGTAATGTGTCTTTTTGGTTCTCTATCAGTGATATGATGTTTTAATATGTATAAGCACCACTGAGCAACACTGAGCACAGTTAGGTTTTATGCATACGATTAATTGAATTAAATTATCATTATATTTTATACCGATATAATCTTACTAGTTAACCAAATAGGTTTGTTTATTTTCCCACAGAGTTTTTCACAAATGTTTAAACCGACACCACAGTGGGGACCATTATTACCAGAGAATAGAACCGGTGTCTATGCTGATATGGGTGTCGAATTGAACAGTAAAGAAAACGGAATTGAAAATGGTGGTGGTGAAATTAACCCAAGCTATGTGACGGAGAAGGAATAACATTAGTAATGATATAGTTGGGTCCGAATAAAGTATTAAATTGGATTTTATCTGATGTGTTAATAGATTATTGCTGGGACAAGCGCTATACGATCAGTGCCGGGCCCACCTGTCAGGTCATTAACCAGGCCCACACAAGTACGCGCAGAAGACGCGTCACGAGCGCACCGAAGGCGCGCGAACGTCCGAGCGGGGTCTAGGTGGGTTCTCCCCCCAGGAAAATTTTGAAAATTGACAACCGCAAACCCATTTTCCAAGCATTTTCAGTATAAAACAGAAGGCAAATTTTTTGATTTCCTGATACAATTAGATAAATTTAAACATGCCAAGGGGCAGAAATAAAAAGGCCCTTATGTGTACGTCGAATGAATACGCGTGAACAATATGTCAACGGTTTTATGGTACAATATTTATTTATGCCCCCCCCCCCCCCCCCCGCCTCCACTTCCGACGATGGAATTATCATTCAAAACTAAATTATATCCAAAAAGATCTATATATCGTTTTGTTTTTTTATACTTTCGCTGGCCTACACTACATGAGGATCTGACCGGTTGTACTGGAAGGTCGCGTCAAAGATCGTACGAGCGTCTGTTGACCCTATGGCGTCAGAAAGTGATTAATCAATCGGCGTTGACGTTTCTAGTGGTTTACCCACAGTTCCGTGCATCAAACGCCAAGAACCCGCCGTAACAGATCGTTTTAATGGCTAATCCCTCACTTCAACCAGAAGGCCAGTAATAAAACAACTCCTCCAGATCCTAGTGTAGTAAAGACAAGTAAAACGAAATTTTGAACTATAAAAAACGAAACGAAATAGGATCTGTGTTTTAATCAGATTGATATCCCAACTCCATATCCAAACACTGTCACCTCTTTCTGATCAATGTTACAATCATATCTGTTGATCTGTTCCTTATTCATAACATACTCAAAACCTTGTATTAATCTGTGAATTTTTTTTTTTAAATTTAGGGGAAGACCACTGTGTCGTATTATTTATCATCCATCTACACCGTTATATGTAGACAAACTGTAACAATGTTTTATTTGAGAATAAGAGAGATTTATTATCAGATAATGTACATACAATAAATATATATATACCTGACTAGAACACAAGACAATTTATATACATAACATATATAAAGGACATCTACATTCACAAGACTACAAATATATTGGTAGTTTAGTTTTAATATCACACATTTGTTTAAGCTAACTTACTAAAATAATAACTTTGTATATCCAGAATAAGCTTTTCAATTGAAGGACCAAATTCATAATGTGTTTACAGAGATACAAAGTATTTTGTTATATAAATTATTATTATGATATCTATTCATATGACAAGCCCATTATCAACTCTCTAGACCAGTGGATGGATGAGATATTGAGTTGTTAATTAACGGAGTAATGGTACTATTTATGCTTTTTGTTGCGAAAACTGTCATAACTTTGCTCAGAATACAGTGACTGACTGAAATTTTCAATATATTCACGTTTCATTACCTTTTTTTTAAACTATCATAGTAAGGAAGGTCAGCTCATTTTCAAAATGTTACATAAATCATGTTTAAGCCTGGCTACCATTATAATAACATCATGTTTCTGTGGTTGTTATCAATATATACTTTTAAAACTTTCCTTCCATGTCAACTAGGAAAATAACATTTACTGGGTCAATTCATTACATTGTTTCAAATAAATATATAGTTGGACTAAAAAAACAATCTGATTAATATACAGATCTAATCTTATTCCGTTTTTTTTTATATACTTTGATGGCTCCAATATAGTAGTGAAGACAAGTAAAATGAAATTTCAAACTATAAAAAACAAAACGAAATTAGATGGACTAAATTATAAGGACAGGGTAATTAAACATATATCTTAACAATAGGAGGGGACTAATCTGGACTATATATATGTATATAACATCAAATGTATATAAGTGGCCTGATGTACCTTTCTAAGGCATCCATTATAGGATAATTAGTAAAGTGATGATTTAATTAGTGCAAATTAGGCAATAGGTCATGTGTAGGCAATCTGAGCCAGAAGGAATTAATAAATATTCCCAAAATGTAAGACACAATTTTTTAGGAGCAAAAGCTGGCTTGCTAACTACTTTAATTTTTGTTTGACTGTGTTGACAGTGGAACAATAAATCGTTTTTATCTTAAAACAGGCATAATGAACTATTCATCAAAGAAAGATTTTTAATCAAGATAAAAAATTCAATGAAATCAAGATATTTGATTTTTTTACCCAAATCGAAGAAGTCATTTCAGTCATTTTCTTAATATAAACATATGTAAGCTATAATATCATGACCTGGAAGGGTGAACATCTCAATATTTTAATATAACGATAGGAAATTTATCTTCTTACGATTATCTATGTATCTAAAGTCTTGGGAGTCCGATACCCTTATTAAATATTACATTTAAATTTTTACTTACTGAATATGTGTGATTTTTCATCATCCCTTATATAAAGTTTACATACTATTTGTATAGACATTTAGTCAGGTTTATATAAGTACAAAAACAATCAATTCAAACAATACATATGACAAAACATAAAAAATACAGGGAATATTGAAAGAGGTAGAACTGAAAAATAGCACAACTTGATTTACAAACTCTATTAAAATAAAATAAACAAATTTTAACAATTGATGTGCTGCAAAAGAATTTTCTGGAGAATTAAGCAGTACAATCATAGATTGGGTAAATGTTTGTACTAAGACAAGTATAATATGCTACTACAGAGAATTTGATTCACCTAGATGAACAGCCCTAAATCTAAGAGATAGCTAAAGAAAAGTTGGTTTACTTTCTAAAGTCATCCAAATTATAAGTGGTAATTTTGTGTATTGCATTGCATTTGTAATCAAACCATTAGGACTTCTGTATAACATGATCACTTGCAATCATCTTTCGTGTCAGATCTGAGTTTCATTAAGTAGAGGCATTAAACTAGTAATATCATTATTAGTTCATAGCAATCTAGAACTAACTGTAGTCTACAAACCTCCACAGTGTTGAAAAAAACTCAATTCCCTAGATAAACAAATGATGGTATTGGAGAGGTTTTTTATGATGTAAATGTTGGAATTTGTATATTAGACATACATTATGCAAGAGCTAAATCTGCCTATTGCAGGTCTTTCTTTAGGCCTGAAATGTTATCTAAATTATTAATTAGACTTTAATTAACTTATCCAGACCATAATCAACTCTTGATGTCATCGCTAGCCTGCGATATTTACTGGATTTGAATCGGATCTGCGATATTTACTGGATTTGAATCGAATCTGCTGCTCTACGCTCATTCATGATTATATCAAAAAATGGATAATCGAAATTATATTTTTTATTGTACCGACTTTAGTAATGATGATCGAGGCTAAGCCTAAAATTCCATCGCTAAATTCTCGGTTCAGAGTGGACCAATTTGACTGAAATTTTCAGCAAATTCCCTTTACATCATCTAGTTTTTAACTATTATAGTGAGAACTGCCAGCTCTTTATCTAATCTCCCATAATGTATCTTTAATATTTAATAAGAATATTTAACAAAAGATTAGAGACTGTTTAATGACTACATTTAAACTTGCAAAAACAGTCATATTAATTTATTTAACATTAGTCAACCCAACAACAGGGTTATGGTCACCTTCTGGGCTAGCAAGGGATCATTCCTCATTGTTTAGAAAAAAGATAAATATGAAAAGAAATGACAAATCTATAAAATAAAAATTAATTCTGAGTACATTTAGATCTATATAGCTTAATCATCAATATATTCAATGGTTTCTGTCCCAATTCCAATTTGAACTTCAAGATTAAATTTAGTTTTTGTCAGGTCACCCAATACTACTTAAGCTAAAATAGAGAAATTGATTGCACTTGATATCACAGGATTCAATTGGGCAATTGACCAGCCACCCTCGATCTGATAGAGATACTTGGTGTTCCTAGTTGAATACTATCTTGTCAAAAACGCAACAGTTTTTGAATACTAGTCCTATCAATAAATTACATATATATTTGAAAATATTATGTTTTTTAGAGAGATAGACTTAATGAATCACAATCACAAGCTTGACAACTATACGAGTAAGATGGAATTAGTAGGACAAGTTTCAGGAACCGTTGGAACCTCCACCTATGATAAGACTTTCTGTTTGTTCTCTATCCAATTCTCTCAATCTGAAATACAATTATAACTATTAATAGATGCATGTATGTGTTTAATTTCAATGTTTCATTAGTATAATAAAAGGATACTATGACATGGGTTTAGTCGTGACATAACTAGGACAGAGCACTTTTCTGACGTCCCTGTGTCAGTGGTGCAGGACAGAGGGCCTGGCAAGGAACAGTGTTTTGTTGTAGGGAAGATATGAAAATCCTAGGTCACATGGACACGTTGGCGTGCACAAAAAAAAAATTGCTGTAATTTGAAATAAGGAGTAGGCAGCAGCGCCGCTGTCCATGCACCATTTCCTTCATAGCATACTTCATTAGCCTTGTGGGTGCAGAAAAGCAGGATATTAAAGCCCATTTTATTTCATTTGAGGGCAGATCAAGGGAAGTGAAGTATTTATAATTGTAACCTTTGATCTGAATGACAGACAGATGTGAGTCAATAAATATGCAAATAAATTTTTATCGTTATATCTTTTGTGTCCTTTTTTTTTTTATTAAACTGAAATGACTAATTAGACAAAATTAAGATATTAGTATTTTATTGTAACCATAGACAACTATTGATAACCATTACCCCTGACAGTTTGTTTAATTCTCCCGTCAAAAGTCAAAACCTAGTAACTCAATTTTTTCTTTTTTATCAAAATTGAGTTCGGACCAAATTTATAGTTAGTAGGGTATGTGCTTCCTGTTGTTGTACTAGATATTCCAATCTTTTGATTTTGTAAGCAGTTACACCCATGACACAACCTAGCAACTTCCTTCATTTGCCTAATATGCCACAGAAAAACCTAGTAACTCAATAGTCAAATCAATGGATAAGCTGGGGTTTAATATACATTCATTACGTTTTCCTTTGTTTTCTCAAAATAAGAAAAACGTGAGTTACTAGGTGTTGCCTTTTGACGGGAGAATTGTCCTACTGTTATCCTGTATTTAAATATATCAAACTAAACAAACCTTGGTTTTAATCTCTTTTTACAAATACAATGAAGTAATTTTTTAAAAGCCACTAAAACTGGATCCCAATTTTCATAATGGGTTAAGAAGCTAATGGCGAAAAATGATGCAAAAATTGGAACTGCTCCTAAATAAAACCTCCATGTATATTTTACCTGAAAACCATAAAACATAGAAATTATTAAAATTCTGATTGTATATCTTTAGAAAACTTTTCTAGTTAACAATTCAAGAATATATATTTGTGACAGTGTATTTTAATTGACCACACTATATATTTATTTCACAGCCATACACTATTACAACACATCATGTTAATGCTTCAATGTACAGAAGACAACTGCACACATTATCATTACAACTTAGTTCATGGCTGTACACACATCTAACTCATTACTATTCATATATACAGAGGTCATGCATTCATGTTATCAATGGAGAGATCCTAATGATCCTACATGTAATAATATATAACCATCAAATATATATATATCTGTTTACCAAAACAATATATCTTAATCTTATAAGACACTTGAAGCCAAGACACCTTCAATATGTAAATATTGATGTACGTGACATTATGACACTTTAAGTTTAAGACAAGTTGTTAACGCAGGTGGAGTTTTTATCATACAATATAAGTTTATTATATAATTTATCCTGATCAATATTAATATCAAACATTCATATAAAAAGATTGCAATGCCAAGCATGAGAATATGCTCACACAGCCATAATGTCCCGACAGCAGATTATAATAAAGGAAGACACGACACTGACCAAATTTGTTATCTTGACAAAAGGGGAAAAACTCCAGAACGGAAAATCATGGAATGTCGACCTCAATGCTTCACACTAAATTTGAAAAGAAAGTGTCAAAAACTGTAGCCTCTATCACATTCACAAGCCAATTGATGATGGCCGGAGGAACGGACCAACTGTGACGACATATGATATGTGGGCGTATAATAAAGTTTCAGATCGATTAGATAACCTAATTAAGCTTGAAGACACAGGCCAAAAACTTGAGACTGATGTAATAATTTACAATAATATATGAGGAACACACGAGACATTTTTAACCTACATGTATGCTTAACATATTATTCTAACCTTACCTCTTTCATAACAGAATCTGCTATCATTGTTAGAGGTATTGTTAAACCTAGAGCTAGAGTACCAATTAATGATGATGTTAAAAAACAACCCCTATAAATAAAAAGATAAAATATATATATTATCATGTTCGATCCCTGCATTGGCCAAGAAAGTTCACCGGGATTTTCCCGCGTGGTTTCCACTTGTCAGTGGTACTGGACGGAGGCCCAGACAAGGACAGCTGTCTAGTTGTTCGAATGGTACAAAAACCAAGGCCCTGTATACACATTGGTGTGCAAGTAAAAGATCCCTTGGCAGTTGGAATTCCTTGTAACATAAGGCCATACTGCCTGGGCAAAATTTCCCTCAACGAACACTGTATGGCATATGCCTGTCTTCATTAACCCAGTCGGAGCAGAACAGTAAAACGTTAAACCCCATTTCATTTCATAAACATATGATAAAATAAATCTAGAACCGTTGAAATGTGATGTTTGTGAGAAATCATTTACCAACTACCTCTATTGCAGGGCTTCCACTTCAAAATTTTCACTACCGGTCATTTTTGATAACTTTTCAAAGTAAATTCATATTTCATGTTTTTTATTCATGGTATGGTATTGTGAATTCACGTGTCTATACCACTTTGTCACCATGGGGTACACAAAAAAATATATTTGACTTAAATATATTATGATGATTATTTATTAATTAATTAAATATTCCATTTTGGCTACTTAAATAACGAAATAGTTGAACTGGCTGTAGAAAAACCATTTCAGTAGCTCACACGTAATTACCACGTGCTCCATAGTAAATACACTGACCTGGATAATTTTGAGATGTAACACAATAACTTCGATATGAAGATAAATTTATAATTATCCACGGCATATTTCCCACATTTATTGGTTTTAAGACCATCTCTTACGGAACTATGGGTCGCAGAATTGTGACGTAAATCCTAATAATGTACAACTAAATGACTAGCGGATAACTTACTTCCCAGCTAACGACACTAGCGCCCCCTAGAATATCGTCGTGTGTAAGAGTAACCGTATATACACGACATATTTTCTACACGTGGAATTATCAATATCGCTGCACAATAGAACTGGAATACGTAATTTTCTTAATTTTTCGGTAAGCAAGTTCACTATTCTCTAGATTTTATTTCTACAATTTCAACAAGGCCATAATGCCGCTATAAAAATTTATAAATGCATTTTTCTCCCAACACGTACATGTACGTTGTTGAGGACTTCCGTAATTTCTATGCTGTTTTTATTTTATATGACAGTTGGTTGGATGCGAAGAGCAGTATTTTATATCAATTGCCTTTTTTCGAAGCTCATAATAACCTTGTTTACATCGTGCCTGACCGTAATAGCGGTAAACGGCTTTGATGTTGAAAATCCTTATGACACGTGGACAATACGTGAATGATTAACGATGGACCGCTTCACACCGTTGATTAGATTCCCACTTACCAATTAACTTTTATTGTTCTACTACCAGACATTTATCATTAATTATCAACACAACACTCAGTATAATCTGTTGACGACTATTGTATTTATACAACTCTATAACACCAATCACTAGATTGGCTTCTATACGTGTGCATTCTTGTATAGTTACATAGTGGAGGTCGATCGTAGCCATGTTTGAAAATTGGGTTTTGGAAAAAAAGACTCTCTTTCCGGCGTGCAAAATGACCGTTTGGTCAGATCTAGGAACGGTCATTTGCCATAGCCGCAGGTCTCGACCGGTATATACGGCAGACGTGGAACCCATGCTCTATTGCCATATCAGATTTAATTAGTATGGTCTAATGAAGGTAATTTATTCTTCATATATTAACATAATGATAAAATACATAACAATATATAGTTAGATCTAATAGAAATTTCTCTAACATAACCCAGTATCAGGTAGCACAAAGGAAACAATATTAAAACTTACCAGAGCCATAGGAATTCTGAGAAAACAGTCCCCACTAGACCATTTACAGTAATAAAAAACCACTGTGATTTAGTTGGCCAAACAAATTCTTCAGATTTTGAATAATGTAGTATAAGAAATCCAGGCCACATAATTAAACTACAAAATAATCCTACAAAACCTGTAAACAAACACAGAGAATAAAATAAAATATGATTATAATTAATCAGTGGCTTTAAATATAATATTTAACACTGTAAATGATGGGATATCTAGTCACTTGCAAATTACAATATTGTGAAGTTAATTCTTCAAAAGGAAGTATCAGTTATGGTTAAATTCTGCTCAGTATTTTGCTTTAATTTCTTAATTAAATGTTAAATAAGTGGAATAACACATGAAAAACTAATGATGATCAGAGGCTTTAATGATATTCTGATATTTCCCAGGTGTGGATCCAGGTGGAGGGTACTGGGGTTCTGGAACCATTCCTGATCAGGCTCAATTTGGGTGTCTGTGGCACACAAAATGGTTAAAAATGAAACCTACAGCATTCAATTTTTTCAAATTTTTTGGGGGAGGCCAATGAGATCACTTTGTCGTTGGCTTCATGTCTTTGCCGCTTGAAAGTTGTCACTACAATATGGAGATCTGAAATTTCTGGACCTCTCCCTGCAGTGGTGGCACCAAGGAGGGGCAAGGAGCTGATCTGCCCTCTGTTTGCCCCCTCCCCACAATAATTTTAAAAAATAAATTAAAATATTTGTGATGTGTTTCTACAGTGATTAAATCACACATTCCAACTCAGTCATAGACTTAGCGAACCCATCCTGCTGTAAGCCTACTATACACAATAACACTTTCCTCTCTGGTCGGATAAGCTAGTGATTGGGCGACAGGCGATATCCAGTGACAAGCAGCTCATCAACTTAGCTGTAATAAGTTTCCACAGGGAGCTGGCAATGAAGTTGGACATTCTTGGGTGTTCTGATAGCAGTCTTCACTTTATTATCGAATTATTGCATTTCGGCCCACAGACAAGTTTTTATAATTTTTAGTGTTTATGAGTAAAAATCAGCTCTATTTATCTCAACGATTAATGCCTGAAATACTGCCGGAAATTAACCCCCTCAAGCTGGGGCTTTGCTTCAATTTGTCCCTCCATCCAGCGGCAGCTGGCGTGCCACTGTCTCACTGCTGAAAATCCTGCATTTGCAACTGTTTCCACTTAATCTTCAGTGTTTTTAGTTGAAAATGACAAAATGTCGGTCACTAGTGATACATAAACCTGCAAATCTGTATAAATTATAGGACAAAATTCTATTCTATACTTACCAAAAAACATTGGTATATCTAATTTATCTTCATGGTCTACTTTTCTACGTAAGGAAACAAGATAAAGAGCATATAATATAGCTCCACATAAAGCCCATAGAGCTCCTACAGGTATTTCATCTTCAAAGTTTAAATCTGATATACTAACTACCACAACCCCTCCAATACTGAAATAATAAACAGGATAAAAATAATTGTTTTTCATAATCTACAATAAAAACATATACATAACATTCATTATATTACAAACTTTAACAGACAATTTGCTGTGTGGATATCTTATATGTGGTAAATAATTTGTGACCGGCACTGGCTCTCAACACATGTCAAACTTGTGCTTTCTTTTAATATTGACATTTGGGGGGGGGGGGGGGAAATATTGTAAATTTAAAAACAAGTATATTAGGGGGCCGTGTCCCAGCAAGTCAGAGCTGGTTATATTTGAAGTTATCCTTAAAAAAATATCTGAGGAATCGCACAAAGGGAAACTAATATTTACTATATAACTAGTGGCTTTTGACCAGTATAATCAGTAACTAGTTACATGATAATTTGTATATAGAACAGTCTGGGGGGTTTCTCTCCCACAGCCAACAATGAGAATAAAAAAAGATTCTTATCTTTAAAAATAACTATTGCAATGCATACACAATTGGTTTACGACAACTGTCCTTGTTGAAAAGAAGTGTAGTGAATAAAATACAGATAAATATAGGGCTAATGAAGATAGGCATACACCAGGCAGTGTTCTAGGAAGGATATTTTGAGGGGACAACAAATGAATTCCAACTGTCAAGGGTTCTTTAATGTGCACACCAATGTGTACAGGAGTTTGATTTTACTTCCCATCTGAACAACTAGATGCTGTTCATTGCCAGCTCCTCCCTCATACACCACTGAAAATAGGAAACCACCCTGGGAAATTTTCTTGGCCAACACCAGGATCTAACTGAGCACAGATTAAATCAAGAGAATACTGGTAATATTACCTGAACATAACAGCTACTAATTTAGATAGAGAGAATCTGTCCGAACTAGAACTAGGATAGACAGCAGCACATACAAGTGTAAATAAACCAGAAGTAGATGATAAAACATTAACAATAGCTGCCTCTGTATCTAATAATGCCTCTTGATAGGCAAAATTAGCAAAAAACCACTGAAAAAACAAGTATATTTATAGTTTTAAAAAAAACATAACATTTTGCCATATACAAAATTATTCTGGTTCCTAGATACCTCCATGACATTTAAAAAGGTCCGTGTGACCCTTTCATTTTTTTTTAAATCAATATTTCTTCTAGTCATGGGAAGTTACTGTTTAAAACCTTAAGAGTATCATTGACTCAATTATCAAGTAAACAATGTTTCTGACAATCCAAAATGATATTGGACTAATGGAGGCATTAGTTATTAGGAAATGCCACAATTTTCTTTCCCCTTTTAAGTAAATGCCAGGGTTAATTAATTATTGCTGGGTTTGGTAGTTATCTCCCTTGAACTTGTGTATTTGTGCAATGCTTTAGTAAAGCTCTTTTCCGGTAACACAAGAGGGTAACTGAAAACAAGCTATTGAATCCCTCTCACAGTAATGGCTTCAAAAAATTTATTATGTGGTGTACAAAGTTTGGAATTTCACTTCAAAACAAATTATTCAACATTATTTGCATCTATTAAAGGTTTTATATTTGACAAAAACCAGATTCGCTCTAGTCTGACAATGTCTGTTACATATTGAATATGTCTGGTATTTAAATGTTCTACTCAGAAATGCGTCCTGTCTTCGTTTGATTGACTTTAAACCATGTGCCAACAAATTTATTTTCGATTCGTTCAGGGATGTATATGAGAGAACTATTAAACAATGATTAGTATTTAAAATACTGGAAGTACTTGTATTCTTTTGGGAGAAGTCACAAAAAAACAGCCACTGAATTTATACAATACTCAACTGACAGAGTTATAAAACAATTTGATTAAAGATCCTATATGGGGATTAGTGATGCCATTTCTATTATTTTATTAGAATTGTTCTGGAGTCAAATTCATAGAATACAACAATACTTACAATAACTGAGAAAATAAAACCTAATTTGGCAACTTGTTTGACTGATAATTTACTGAGAGCATTAAGGCGATCTTCTTCTGCCTTTAAAGAAGCTGAATAAGACAATCTGGATATAACTGCATCTTCGGCATGTACCTCTACAAAAACATGAAATACCAACACATTACCCTCCTTTTGATTTTAGTAAATATATTATACTAGCGGATAACCAGGCACCTCCCGGGTTGTGCCTGTAACTCCGAAACTCGAAACGGCAGGCCAACGCCACCTATCCTATGTTTCTCCCAGGTCTGAGCTACCCCTAAACACCAAATTTCAGCCTCTGGACAGCCCAAGATTAGCTGCTAACTCTGAACAGACAGACAGACAAACGCCAGTCATTAGAATGGTTACATATGGTGAAAGATCCTTTTCATTTTTAGCCCCAAACCTGTGAAATGATTTAAAACCATCTGGTACTGATACTGATATTCGTTCCTGCCCCTCGGTACAATCTTTTAAATGTGCTCTTAAAACTTACTTATTCAAAAAAGCTTTTACTTAGATATATATTATTTTAATATATTGCATATTTTTGTAGTCTTTTAGTTGTTTTTATTTTTTTTTTTTTTACTGTTATTTGATTGTACTCATTGTTTTGTAAAGCGCTTCTGAACATTGTTGGTGAAACTAGTGCTATATCAATGTTTAATAATAATAAAAATAAAAATAATAATAATAATAAGGAAATATATATTTTGGGTATGACAGTAAATATGAAACTTCACAACCGGACCAAATTGTAATCTATTGACCTAAAATGATCAATACTGTTAGTCAATGAGTAGAAATCATTGCAAAAAGACAAAGCTACAATGGTGGCAAGTATATCACCATTTTAGCGTTGGTTTCTGATGTTAAAATGTTCAGAAGATTGTTTACTCTGAAATCTTTGTTCTTCCAAGCTGCGCATTAGCACGGTAGCTAACAATACAATGTGTTCATTTTTTTTTTCTGAATTTGAGGCTTGACATCCAAAATTAACTTCTATGACTTGGATATGTTTATGGCTTATAAATTCACCACGGTCAATCTACTATCAACCAATTATATATATTTATACCTGATAATTGTCTAACTTCAGATAAATTGTTAAATCGAATAGAACGTCTACCTACAATAAAAAAGAAAGATTAATAGAAGTTACAACCTAATTACAAATTACAAGGTTAAGATATAGTAAACTGAAATAAACTACCAAACAATCATTTGTATTTTCATGATTATACAAAATGGTGATTTCCACATTCTATCATATTGAAACTTTGATTATATTTGAAATACATCACTAAATGAAATAAAACATCAAGCCAAACTAATTCAACAATTTATTTTGACTGAAATGTAAAATGATTAGCACTATACTTACCAGAAGAATCATCTGAATCAGTTCCACTATTTTTATCATATTTAACAGGTACATAAATTGGTTCACCCTGTAATTAAAATATCATATATTAATTACAAAGGCATTGATTGGTTGGATTGGATAAAAATCATTCAAATAAAACTGTATTTAATATTCGTAACAGCATATAAAAAATGACTAATAATATGCGATTAATAAAATCAGCATTTAAGGTGACCACTAACTTACCAAATGTTCCTCAACTTCTCCTTGTTCTCCATTAATACCATATTTCTAAAACATAAACATCAATATACTTAATACTTGGCGTGGTTTCCGTTCTGGGATTTTTTTTTTTTTTTTTCGGTTGGTGACTTCCATAACAACAAAAGTCTAAAAAAAGTTCTGAGTTTGAGAAAAAACCATCTTTGATCATAATTAGATGCTAATTCCCAGTCCTATTTATTTTTGTGTGCAGTGTGGTTGTCCTACAAAGATGCAAAAGTATGCAAAAAGGTATCTTTTGAAGCTGAAATATTTCTTCCTACCTGTACATGCTTACACTGTAATCGCCATGGTTTCCAAATAATAAATCCCAATAAATAAACACTCATCATTCCTGTTTTTACAAATGTGGTGAAAAATGGTTTTTGATACTTGTGAAATATGTACTGAAAGAAATGAAAAATTAAAAAACATCTTTTATATAGCACATCTATATCTTAGTACTCTCAAAAATTTGAACACATTGCAAGTGATTAAAGAAATTTGCTTGATGAATAGTCCTAAACATAGACTGCCAGGATATAATCTTAAAGATAGGTTGTCAGGCAATGAAACATATGCCCACAGCAGCTAAGTCATCCGAGCAGTCAACAGGAGTTGTCGCATATTTTTTCTATTGTCGGTAATGAAACATTTATAATCTGATTAAAAGTAACAACTCATTAAGTAATTATCAGAAAATCATTAGAATTTGTTTGGCTTCTAGTTCTGCCCCATGCTAATGTTTAGTATATAAAACATTTAATATCATGGATTTAGCTGTTCAATTTACCAAAAATCATTGAAAATCAATTTACTTGTTCATCTCAAGACCTTAAACTCTGTGTATCAATGTAAAGTCAATCGAATGATAACTTTGGCCTGTACAGCATCCGCAAGATTTACGAAGTAATCAAGAGCCATAACTCTGACAGTAATTATTGGAGTCCTTGATAATATATAGGTGTCTTCGTCTCATGACTGTAAACACGGTGTATAAATCAATCGGATGATAACTTTGGTCTCCAGAGCATCCAAAAGCTTCTAGATCGTACACAAGCAATTGTAGACACTGGATGGACAGACAGGGTTGACAACAATATACAACCACATTTCAATATGGGCGTATAAAAATCAGGAGCTTTGAGAGTATAAATATGCTACCCCTTGTCTGGTGGCAATAATCTTTGTGCATTTAATGAATAAATAAAATGTTGTTTAATGGAACGTCAGTTCCGTGCATTTAATGAATAAAATGAAATACCTCTGTAAGTTCTGATGAAGCAACCCAAATAACATCAACAATCAGCAACACAATAATTCCTAGAATTAGTCTCTGGACTCGCGACAATCCACCTAAACCAAACATTCTGTTCTATAGTCACACACTGCACACCATGTAAAACAATCTATCTAAAAATCAAAAATAAACAAATCACTATCATTTTTGTTTATTGAAAGGTAGAACAAACAATAACATCAATACAAACATCGATCCTGCTGGGGAATTGAATTCTCTCAGTACTACACGTAGGTGATATGACGACGTTTCAGTCCTGCGACCTTTCAGATTCCACAGAAACGATGGTTCGCATTTAGTCAGACGATAGTATGGACACAGTCTGATGATGGTAATTGGTAGATCACTGCCGAGAGAAGTTCATCAATGTTTTTATAATAAATATGGGTAATGACATACATGTATTGAGTGCAAAATGGGGATTTCAGGCTGTAGCACAGCACTAACAAGAAAATATCTTGACTAACCACCTCATAAAGAAGCACATTTACCGTACTGTGTTTAATTACAACACAAATCTATTCACCCTACCTCAGTTATCCAAATGAAGAGAATTGTGAATTATGCATAATTGCTCTGGGACATTCTACAAGAATAGATTCCACTTCTGGAAGCTATTTTGTAAGCAATTATTTAAAATTGCTAAGTCTCTAACTCAATATCATCCAAAGTCTTTGACAATGAAAACACAAATTACTTGTCAATTCAAATAAACATTGATGTTGTGGACTTACTGGGAAAAGATGGGCTTCTGACATCCAATATTTAAGACAAAATAAACATTTTACCATTGGTACACGAATCATACCTACTATAATGCCTTTCAACGCCATTTGTAACAAAAGGAACGAGGCTAGACATATTCCACAAGTCATGTCAAACGGTGACGTCAAACTCTTATCTGGAGAGTATAAGCAATAAATACTATCGGTGTAAACTGGAATAACCAGATGCTAGTGATTGCCATTCGATTGAGACTTCTGCCATATTTCGCTATATATAAACATAACTGATTAGAAATTACAGTAAAAACGGAAATGAGTGATTGTAAATGTAAAACAGTTTATAGTTATTGCCTATGCCCTATCCTATATCTACAATACATTCATATTACATTATCATTATATCATATGCATTGCGACCCATTTGTGTCAATTTCTAGGTCCCAAATATTAGGGATTTAGCTCCTTTATTAATCTTGCGGACAGGTTAATTCTTTGTAGCTAATGCAAAATACAGGCTAATATTGACAGCAGTAGTGTTTATTACTGTAGTGACTGTTTGTGATTTGTACCTGACGGGTGGGGTATTCGTTGCCCGCTTTTGCTTGTTGGGGAAAAGAATACTGTATATTTACGCCAAATTTTGACACCAACGGCTTACCCTTTAACTACATTTCATAATTATGCAGAAAGTCTTATATTCTCAAGGCTGACATGCTGAAATACTGAATACTTCAAGGTAAATTCACATAATTTAGTTGTATTTTTATTTCTCGTGACCTCATCTAACCGGAAGTAACACTTTGCTACAGACACAATTTGGAAGTTTATTGCAAAATTTATAATATTCTCCAAATGATAATATTAAATTCGCTGATGCGATTATACTAATCCTATTAATGACCAGAAAGGGTAGGAAAAATCTTTATCAATAAAGAAAGTTTTATTGACTTTAATTTTTATTTGCTGCAAAACTCTATTTGTAAAATAAAAGTAGAATTATTTGATAGCAATGTTTCATCATCATCTTTTTGGGGGTTGGACTCGTTGCGTGATAATAGTTACTTTATTATGTTTAGGAATTTCGTGTAGATCTAAGGTCTATTTCTATCATACTCTGACGAGGGATTGAAATTCTTGCATTGATATAGAAACATTTACAGATTCTGAGGAGACTGTCAGAGGCCATCCAGCCTGCTGTTGAATTGTAATTTTTTTTTATATTTATTTGTGATTTGACATTATTATTATGAATGATAAGAAGACATTGTTTTGACTACCGGTATGTAATTTCATATTGCCGTGATTTTTGTTTGTGTATTGAGTATATTTTGTAATCGATTGTGTACAAGACTATTGTTATTGTTAATAAAATAGAAAGTGACAATTAATATAAACAAGCTTATACTTATATAGGGCGTAAGCGCCGACTGGTTAGGCCTACATGTAGGCCCAACTAAAGTCTAATGTATAGGACTAATCAGTTAAACATCGGGAGTAAAAACTAAGGGAGAGAGAGAGAAATGGGGTTTAACGTCCACTCGACACAAACTAGGTCATTTCTGGACTAACATATGGTTTAATTTTATTTCGATAATTTGCTTGCGCGTAGGGGTCTTTAGCAGTGGCAGGAAACCAGAATACCGGAGAAAACCCACGAGGTTGGACAGGCGACCCTACTTCCTGTCACGTACAACCGGGGATTCGAAACCACGCCAGTTGACTCAATGACAGACCTTATGATACAGCACGCACGTTCTAACCATTCAGCCATCCAACCCCCCAATTAAGGACTAAGGAGCTGGCTCACTATAGTATAAGTATAACCAGGAGGTTCAAAAGTTCCTGGCCTAAAAAGTTCCTGGTGATTTTCTAGCGTGGTTTGTCATTGGTGCAGGACGGAATGCCTGGCAAGGTAAAGGCTCTACCGTAGTCATTCGGATGGGTTAAAAAAAGTTGAGGCCCAGTATATATGTGGGCCTAAACTTTGGCATGCACGTAAAAGAAACATTGACAGTTGGTACAGTTGGTATTTAACTGCTGTCTAGGAAAAATTTACCTCATAGACATGTTTATGGTGTATCCCCGTCAAGGGTTGGTGCAGAAATGTAGGACCTTAAGATTAAACCCCCATTTCATTCATTCATTCATTCAGTTGATCCTTAGTCAGTGGTCATATACAAAGTTCAGGAGACAAATTTGAGTAACCACAGTACCTTTTTAGTGTACATGTAGGCCACTGCAGCTTGGCATTGCATTACATTATATTTTTTTATTCAAACAGTATTGTAACCATAATGTCCATATGACTAGACTACATGTACTATATACAGCACATGTATTTTGTGCAAATGCCATATTTTCTTTTAAATAATCAATCTGAGTTAGAGTACCTTTTTATATGTCACTTTTAATTATTTATGAATTTGAAAATCTGTGATCTACCATTTCAAGGACATTAATTTCAATTTAATATACCATGAATACTATTTGTAACAATGATTATTACGTATATAAAAAAAAATTGAATATATTTATTGAAACGGTTTTAGTATCACTGCATCATTGTTACATAAAACTTACTTTATTGTTACTGATTTTTTTCTTTTTTCAAAATAAATAAAATTCATCTTTGCTGAATTATAATGGCCTAAATCTAAGGAGAAAAATGATCTATGAGTAGGATGCTAGTGATTGAATTTAATCTAACATTTTTATTGTTTACTAGGAGTATCTGAGAACTAGAATATATATATTTTTTTTTGGCCCTACCAGTTTAATTTATTAAATTGTCATTCAAATAATATTTTGAGGAAGACATTGTAGTTGTATTTTGATAAGTATTTATAAATAAGTACACATGGGAGGGGTTGTGTGTGTAGAAGGTAGACTAGCTATTTGTATTTGTTGCTCTAACGAGAAAATTGAATAAAGATTTTTAAACAAGTACTGGTACTATCATACTATAAACCAGAAACCAACCCACATTTTCATTTTGAGGTGAGAGCCTCAACTGGAATGTGATCACTGAACACTGTCAAGTTAATTTGACAGTGAAACACACTTTGGTTGAGCATCTCAATTACGTAAGATCCAAATATTACTTTTGCCAGTCATTACAGAATTTAATTGCTCAACAACTTACTTTTTATAAAACTTTAGACTTTTTAAAAGAGACCGTTTTTTATTAAAAATTTTAAATTGTATATATACATATCTTTTATTTTCATAGTTTAATTTATATGCATTGTTTGTGATATTTATTTTTTAATTATGTATATGAATATTGTTTTGTGATATGATTTACTGGTAGTCTGTCTCATATTTCACCATATGTTTGGCGCAATATAGCATGATTGGAGATGATGTGCCATAAAACTCCATTTCATTTCTTGTGACGTTGGATCAAAAATTGAAGCATGTCAATTGATACACATCTTTTTATTTAGAGCATTGCTCCAGGAACAAGAACAAAATTACCCAGTGTATGGAACCAGTTGCTGGTTCTAAAAGCACATCATGTTATTTTATATTCCCTATATAGAAGAAGTAGAAAAGTGTTGACTGGACACTATATAGAACATTCCATAACCTTATCTAGTGGGGTCACTGAACAGGTTGATGATTATTTTTGATACAAAATCATAGATGCGTGGCTTTTGTTGAAAACAAATCTTGAACATTGAGTGTAAATAATCTTAAAGACAGTGGCTACCTTATAACGGGTCAACCCAACACAACTGAACTATTATGCATTTCTTTGGTGTCCTCACATTTTAGTAAATATATTTTAGAAATACCGGAAACCTCTCTTAGTCAACTTAGTCTGGTAGTATTGATTTTCATTGCTATTAAAACAGAAATTGAGAGTACATTGTTAATTAATTAAATTGTGGATTTCTATGGATTTTATATGTCAATTTGTTCTGTGGGATGAAAATCTGGCTTTATTGAAAATTTTACATGTATGGATAGGGACATAGAGCTAGTATTATAACTAATTCTTTACGGTCTATTTTCGACACAGTAACATTGATTAAGTAAAAAATATTTAAACTAAAATTAGTAAAGAAAAAAAACCTTTGGCATTAATTTTTAATCATAAATAGAATTTGTTACAGTAAATTCACTAATCAAATCACTAATAGAAATAACACATCAGATAAACCCAATTCAATACCTTAGTTTAACATGAATTAAGATTTAGTTCACCATGACCCTCAACTATATATATATATATAGTGGCTACTATATTAGGCTATGGAAGATTCCTTTACTTGTTATGGAAAGATGATAGAAATCAAAAGGATTGGCCAATGTGCGTTTTGCCTTCTTTTCTTTAACAGGTGATGAGCCAGTGTACAATAGACTGAATAATACGGGTGGTTTAATTTTGGTGTTAATGACCTATGTAGGGTACTTCTATTGTTCAGATCGTAATAAGACAATGATTATAATAGGACAATGATTATCTATATGCATGATACCGGTAGTTTTATTTTTTGAATCAGTATGTAAGGTAAGCTCAATGAAAAATCTGTTAAAATTAATTAGTCACATTACTAAGACACTTTTGATTACATAAATGGACATTTTGGCATAGGAAACTATAGTTGTACCATTATAATATTAATTACTGGTTTATAAGCCTGGATGATATTAATTGTACCTGACAAAATCTCAGACATTTCTCAACTAGTACCTGTCATTTTGAACATTGTGCAAGGCATGTATTAATAATATCAATAAACAAATGGAAAAAAGACAAATCTATGCCAGACAGAATGACAAGCTCCAGAGTGGTTGTGTATGAAAAAGTCTGATTTTGTGCCAGACATTGTCTGTGACAGGTGCATTATTTCTAGCCTTGTTGGTTTGATATCGGCACGAGACTGTTAGTCTGAGACCAGTAACTTTTCTAACAGAAAAAAAGACTCCCTCCCCCACACCTGTCCTTACCCTTACTAATCTCACAGGTACTTGTATCTTGAGAAAAATATCAGATAAATGTATGTCATAATCTAACAAAGAAGGATTTTGGACAGGCAGCATGTACATGTAAATTAGTCATTTCCTGACAACACATGTTTTTTTTAATTTCAGAGACTGTATTTTTCCTTAAAGGAAAAATTTGAAGAGAATGGAAAATTATTTGAGTAATAGAAGTGGTAGTACATATAATTATAAAATAGGTATTTATCCAAGTGTAAATATATGTACGTCATTATGATGACAGTTCATCTATAGATAAGAAATCCATACTGTAAGTAACAATTACGATATTAAATAATAGAACAGATCCACAAGCATAAAAATCCTCCTCAATGTCAGTCATCTTTTTACTATACATCTGACAAAATATTGAAACTGTCAGGTAAAACTGTTATTGAGTCGGGATGTGGGGTCAGGGTGGTCAAATGTGTGCTCTTCAGATTGTAAAGACCTGTACATTGATTCAAGTACTGTAGTTTGTATGTGAATAGAAGTAGGGTCGACTGAAACAGGGTTTGTTTTTCCAGATTCTCTGGTATATTATTACTGTTAATTTTGATTTCTGTTTTCCAGGGTTTTGATAAATAAATAACCATTTTGTTTAGAATTTTAAAACTTACAGATTTGGATCTTTATGTTTTAAATAGTGCTACCAAATACTTTTGGTTTTTAAATTAGTCTTTCTCCTAAAGAAATGAGAAGAAGAACAGAAAATTAAAATAGTGTGCCCTTAGTTTTAGGGCAATAAACTTATAGTTTGTTTTGTGTAGTCATAAAACTTTAGAATTAAAAATCTCTAACTCACGCACTGCTTAAAATGGAATGGCCATTTAATAGGGAATGGGAATTCAGCTGCATGGGGAAAACACTTATTGATTCTGACAATTGCTAACTTTAAATTCATGAGTTAGGTCCCCTCATTACGAAACCTAACTACTTGTGGGTGTATGTATTGTTCACTGTCAAACAATTAGTCTTGGTCACCCAGAACCTTCTAGTCTTCAACATACAGAGGGTCTGGGAATGTTGTCAATATTTGACGAAATGTTCCATTGCCCATGTGTAACCGGGAGTTCGTTTTTTTATGTGGTTTATTATCCAGTATCTTTGGCCAATAAATCCCATAATTCTTGCATTAATATAAACAAACATGAATCGTGACAACGAATTAGGATTAATTAAAAAAAACCCAGAAATTTTACAATAAAAAAAAAAAAGAGTGTTGGATATTGAACTGCATTTTCTGAAATGCCATTTTTAAATTAATTTCATGGGCGTCAACATCTTGTTTTAGGTCTAGTTACCTCCCAGAGACTTTAGGTGATAGAGACTATCAAACAGTGTTTTGGATTGGGAATTTATCAAGTAGAAAAAAATCCCTTAATACCAAAAAAAGGATAAACATTTCTATTATCTATCCTTGGTAGATACTAGATAATCCTCTAATTAAAAGTGAATAATCTTTGTACTCATTAGGCAGCCTTGACTTCTGTTGCTAATCCATATTTAACCCTTTTAGTTTCCATTTTATCCTCGTTATCCTAACTTATAATGACTTGTTGTTTAATAATCACTTATTGTTAATCGCTTGAAAAAAAAACCCCTCTTAACTGTTTGTTTTGTTGTTTACATGTAGATATGAACAGCACTGTTCTATGATCAACAGACAGTTGCATAGTTACATATTAGTTTAATAGGCCAGGCTGTCAACAACCTCAAGCACATTTAACCATCATCCTGTTCAGTACACAGTTCAGTACATATATTTAACAATAATCGTTTTTATATCTTTCAGATATTATATTCAGTTATTGTGATTCTATAACCAACCAACTTTCAGAATTATTGTGGATTTTACACTCTTAGTGTAGACTTGTAAAATAATAGTGTATTTTCAAATATTGTGGAATCAGTTATTCAGAATTTATTTACAAGGATTTTATAGACATTTCAATGATGCATTTACCCTTGGCAACAAAAGCTTTGTTGGCACCTAATTTTTCTGTGTATAATTCAAGTAAATATGTAACAGTACTTTCAAGTTTTCTAAATCAACACAGTTTTCACAGTAAATCAAATTCCAGTACACTCTGTTTGAATTGTTGTGCTTTAAACTGTCAAGGAAATTGTCAGAATAAAAATGTGATGAGAATTCCAAAGCGGTAAGTATGGTTTACAATTTTTCTGAAAAAAAAAAAATTCAATGTGTTCCTCTAACTTTAATCCTTGATCTGTAGATTTTTGGTGTTGATTTGTTTTGTGAGATGACAATTCACTCTTCATTGACATGTTTACGTGAATTGATGAATCCAGTGTTATGATATATCCTACAATGTATATATTCCACCGTCAACACAGAAAGCAGAAATTGAAATGAAAATTAGCAAGCCAACTTTTGGCCAAACCTTTTTTCTGAACATTAGCAAGCCAACTTTTGGCCAAACCTTTTTTATTATAGAATCAATATAATACATCAAATCATTTTAAACCCCAAAATATAATCACTTTAAATTTTATATTTTGATTGTCAGGCTATAGTTTTAATTTATAAATTTACACTGGTATCATTAGATTTGAGCCGGGGGGGGGGGGGGGGGGGGGGGGGGGGGGGAGCAATTGAGAAAATATAAATCTGATTAAAATATTGTTTTAAAAAAAAAAGATTAAAATACAAATCTATAATTTGTTTCGTTTTTATATGCCCACATTGAATTGTGGTCGTATATTGTCGTCCCCGCCCGTCCGTCCGTCCGGCGGTCCGGCGTCCACAAATGCTTGTGGACGCTCTAGAGGCTAAAGTTAATATCTGATTGACTTTAAATTTATACACAGTGTTTAAGGTCTTGAGACGAAGAATCCTATTGATTTTCAGCGATTTCCGATAATTACTGCCAGAGTTATGGCCCTTGATCACTTTGAAAAATCTTGTGGACGCTCTAGAGGCCAAAGTTAATATCCAATTGACCTTAAATTTATACACAGTGTTTAAGGTCATGAGACGAAGAAGCCATTTGATTTTCAGCGATTTCCGATAATTACTGCCAGAGTTATGGCTCTTGATCACTTCAAAAAATCTTGTGGATGCTCTAAAGGCCAAAGTTAATATCTGATTGACTTTAAATTTATACACAATGTTTAAGGTCATGAGAAGGAGAAACCTATTGATTTTCAACGATTTCCGATAATTACTGCCAGAGTTATGGCCCTTGATCACTTAAAAAAATCTTGTGGATGCTCTAGAGGCTAAAGTTAACATCCGATTGACATTAAATTGATGCACAGTGTTAAAGGTCATAAGATGATGAAGCCTATTGGTTTTCAGTGATTTCTGATAATTACTGCCAGAGTTATGGCCCTTGATCACTTCAAAAAATCTTGTGGATGCTCTAGAAGGCAAAGTTAATATTCGATTGACTTTAAATTTATACACAGTGTTTAAGGTCATGAGACAAAGAAGCCTATTTCTGTCATTTTTATCTCCGAAAGTGTTGTACGTCTAACTCTTCATAAAGTTTATCAACTTGTACATTAAGCGCTCAATGTTTGCATGTGACCTTTGACATCACACGTGCAGAAATTCCTAATCGTCGGGCTGTCGATTAGGGGAACCCTTACATTTTTGTCCTGTATATGCCCCATGAGTGTTTTTTCGGGGAATCCAGTATTTTTCTAGTAAGATTGGATATCTCTAATTTCCATATATACCAAAATTGCCATACTTTTATTGGAAATAACCACCCGATAAATATTTTTCTGGGAACCCATCTTTAAAAACAATTAAACTAAAAGCTTTTGAGCAGAGCAACTGATTATTTTTTGTTTTTAAATTATTTATACGCTGCCCTTGCCTGAAGAGATAGGAAATAGAATTTAATTTCGAAAGAATAATCTGTGTAATAGTTTTAAACTTGAAATGAAATGCTCTGCACTTTTAAACTTGATAAATCCGGTTTGGTTGGGGCATGTCAAGACCATATGGCTTTATTATTGTTTACAGATTTAACATGTTCTGACCTTGTGTTAGATTACTCACAGTAACATTATGTCAACAGCAACCCATTATAAACATGTTTTCAATAAACCATTATATAAATTCATTTTTTGGTTTTCAATACATAACTCTTTGCATGTAAAATGTGATTGTGAGCTTGAATTAAACAGAAGTATAGATGAGATTTGAAAATTAAAGGAGAATATTTATATCCAGTGACAGGCGCAGGTGTTTCCTCTGTTAAAATTTTGAAAAATCACGGTGTCACGGTGCATAAATAGACTTGAATATAACATTTAATTTCGTCAGCTATATCACCCCAACCAACAAAAAGCTGAAAATTAAATGGTTCATTTACACTGTCATTTAGCATCTGGAATAGCTCCTTGTTATGAACAGGCTTCCCCTGTAGCATATTTAGGGAGTAGGAGTCATTTTCTCCCATTTTCATAATCTGTGTGTCTTATTATAAATTGATTTATATTGTTCAGTGGTTTCATAAAATTTAATTCTAAAGATCTTCCAATATTTTCGTATATTGTTGATAACATATTCTTATGTTTTTGTAGGTATAAGAGTCTGTCTGCAAAAAATGATGCTAGCAATGCACTACCTTTAAAATCCTGGGGTTCATTTTGTGATTTCTCTAAGAGAAATATGTTGACCTCAGATGAAACATCATCAGATTTAAAAAGATTCCTTAATGAGGTAAAGATATTTTACCAAATTTTGTTGTTCAGTGTTTCAATTGTAGTTTTTAGACTATTAGTAATTTCATATAAGAAACCCTGGTGTAAACTGGAATGGTTTTTGGGTGGGGTCGGGTGGGAGGCATGTCTAGTCCTGAAAAAATGAAGAGTTCTTTTATATAAGTCTTATTTAAAATTATGAATTATTCACCTGAATCTGTAAATGAAATATAGTCAGTAGGTACATGTAAGTGGATTTAAGATGGTGTATGGACAGAAACTGCTTATTAATTGCTTATTATTATCTTTCTTTTGTAACTTTACAGGTTGGCACCGATCCTCGAGAAGCCAGGTTTTGGTTAAAACATTTTCGTACTGTAGAACAACAGAAACCTTTTGCTATCTTTCAGATAGACCCAGAATTATTTAATCACCCAGAAGAGGTAATTTAGTATTAAATTTTTGCGTCAAATTAAATTTTGCTATTAAGTTTAAGAGTTAAAAATTTTAGTCTTTATTTATTCTAAGAGTTAAAAATTTTAGTCTTTATTCTAAGAGTTAAAAATTTTAGTATTTATTCTAAGAGTTAAAGATTTTAGTATTGAAGTCTGAGGGTGTTTGGAAACAAATACCTGATAGACAATGAATAAATTTCAAACATTTACACAGTCATAAATTGTACTTGAAATTAAAGCCCTCAATTCATTTCTAGACATCTGACTGAGCCTTACAAATAAAAAAAAAATTCTTTAAAGGGCTAGCAGTTTGCATGATTGGCAGCTTGGTATCCAAAACTCTGAACCTTTATTTACATTCCTGTAGAGTGTTTTGGTATTTGACATCTTTAGAAATTAAATGAAATAGGGTTCAAATTTCTACCTTCTGCACCAACCAGGCTAACAAATATGGGCATATGTCTGGCAGTTTGCTATAATAAACAGCAGCATTTCTGTCAATGGTTGTTTAACCCTTAGATTTGTGTATTTTATTTCCAGCTAAAGACTCTAACATCCAGTCTTTCGTTTTTACATCGTAATAATATGAGACCAGTGATAGTGTGTGGTTCCTATGTACATTCTGAGAAAGATATCAGTCAGCAGGAATTTAAGGTAAAGTTTTTAATTTTCATCCAATATTCAATTTTGGGCAAAGTACAGACATACTGAAATTATACTTTTATTTGATTTTGGTTTTTATAATTTCACAGAATTCTTGGGTTTAGGTCTTGGCTTGAGCTGAAAATAATCTTCAGGATTTTTCAATTTTCAAGCACAACTTTCTCATGTCGGGGCCCTTATTCACGAAAACTTAAACTGAGATACAATCGAAATTTTAAGAAATACTGCAATTCGATTGGCTGACCAATATGCAAATTGGATATATGCAAATTGATTTTACTGGTCAGCCAATCGAATTGCAGTATTTCTTAAAATTTTGATTGTATCTTAGTTTAAGTTTTCGTGAATAAGGGCCCAGGGGTAGAGCCTGGGATTGAGAAGGAAAGTGTGCCTGGTGAAACAGAGATTCTCCCATGTACACATGAAGAACTGCATGTCCGCTTAAAATAAGCAAGTACTATTCTGAGAGACTATAACAGACATCCACTAAATTGGCTGTCTGATCAGGATCCAAGTAATTGTTATGCTGATGTCAGAAGAAGGTCTCCATTAACATGTCAGGATTGACCAGCCAAATAAACAGAACAAAATCAACTTTTGGTTTAGTCAAAACCAAAAAAACTTCTGGTTTTGATTTGATTGGTCATGACACACAAGAAAATATCCGACAATCCAATTAATTGAGAGTTCTGTTTAGCAAGTTGGTAATATTGTTTATTAATGTTTATGTATGGTAGGATTTAAAGAGTAAAACAGCATTAGATATGACAGTATTTACAAGTTTATTAGAAGCTCATGGCGTGAAAGCTAGACCATTGTTTGTCGGCAGTGGATTAATACAATGTAATGAAAACAATAAGTAAGTAATTGATGTTTGTTTTTTGAATGTTTGATATATGAGCAATTAAATGTAACATGTGGCAAACTTATCAAATGTCCTTTCAGAAACTTGGGCCATTATTTAATAGTTATTAATTTGTTTAGTTGACTACAATCGTTTTATTCTATCCAAATCATTGGAGGAAAAAATTATATCTAGAAAGGTTTTAAAAGGAATGATCACCAACTAAAGGCTGTGTCTGCCCTTGTTTCGAGACAGCTGATTTAAAGGACTTTGTCTGGCCTTGTAATTGGCTTTAATTGAATTAGTAAAATGTAAAAATAACAATGTCTTGCTTTAAGTTATATCAAAAAATGAATACCAGTTTCAGTAAATATATAAAAAAACAACCTTCAGGTTGTACATGTATTGATGGTTAAATTATTCTAGCCAAGCATGAAGCCAATTATTGCTAGCATTTTCATTGTTAAAGACAAGCCAGTGAAAAGATGTTTAAAGATATTTCAGTAACAGTCAAGAGCATAGATACAAAACAATTGACTGAAAAGTATATTCAAGCTACACCCCTCCAAACCAAAAACAAATTACTTGCTAAAAATAATATGTTTTGTGAGATATTTAAAACCAAGCACATTTTAAATAATACAAATTTTTAATGCAGGAGCAATTATGAATAACATTTCAATCTAGTCAACGAGCAAGTTCACAAAATCGCATGCCGCTAGACAAAGGAGGACAAATGCACCGACTGACATTCTCATTGCAGATGAATTCTTAATTGTCATCTATTATAATTTTTGTAGGATGTTATGCAATTTGATACAATAATTCTATTTGATTCTATTATTCTGTTTTTCCTAGTCATTAGAAATATAGTAATTTCAGATAAAAAATTAAGTTTTGTGGGTTGTGACTGACAGGCCATAAATCTAGAATAAAGTTCATAACTCTTATGAAAATATGAAAAACATATTGTTGACTAGTTGATATAATTTCTTTTACAATTGTATTTATGTAATTTTTGTTTGTTAGTTGTGCGTGCATGATTTTGATATAAATATGAGGTCATTCCAGTTGCTTGCACAATCGCTTTACAAGTCATGCAATTGTTAATTTTTGTTGAAACTTTCTTGCGTTCAGTAGCAAATTTTTCAGAATCAAAAATGTGTGAAGTATTAAAATGTATTAATAAGTTTTTATGAAGATCAATTTAAAATTTATTTTTATGAATTTAAAGATGGTGACCCTGAAATAACAGAAACTGACCAGACTCATGTCAAAACCAGGGCCTAAAATAATGTTTATGTTTCGTAGCATGGATTCGGTGTCAGACCGCCCGCTAGCGCCGGTGGTGAAAATTCAGAGCTGACTATTCTGGCGCAGTTTACATAGGAGTTTATTTGGCTATGCACAGCTTTTTTTCGCATGAAAACTCAGCACTAGGAAGATAACACACCACTTTTGTTACGATAATATTTGAATTATATTTCAAATTCTATCATCACATCAATATCAAAACTCAAATTCTATCAGTAACAAGGATACAAAATATTAAAAAATCTGATTATTATCTTTTAAAGTCTCTCTAGGGAGTGAATCCATTAGGGGTCGTTACATTACACTTTTTCAGAGCACTACACTATTTTCGTAGCACGGATTTTTGATTTCAAAGCACGTTCGTGCTCCAAGGCACGTTATTTTAGGCCCTGGCCAAAACATACAAGTACCTGTTTTGACTTTCATTCTGACATGATGAAATCATGTTATTTAACATAACCATAAAAACTATAATGACTAATTTAGATGATCTCGATATTATATTTTTAGGAAAAAATATGCAGGTCAAATAAACAAGATAAACATAGATTTAGTTCAGTGGTGTTTACATACAAAACATATTCCAGTTATCTCAGCACTAGGTGAAACACCCACTGGTCAGATTGTACTGTTAGATTTATGGTCATTAACCGATGAGCTGTCAAAAATACTTGAACCACTAAAAGTGATGAAGATAAATTTAACTGGTGGTCTAGTCAACGAAAATAGTCAGGTGGGTGATATATTTATTTATAGAAATTAAATATTAATGCATGGCTGTTGTAAGATTTTTTAAAATGATTTCAATTGGTTACCAAACAAGTTTAACCCAAGTTATTATGAACAACAATCACTGGTTTATTGTACACATGAATGTTCCAATAAGTATCAAGAACAAACCAAAATGACTACTGTCCAATTTATGTATTTAAATTAAAGGGCTATTGTTAGATTGTTTTAAAAACATCCTTAGGTACTTTGAATTTTCTGAATAGAATTGAATAATTCTGTTTTAAAAACATCCTTAGGTACTTTGAATTTTCTTAATAGAATTGAATAATTCTGTGTAAAAAATTCTTAGAAACGTTTATTCAAGTTCTGGTAAAGTGATAGTTGCGATCATCAAATCACTCATAAAAAAACAACAATGAAATTCCGTAAATGCACTGCATCCCCTTAGACTCCCCAAATGGCAATTGGAGAGAAAAGAAACACAACTAACAGCTAACTTAAACAACAAAATAAACCAATTTGTACAATTTATAATCATATTTCTGCATGAGGATGCCACATTAAAAGAGCTGGTACTACTGATGACATCCACTAACAAATTCTTTATTTAAGACAGTTCTTTAATGAGGGCACCTAGAATTTACTACTTTTTGCTAAACTGTAGAAAGATGGATCATTGCCTTTAGTACTTGTATACAATGTTTTACAGGTTATAACCTAATGTCAACTTACCTTTAACTCTTTGTGTTACAGGTTATAACCTAATGTCAACTTACCTTTAACTCTTTGTTTTACAGGTTATACCTAATGTCAACTTACCTTTAACACATTGTTTTACAGGTTATACCTAATGTCAACTTACCTTTAACACATTGTTTTACAGGTTATACCTAATGTCAACTTACCTTTAACACATTGTTTTACAGGTTATACCTAATGTCAACTTACCTTTAACACATTGTTTTACAGGTTATACCTAATGTCAACTTACCTGCAGATCTCGACTCATGTCAACAAAAACCCTGGTTTTCACAAGATGTCAAACATAAGGTAAGAGAGAGAGAGAGAGAGAAGTAGTATATATGTCATCAGCAGGGATGAAGGATGAGTGCTACTCTTTGGAGTTTGAGAGAGATATGGGGAAGAGGTGATCAGAGATAACCAGGTCAAATAATTCCTTGAGAAGGAAGATTTATGACTGAGACGAGCATTGTGGTAACTGTGGAAGCATATGTCGACATGTTTAATCAGTTAGTCAAGAAGACAGAGTAGAACACCTGATACCACTTCCCAGTTCAAAGAAGTCCTGTAACACTTTTTGTTATTATATATTTATGTTAGCATATTTTCCTTTTTCAGACGTTAAATATATATAAATTGTTATGTTCTATGCCGAGAGAAACATCGGTGGTTATTACATCTGTTAATAATATTCTACAAGAACTTTTTTCTCATCGAGGTAACTTTAATCTTATTTCCTCTTAGTATTTGATAAATATAAACTTAACACTACCGTAGCAATACAGTATTTTTGCATCAAACCATTAAATCTGTACTGGTCAATCCAATATATAGCTTTCATCGGGTGGGGTTTTCCTACTTTATAGTGACAAATTTAATACAGAAGTATTTATGACTCTTTGTTACATTATTTTTACTGATCATTAAACTGTATAAAACATACATCAGTCAGCCGGAAAATAAGTAGAGATTATTTCACATCAAGATATGTTTATTTGCTATATAATTTAGGATAAGCTTTAGTTTGATGACCTCTTGTTTATCAATCCTTATACTTTAGTACAAGCTGACTGAAAGTAAATTATCTAAGGACCTCATTAATGAAGCTTTGGAATAGTTTGATGACCTTGTTTATCAATCCTTATACTTTAGTATAAGCTGACTGAAAGTAAATTATCTAAGGACCTCATTAATGAAATCCCTCTTATTGTTTTTAATGTATATTTCAGGGTCTGGTACATTTTTTAAAATAACTGAACCAATCCATGTTTATAAATCATTTGATGGTATAGATCTAGATAGATTAAAAGACTTATTTAATAAGTAAGTACAGACAATTGTTACTAACTTAAGGCACTTTGCCCAGGGCTAAAATACGAAGATTCAGCCATAACAAGACGTAAATTAACATTAAAATATATTTTTATTTCGGGTTGAAACTATTTTGATATTAGTTATTGACAAGGCGGGAAACTGGGCTTGAACATCCTGAGACACCAGGATTGAAGTCAATGGCCTCATGTTCACTCGTGGAACCACTAGAATATAAAGAAATGGCAATGGCTGAAGTTACTAAAATTGAATTCCATAATATTGATTGTTACTGATTTGTAAAATTATTTTTCAGGTCGTTTCAGAAAGATTTAAAAGTTTGTTATTTTGATGATGTTAAAGATAAAATAGATAGAATATATTTATCTGAAAAGTAAGTTATTGTTTTAATAGATTAATATGTACTATTAAACTCCATATAGTGATATGTGTCATGCATGAAGCAGGGTATGTTTACTCTTTCCAAAAACACCTGAATTTACTTCTCATTTGAAGAGTTCACATAGCTAAGAATTGTTTTGTACCTTTGTGTTTACTCTGTCTACTTTATATTTTAAAACTTTTATCATTGGATCAAACCTTTTTTCAGGTTGATTTTGCGTGTGTGGAAATGAAATGAAATGAAATGGGATTTAACGTCCTACTTTTCTGCGCCATCCAGGCTATTAAAGACTGGCATACGCCATGTATTTTGCCTGGACAGCAGTGCTACAACCTACACTTATTTTTAATTCCAACTGTTAACAGGCCTTGGGTTTTCTTCCCATCCAAACAACTAGACACTGTTCTTTGCCAGGCCCTCTGTCCTGCACCACTGACAAGGGGAAAAACCATACCGGAAAATCCTGAGGAACTTTCTCAGCTAACACTGGATTCAAACCCGGAACCTCAAGGTTAACAAGCTAGTATTGAACTCACTGAGCCACTGCAGCTCTCGAGTTTGCGTTCAGCAGCAAAACTGACTTATGACTGTATTGTATATATGCAGATATAATGTCAAAACTATTTTACATGTTTTTCAATCTTGTTTTATTTCAGTTATAATGCTGCTGCTATTATACTGCATGATGATACCAACATTCCTTATCTATGTAAAATAGGTGTGTCTGCTAAAGCTCAAGGGGAGGGAACTGGTGATATGTTATGGCAATCTGTAACCAAAGATTTTAAACAACTATATTGGAGATCTCGTATTGACAATGTCATTAATTCATGGTATGTTGATTTTATATAGACTTGACTGTAATCTACATCCTTATACAGATCATTGGTGGAAGATCTGCTGTTCTTCTATTGAGAGTTTAATTTAGGAAATGAAATGAAATGAAATGGAGTTTAACGTCCTACTGTTCTGCTCCGAACTGGGCTAATGAAGATGGGCGTACGCCATACAGTGTGCTATGAGTGAAATTTTGCCCGGACAGCGGCACTATGGCCTACTCTTATATCGAATTCCAACTGTCAAGGGATCTTTTATGTGCACACCAATGTGTACACGGGACCTCGGTTTTTCGACCCATCCAAATGACTAGTTTAATTTAGGAAAGAAACCATAATTGTATCAGCTAAACTGATCGCAACATGTCTCTGTGTTGTGGTTGTATGTAGAAAACTTTCTCTGGATTTTATTCTTGGCTGGAAGACTGCCCTATTATATACAGAACGTAGGATACTCAATTGGTCGCTTCAGATTTAAATTCTCTCAATCTTACAAATAGTGATAATCAACAGAATATGAAAATACCTCAACCAATCTGAAACAGTTAGGAGTATGGTGGCCGGTTGTCCAGATTTATTCCTATATTATCAATATGTATATTGATCTTTCATTGAAACAACCTTTTACCCCCCACCCCACCACCCAAAGTTTCTATGTATAATAATCTAATTGCATTTTTCTAGGTATTTCAAGAAATCAGAAGGTAGCTGGACAAATGGAAAATGGACTATATTTTGGTGAGTAGAGTATAAGGCTGGTTCTGGTATATCTTACTTGCTAGTTACTATGCTTTTATGTCTCATTAATTGTTTTGTCACCCACCTTTCTGAGAAAGCAGGTAGCTTGGCTTGTTAGATTAATTATGGGTGTATATTACGAGGTTTACTTCAAGTGTGGAGTATAAGTTGAATCGTCATTTATACTGTTTTTCCAACATCCATCTATATAAAAGTCAAAGTGGTATATAAGATGAATGTTGTTCAACTCCACCTTAGCAATCTTTTATTGTGATACAGGAGTTTTATTCTTGTCAAATACTCTGTCAATATATGTCAAAAAATGACGCATGATATTAATTAATGTAAAGTAATCAGTTTATAAATGTAAAACTAACTTGAATAATATTCCAAGTTTGTTCTTGTTAGTTTTTTCAATAAATACTAGACAATACACACAATGTTTGTGATCGCACATGGTAATATATTATGATGAATGTTACTAGATATGATTGGTTAATTTAACAGAAAACTAAAGTAGAACTCTCGTGAGACGCGAGAAAATATGAGAGATTGCACATGAATATTGTCGGAAGAAAGATTCTATTTTGATGGTATTTTCTAATATTTATGATTATATTTTGAATAGGGGTTATGTTTTTAAGTAAAAGTTATACAAGCTATAGATATTTAGAAATGTCGACAAGTATTTGTATTGGAATACAATAAGTAGTTTTATAAGATAGCAAAAGTTTGACTATACGAATGCTAGTTTGTAGCAGACGATGTTACTCAACAGTTGGGAAATGAGAATTATTTTTTGGGGATGTAATTTTTTTATCTTCATCAATATATAAGTCGATGTAGAGTATAATACAAAGGCCCAGCTTCCGCGGAAAAAAGTATTGACTTATAGGCTCCCCCGAAAAATACGGTAACCTGTCTGCGATATCACTGTTAGTGAAAGGGGAAAAAAGAAAGAAACATTCGCACCAAAGTCATCCTTTCAAATACAATAACGATCAACAAGAATCCTAGTTATATATAAATCAATTATTGTAGCCAATAATTATTTTTTTTATTTTTAGGTATGGTGTCAGTGAACCAAGTACGTCAACAGAACTAATCAATAATGCTTTACATAAGGAACAATCTTTTCAAATACCCAGTGAAAAACTTACTGCCTAGATGTTTTGTGTGAATTAGTGCTCGGATGTGTTTTAATTTTATTAACCTGTTACTTGTTGCTTGTATATATTGGAAGATATGGTAATCAGATGAGTTTAATAAATGGGAAAATTAGCCACAAATAGAAATCCAAGATTATTGTTATATTATGGAATTTTTTTGGTAGCAAATTTGCAATATGTTTTGGGACTTATTCAAAGACAATCCACAGTTAATTTAAATTTGTCCAAAGAAAAATTGAAATATATATGTTTTGGGGAATAATTTATACCAACCAATAAAAGAGTAATGAAATTAATATTTATTTCTACTACGGTTGGGGTTATGATATCTATATTTATACTGCTTAATGTAGGATAGGGGCAAATTTATACATTTTTGACTTGTCTAAAAGTGCAAGCATACTTTATGGACCAGGAACTGATTGTAACAGAATGACAGCCGTCTTGAAATTGTGAGGTTATAGCAAAAATGGAAGACCGTCCATCAATGCACAATTGTCCAAGGAACAAGCATGCCAAGCTTCATGTCAATTGTACTTGAATTGGCAAAGCCTTTGGCGTTCCCCACAAGAAGAACAACAACCAGATGAGTAGTGCTTTTGAACCAATTCCCGGTCCAAAAATTGATATATATGTTGCTTAGGTTGTTGTTGCTTAGGTTTGTTCAAATGATATTTCTTGACCCTATTGCAATGTTGTGTTGGATATTTTTTAATTAGTAGTCAAATTTAATTCATGTGACAATAGTGGGTGCGCAAATTATTCGTGCAAATGTAAACTTGATATTCTTTCAAGATAATTTTTGCCGCAGCCTATCTGTCATGTGCCCATAATCAAATTTCTGTCTTAAGAGTCTCAATTTGCAGTTTTTGTCAAATATGTGTGTGTCAGTATTATGAAACTATTCACGATAAAACTAGTCTATTTTTGATATTTTGTAAGAATAATTGTCTATATTCTAGTAAAAGAGTCACTATCAATCTCAGGAAGAAATTAAATGTAATTGATTTATTGAAAATATTCTTATGCCACCATATTATTGAAAATTCAACATATTAAACTCATTGTACGACTTGTAAATTGAAAGTTTAAAATGGGCAGATTTGTCTCCAATATTGTATAGATCTGAACATGCTCAATAGAACTGTATAGTCAACTCATGTCAAATCGAAAATTATTTTTGATCAATCGGTGAAGACCACCAAAATACTAATGTGGGACTTTCATAGTTCATAAGGGGGGTTGGATGGCCAAATGATTAGCACGTGCGTGCTGTATCATGAGGTCTGTCATTGAGTCAACTGGCGTGGTTTCGATTCCCCCGGTTGTACGTGACAAGGAGTAGGGTTGCCTGTCACCTCATGGGTTTTCTCTAGGTCCTCTGGTTTCCTCCCGCTGCTAAAGACCCCTACGCGCAAGCGAATTATTGAAATAAAATTAGACCATGTGTTAGTCCAGAAATGACCTAGCTTGTGTTGAGTGGACATTAAACCCCATTTCTCTCCCTCTCTCTCATAGTTCATACACTGTACTTAAAGATGTTATTGAATTATTCTTTTTTATGTATTGCTGTTTAAAGTATAAGTATACTTGTACAGCCATATTTTTTTATTTACATATTACTGCCATTCACATACATGTAAATGTTTTTAAGTTTTAATGCATTTGTTGAATTATATGAAAAATTTAAAACATATTTATTTTTGGGAATTGTATATAACTCTGGCATCATTTTATTGATGCTAAAATATTTATAATACAAAATATTTCAAAAGGGGAGGAATGCGTTGTCTTTGTTGATAGAGTTGTGTCCCCTTGTGATATTACTATTCAGAATCATGGTTTTATCTACAAACTCAGCAGTGCTGCAACTGTGATGATTGGTGGAGATGTTTTATTTGTCCCTATATTTTTACTCTATTGTTGCCATTTCTGGGATTAATAGAAATAAATTCTGGTTTGCGTAATTAATATTTATTGACATATTTTCAGTCTAGTTATCATAAATTGAGATAGGACTGGAGTTTAACATCTCATTTAGACATTACATCTTTATTTTGAGACTAACATGTCAGTAACTAAAACAGCAAAATAATGTAAATATTTCTTAGCACAAAGATAAATACTGTCTTCTTAATGTAAATAAAAAATAGTGTGACATTGCGTTAAAATGAGTGCTATAAACTGCCTCGAAACTGTGAAATATCAACATTATGTTTAAACTGCATTTTCTTCCCTTTCATTTTTCTTCCGAAAGTGTCATTTTCTTGTATTAAATTATGAATATCTCCACAAGTTATCAACCGATTTTGATCATTTATAGACCATTTTGATCCCCAATTTGTGCTTGATGTACACATACCCAAAACATTTTTTTTTAAATTTTCACCATGTGAAGGGTTTTCCTATGCCGCCACACATATGGTTACTCTTTCTATGGTTAAGTGTGTAATGCTAGACAGTAGAATTTTCCTGTTAAAATACTCAAGCCCAGGAGTGCGCCTCAAGTATTTGCCACTTGTCTATGATTTAAATCAATGAAAACAACCTGAATTTATATTTTCAAACATTTTTAAAGATACATTGTCCCAAAAGTATTTATAGGGTGGTTATTTCCAATAAAAGTATGGCAAATGTGGTACAAATGGAAAGTATAGACGCCCAATTTTTCTAGAAAAATAGGATGGAGGATCTGACAAGGACAACTGTCTAGTTGTTCGGATGGGACGAAAATTGGAATTCAATATAAGACCAGGCCGTAGTGCCACTCTCCAGGCCAAATTTCCCTCATAGCACACTGTATGGCGTATGTCCGTCTTCGTTAGCCAAGTTCGGAGCAGAACAATAGGACATTAAACACCATTTCATTTCTAGAAAAATACTGGATTAACTGAAAAACACCCACAACACAGGCACTGAGCAAAAATGTCAGGGTATCACTAACTGGCAACCCAACTGTTGTCTGCCAGCTTATTGTGTGCTAGTTTGACTGAGGGAGCAGTTGTTATTTCTTGATCAAGTGGTTAGGTGGTTTTGGGGTGTCAACTTACAATTGAAATTAGTGCCGAAATATGCAGAGTATTATGTGAGGGCCTTGATAAGATGTACAGAGTTAAAGCAAGATCAAGCTTTCGATTGAAGATGATTAACTGGCAACCTGACTGTGGTCTGCCAGCTTATTGCATGCTAGCTTGACTGAGGGAGCGATTGTTATTTCTTGATCAAATGGTTAGGCGGTGTTGGGAACAATCAGGGGTTTCAACGTACAAAAGACTCTGCAATTAAAGGTCAGAAAGAGAAGTTGATAGGAAGTAATTAAGAATTTATTAGGCCTCAATATGTATGGTAAATGGACAGTAAGTAATGGATCCTCCCTAAATGAAGTTAGGTGACAAACATCGCATCTAACAGGTGATTTACAGCTTGAGGTATCCCCCCCCCCCCCCCCCACGAATACAAAGTTTTGAGATAGATTTGAAGCAAATTTTTAATTGATTAATTAGTTTGAATATGTTTTTAGTCCAAATATATCATCAAATCACACAGTTTGTACATGTGAAAGTATCTTTAAGTCCACTGTTTCGTTTATTTGGTTGGTATTGAATTATTTTACCTCTCCCAGGTACCTATCAGAATTGTAGAAATTCATTAAATTATCTCTAAGTGGCGGAATGGGTCTAAATTTTTTACCAGACAACTTGTTATAAGACACACTTAATTGCAAAACATAAAGGAATCAAATCTTCTCAAAATCTACACAATATTTTTCAATTTCAGAAATTTCCTGGTATTTGGTCAATACTTTTTCTATTCAATGAGCACAGCATCTGACAGTATTAAAATTTCCAAACAATCAATGATAATTGGTGATCCTAAAGTGTTATTATAATGAATTGACGAACAGGCTGATAACAATATATATTGACCATTAAAAGATGGGGTTATTAGAAAAATCTTATAAAATAGGGCATGAAAGAGGTTTATTTCTACAAAACAAAATGAATAGAATATATAAAATATGAACAGTTGTAAATAATATTATTAAAATATTCACTAGTCTTAAAATAATATCACAGTTTTATTAGTTTATATGCATATCATACAATGTACAATAACAAGGATTATAGGTTACTAGAAATAATAATAATTAATTACTTTTATAAATAAACAAAATCGGTTTAACTCAATAATAATAATACAATAAAAGAAAAAACAATGTTAGTAATTAATATCAAAAGTTGCAGACAACAGAAAATTTGGAATTAAAGTGATAGGTTGAAATTCAGTATATCCAAATGGTATCTAATGTCAGATGCATGTTCCTAGCCACTTACATATAGCTTGGAATTTACAAATATCAGCAAGTCTGTGCGTTCAAAAATATTAGCCAGTTTGATCCTTTTTTTCTTTTATTGCAGTAAATAACACAAAAAATCATGTTCAACTAGAGTCTAAAACAAATTTTGCAAATATCTTTTTAAATTTGATTATGTTTATTTAGTTCAGAATATACATGTATATTTTAACAGCCTCAGAAGATGAAACTTTAAATTAATATTTATACATTTTATGGCAAATTGTACGGTTTGTGGTTTTGGTGAAATAGCATTATTTCAATAAGCGGTAATCAGTATATTTTCAACAGTAACAAATGACAATTGTAGGTAGAAGTCCTAATAAAATCTCAAATATGTGTAACACATCTATTTAAGCCAACATTAGATCACACAAGTACACCAAAATAAAATAAAAACTTTTTCTTTTAATACACAAAAAAAAACCCCAACTCTCCATAACTTAAAATTATCAGAAAAGTAGAATGAAAGAAGTAGAATAGAATGTGAAAACTCTTTTGTATTCTCTTTTATTCTCCGTTAGTCTTTTAATCTCTCTTAATTAGTTCTTACATTTCAAATAGAGTTACCTAATTCTGAAATAACTCAAATCCAAGACAATTGAATTGGTTTTGGATCAAAACTTTGTTACAACTCATGAAGGAAGGTAATTTTATTAAAAGAAATTTCTATTTTTCAAGTAAGATGATATTTTATGGATTGGAGAATGCCTGGTGTAGATCACTCCAGTTTTAATTTTTTCAGCTTTAAATATGTATAGTGTCAAAGGTCATACAGAGATTCTTGTAGATCCTATGATTATTTGAGAGGAAAAGTGATCTTCACTTTGCATTAGGGTCTATTTTAAGGTTTTTTTGGCGAAGCCTGGTTTCCGGTGTTTTGGTGTACCATGAAAATTTCCAGAATTTGACTTTCGATAACACAATATCACACTTACACTTTTATAACCATAATATAACAGAATTAACCTATTTATATTTATAATCCTGTGTCAGTATCATTAACAGTCCGTCGATTCAAAGGAAAACAAAACATCACTGTGACCTGCACCTGACGATGTTTTGCTATGCAATTTTCGTGTTTTAGGTGGTGGTGGGAATACAGAAATCGAAAGTGACCGATGATCATAATGATAGCTAAGTTTCCTCATACAATCGTGCCAGATTCAAAAGACTGCATAGTATTTTTTCAAAGCACAGATTTCAGATTTTCAAAGCACAGATGTTTTATCCAGAGACATGTTCGTGCCTGTAGGCACATTAAAATTGCTAACTGGTGGATTGAGACATTTCCCATAAGTCATTGTGTGAACTGTATATACAACCTACAACCTACAATACCAGACTAATATTTGTTGTAGTGGTTATGAGATAATATAGGCTGAAGTAATTGAAACTACAGAATACTTTACATTTTACATCAGAACTTGGAAGATTCATTCTGATCGTACCGGATTTAGAGTGAATGTAACTTTCCATTGATCATTTCCAGTTTCAACATTTTCAAAAGAATAATTATAATAACATTTCAATTGAAATTTGGCTTTAAGGATCCTATTTTTGTTCTATTTGTTCTATGTATGGTTGGGCAGTTGGACTACACTTCCATAAGAAAGATAATAAAGCATAGATTTGTCTGGACTAGATATGAAGTGACTGTTTCTTTCATGGATTGAAATAAGCAAAATGTCATACAAAAGAATCTAGATTTACAGAAATGATTTTGTACCAGCCAATATTATGTTCAACTGCCTTGTCAATTACATGTCATTTACTGATGATAGACACTGAAAGTGATTAAATTATATATATGCCAATTATAGATCAAACAAGGAATTAAAAGTTAAATGACAGCAAGAGTTTCTACCCCCTTCATTTATACTCACAGATAATATTTACAATGATAACCAAAACAACATCTTTAGTACAACATCCAAATTATTCATCCAATTAAAATATTTAACAACAAAAAAAAAACATAAACAAATTATCGTTGTAAATGAATGTTGACATAATGAATTGTGTTATTTTAAAATTACTCATGTTATCTTAAAGTAACAAAATCTCGGACTTATGCATTAATCTGAATAAAATCATAATAAGTCTCCCTGATAAAATGACCAGAACTCTTTAATTAGAGGCAAAAATTGCTTATTTAGCTCTTCAAAATCATACAGAACTTAAGGTAGGTGAATAATAGTATTTGAAACATTAATACATTTGTGTCTTTTGTGCTTGAGAACGATAAGACAACATTTGTTGAAAGGTGGTGCTCTATGTGTAACAAACCAGTGATTGTATTCCATATATATTGTGTTTTTATTGGCTAAAATGCAATTAAACTAAATGCCATTAAACTAAAAGCCATTAAACATGCATTATGTAAGAGCTAAATCTGCCTATTGCAAGTCTTTCTTTAGGCCTTAAATGTTATATAAACTATTAATTAGACCATAATTAACTCTCGATGCTATCGTTAGCCTGCCATATTTAGTGGATTTGAATACGTTTGGTTGTGGATGAAATAACTGTAAAAATTGATAATTGAGACTGTTTATTGTCGTAACAATGGTAGTAAGGCTAGACTAAAATTGAATCGCTAATATACTATTCAAAAAAAGTAGGGGATATTTGATTTTGGGGGCATAATACTAAAATATGCAAATGACTAAGAAAAAAGTCACTAAAGAACCTAACAGAAGAAACATTTCCAGTTACATGTGACGCCCAAACGCACCAATAGCTACCGCATGGAATGCAGGTGATGCTTGGGATCATCATGGGGGTCCAACCCAAGATTTGCACGACTCTGACTTTGAATGTTACAGTCATTGTGGCATTGAATTCCAGGGTGGAAACATCAGTTTAATTGTTTTAGTGACCAGAAAACAAATTTTGATATGCGTCGGCTTACCCAAAATGAAAGGTTACGTGCCCTTGGCATGCTACAGATCGGCACAACACAGGCGGTTGTGGCACGGACGATGAATGTTTCTCAGTCTGTCATAAGCAGGCTATGGTCCAGATACCGTGATACACAATCTGTACAGGACAGACCACGCTCAGGTCGACCAAGGGCGACAACTCAAGCCCAGGATCGATTTATCCGTACCTTGGCCTTGAGAAATCGTGTCATCACAGCAAATCAGATCAGCGCTCGTCTTCAAACAGACACTGGTGTGAGAGTGAGTGGCCAGACGATTCGGAATCGACTGCATAGGGGTCACCTTCGCGCCCGACGTCCTCGCGTGATCCCTTGTTTGAGAGATCATCACATTCAGGCAAGACGTCGTTGGTGTAGGGATCGTCAACACTGGGATAATCGACGCTGGAGCAATGTGATGTTTTCAGATGAGTCAAGGTTCACTGTTGATTTTTTGGACAGACGTAGGAGGGTGTGGCGTCGTCGAAACGAGCGCTTCCAAGACGTTAACGTCATCAGACATGATCGATTTGGGGGTGGTTCTGTTATGGTGTGGGGAGGCATCACTGTTGCTGGAAGAACGGCTTTACATGTTGTTGCAGGGCGTGTTACAGGCCAGTACTACCGGGACAACATCTTGGCAGTCCATGTTGTGCCGTTCGCACGACGTCATGGCCGCCGTTTCATCTTCCAGGATGACAACGCAAGATGTCACAGGGCCAGGATCGTTACAGGTTACCTCCAACAACAGAACATCACCACATTACGTTGGCCAGCACTGAGTCCCGACCTCTCCCCCATCGAGCATGCCTGGGACATGCTTGGACAGAGGTTACGTCAACGTCAACAACGTCCTGCCAATGTCCAAGAACTTGCTGCTGCGTTGCAACAGGAATGGGACAATCTGGACCAAAATGACCTTAGACGTCTCATTAGGAGTATGCCACGTCGGATCAATGCTTGTTTGGCAAACAGAGGAGGATTTACCCGTTACTGACTTGGTTGTGATGCTGTGGTAACTTTGCTGTTTGACCCCGGGTATCATTTTACCCTTATAATGGTCAGTCTGTGCCTTACTTAGTCTAACGATCATTTGGAATAAATCGATGAATGTGAACTTCATTTCATTTTGTCATTTGTTTCTTCGTCAGTTTCATTAGGTGACTTTAATAACACTTAAAAATCAAATATCCCCTACTTTTTTTGAATAGTATATCTTGGTTCAGAGTGAAGTAATTTGACTGAAATTTTCAGAATATTCTCATTTCATTATCTCTATATTTTAACTATTATAACAAAAACTGTCAGCTCTTTATCTAATCTTACCTAATGCCCCTTTAAAGGATTATCTTCACAAGTTGTTGCCGATCACCGAAAGATCACATGGGTATATTTTACGGTTACAGTCTCAAACTGGTCAGATTGGTCTTTATAAATTTGCCAATATTATCATCCAAAAATAAAATCAATAAATATTCATTTGAGATTTACAAACTGTCCTTAAAACAATCAATTGTTTTATTGAAATAACTGGAATTGATTTTGACTGAATATTGCCATAATGATCGAAGCATCTTGCTAAGTATATTTCACAAACACATTCTTACTTACTTTCCGTCTTGCTCTTTTCTTACAATTAACGCCAGTTTTTAAGTTTGTACTTATGTATACATACATGCCAATCGGAAAAATGAGACCCAGGTGTTTAATTTGGTGAAAATCGTCACACGAATCTTGTGAATTTCTTGACTAAGAATTTAAAACAATCTGTGTGGACTAGAAATAAGGTGATCATAAACAAGCTACTGTTTCATAAAACATTAAATTATGCATAACTAATGGTAGTATTTTGAAATAATTGCATTATCAAGATGAGGAAGAATGATTGTCCAGTATCCTATAATCCAAAAATCAACAGTCAGGACTGGTAACTCTTCTTAAATTTGATGTAAGGATACATCGGAAAAATGAGACCCAGGTGTTTAATTTGGTGAAAATCGTCACACGAATCTTGTGAATTTCTTGACTAAGAATTTAAAACAATCTGTGTGGACTAGAGATAAAATAATCATAAACAAGCTACTGTTTCATAAAACATTAAATTATGCATAACTAATGGTAGTATTTTGAAATAATTGCATTATCAAGAAGAGGAAGAATGATTGTCCAGTATCCTATAATCCAAAAATCAACAGTCAGGCCTGGTAACTCTTCTTAAATTTGATGTAAGGATTCATCGGAAAAATGAGACCCAGGTGTTTAATTTGGTGAAAATCGTCACACGAATCTTGTGAATTTCTTGACTAAGAATTTAAAACAATCTGTGTGGACTAGAAATAAGGTGATCATAAACAAGCTACTGTTTCATAAAACATTAAATTATGCATAACTAATGGTAGTATTTTGAAATAATTGCATTATCAAGATGAGGTAGAATGATTGTCCAGTATCCTATAATCCAAAAATCAACTGTCAGGACTGGTAACTCTTCTTAAATTTGATGTAAGGATATTGTAGTTCCCAGTGTGTTACATGGTTATCTAAAATCCCTCCGCAGAAGGAAACATCAAAGAATTTTAAATTTTTACACTTTTCAAGAACCCTGTAAAAAGAAAGATAGGTTGCCAGGCAACGAAACATACGCCCACAGCAGCTAAATCGTCCGGGCAGTCAACAACAGTTGACGCATATTTTTACTTTTTTCAGTAATGAAACATTTATAATACACTAAAATCTGATTAAGAGCAACAACTCATGAAGTAATTATCAGAAAACCATTAGAATTTATTTGGTTTTTATAAAGTTCTGCCCCATGCTAACGTTTTGTATACAAAACTTTTAATATCATGAATTTGTTAAAGTCATAAAAATTCATTGAAAATCAATATACTTGTTCGTCTCAAGATTTTAAACTCTGTGTATCAATCTGAAGTCAATCGGATAATAACTTTAGCCTTTAGAGCGGAAATCGTTGAAAATCAAGGGCCATAACTCTGGCAGTAATTATCGGAAATCGCTGAAAACCAATAGGCTTCTTCGTCTCATGACCTTAAACACTGTGTATAAATTTAAAGTCAATCGAATATTAACTTTGGCCTCTAGAGCGTCCACAAGATTTTTTGAAGTGATCAAGGGCCATAACTGTGGCAGTAATTATCAGAAATCGCTGAAAATCAATAGGATTCTTCATCCCATAACCTCAAACACTGTGTATAAATTTAAAGTCAATTGGATATTAACTTTAGCTTCTAGAGCATCCATAAGATTTTTTGAAGTGATCAAGGGCCATAAATCTGGTAGTAATTATCGGAAATTGTTGAAAATCTATAGGTTTCTTTGTCTCATGACCTTAAACACTGTGTATAAATTTAAAGTCAATCAGATATTAACTTTGGCCTCTAGAGCGTCCACAAGATTTTTCAAAGTGATCACGGGCCCTAACTCTGGCAGTAATTATCGGAAATCGCTGAAAATCAATAGGATTCTTCGTCTCAAGACCTTAAACACTGTGTATAAATTTAAGGTCAATCGGATATTAACTTTGGCTTCTAGAGCGTCCACAAGATTTTTTGAAGTGATCAAGGGACATAACTCTGGCAGTAGTTATCGGAAATCGCTGAAAATCAATAGGCTTCTTCGTCTCACGACCTTAAACACTGTGTATTAATTTAAGGTCAATCGGATATTAACTTTGGCTTCCAGAGCATCCACAAGATTTTTCAAAGTGATCAAGGGTCATAACTCTGGCAGTAATTATCGGAAACCGCTGAAAATCAATAGGCTTCTTCGTCTCAAGACCTTAAACACTGTGTATAAATTTAAGGTCAATCGGATATTAACTTTGGCCCCTAGAGCGTCCACAAGCAATTGTGGGCGCCGGACCGACGACAATATACGACCACATTTCAATGTGAGCGTATAAAAACAGTTTTTGTAATCATTGAGTCTACTTCACAGAGATTCCTTCTTACGTGTATCCAAATGAAAGGAAATAAATTGAAAGAAAACAAAGGTAGCAAACGAAACAGAAGTGAAATGAATTTGGGTTAAGTGTTTGCTACATTTCTGCACCATCCAGGCTGTTTTCTATGCGTGAAGTTTTGTCCGGACAACTGACTTAACGGTTCTTTTGCGACCAAACCAGCGTTTACACAAGGGACCTTAGCTTTCCGTATCATCAGATCAACTAGATGTTGTTTCTTGCTAGCCCCTCCCCGTCCAGCATCAATGTCAAGGGCAAACCAACCACGAAGATCCCAGGGAACTTTCTTGGTCAGCACCGGGAGCCATTAGGGCTCCCACAAAATGACACGGAATGAAATGAAATAGGATGAAAACAAAAGAATAAATGCCTTATAATTCTGCTACATCACTACACTGTTGCAGACTATATAAACAAGCCAGCATCCCCTATAAATGTTGAGCAAAATTTTACGATTGGCCACTTATTAATCCGATTAAGAGAGAGAGAGAAATGTGGTTTAACGTCCACTCGACACAAACTAAATCATTTCGGGACTAACACATGGTTCAATTTTATTTCACTAATTCGCTTGCGCGTAGGGGGTCTTTTTACCAGTGGGAGGAAACCGGAGGACCCGGAGAAAACCCACGAGGTTGAACAGGCGACTATACTCCTTGTCACGTACAACCGGGGAATCGAAACCCCGCCAGTTGACTCAATGTCAGACCGTATGATACAGCACGCACATGCTAACCATTCGGCCATCCAACCCCCCTATTCCGATTGAATTGAGCTGTCCAATTATCTACCGATGATATACGAAGTTTAACACTATTTCATTATATATTTGGGTTTTCTTTATTAAATATCAAACAATCAATTGGAGTATATTTTATCCTGGATAAAATCATGAAAAAAATTAGACAGTATTAAGAATGGATCAGTGGCTTTAAGTATAAATTGATAAGAATGTTTTTACCTATTAACAGCATCTGGTGTGACTTCTCTAGTACCCAATATATCTATTTGTTCCATATAAGGACAATACTGAGCTATAGCACGTAGATCACCATCACAAACAGTTCTAGAGTTAAAGAGAGAAATGGAGTTTAACATCCACTCGACACAAACTAACATATGGTTCAATTTTATTTCAACAATTCCCATGCGCACAGGGGTCTTTAGTAGTTGGAGGAAACCAGAGAACCCGGAGAAAACCCGCAAAGTTGGACAGAGAGGAACTGAAACCATGCCACTAGACTCAAAGACAGACCTTACGATTTAATGTGCATATGTCAAAAAATTTGCCCCCACCCCAACAGTTCTAAAACAAACCATAGAATAAAATAAAACCATACATATATTTACTAGGGTTTTTAAAGTTAACTGGGTCATTTGTACCTTCTCCAAAATAATTTAAATTGAAAGTATGATATTTTGTACACAAATAACAAGGTTTGAATGTCATAAACAAAAATTCTTCAAACAAGTTCAGGAAAGTGAGAAAAAAAACTTCATAAAACTCTGGTTTGTAGAAAGATTAAAAGGTTTTGATGACAAGGGCAATGACTGAAAATAACTGAAGGCATTCATCAAAAGTTCTTCGAAGACGAAAAATAAATTCAAGAATTGATAATTTTTATTGTTTAATTGGCCCAGTGGTATTAGGTATTAGGAAATTTGTTTCATACAATATATGATAACCTAATAACATACTCACCTATTAGCTGTTAAATATAATTTACGTAAGTTACGACATTCTTGTAACAGTGTTGTAAAACATGATGTTCTAGATCTAAGTTCAGGACTGAAACATACAGTAGATATAAAATATAAACATTAAAGACACAATATCCCAGAAAAATCCTGACTAATAGACAAATATACACTTTCAAACCATACACATTAAAAAGTAGTCTTACCAAAGGAAATATTGGTCCAAACATAAGTTATGGCCATCTAAAGATTACTTTATATCTAATGATTCATTCTTGTGATCTTTTTCCAATCTTAGAATTGAAGTCTGCTATGAAAGAATAAGTCATTTTGATCTTTAAAATATGTACTTACCACCAGCCTAGATCAAGTTCTTGTAGTAGAGGACAACCATGTGCTAGAGCTTTTAATCCTATATCAGATAGTGTACGAGCCTGCCATAAATCTAGTGTTAACAAATTCCTGTAAATAACCAACAGCAAGATGCATATTTTATTTCTTTGTCTCAACAATCCAGTTATTTTACAATGAAATTATCCAGGAGATGGCTACAATTATACATATTTGATAAGTTTATCTGGCTTATGACATCACAATAATTATGGCTAGTGAGACAGACTTCTCGTTTCTTAATCCGTAAGTTATGAACTAGCTCCAAGAACATTTCAGGAACAACCTTGTCTTGGTGAGTATTGCACCGTTTCCTTATTCACATGAGACAAAAACTGGCAGCATGTTAACGATCCCATGAAACGAAAATGAAAATAAGAGTAGGTCATCTAGCATCACTGTAATGGTGTTATTTCTATCATAGCACATTGTTTGGCATATAGCTGTCTTTATTATCCACATTGGGTCACAAAGCCCATCCTATTTATTTTCATGATATTTTATCAAGTCCAATAAAGTATCTGTCAGGGTATCTATTAGAGCTGGCGGAAATAATCGATAATTGCCGATAATCGTCGGTAAGTGTTTTGAAAATCGATTATCGATACAGTTTTAAAATATCGATCGCGCAATTATAGGTACTTCACTTGCAAGAAGAAGTCCATAAAAATAATCCTTATCACTGTATTCTTTGCAATGCGTGCTTGGGCCTAGAACTGTAATTAAACAGAATAGTCATAATAAAACACACGTTTGTTGGTTTTTTTTCACGCGAGACGCAACCAGTGAGAAATGTTGGCCGCTTATGTCATGATGAGAGTCAATGGTTTCACTTAACATCCAGTTGTGTCCCTTATTTTAACTCTTCAGTTCTTTCGTCTTCTCTGTTTCTAAGTCAAAAACGTACTTTCCCTTTATAAAATTTATTAATTTATTAAGAAATTTGCGAAGAAATGTCTGAAGACGAGATTTTTAATTTCCCCAGTGCAAAGAAATCACTGCAAGAAATAAACTGTTATGGCGAACTGAAGAATTCATTTGATGTGATCAAAGGGAAATAACTACATTTTACTCAGTATTATTCAGGTCATAAGCGACAAAGATATGGCGAGCAGTGGCGGGTTCTGTCTTCCAAACGAAGTTGATTGAGTTTTTTTCTACACCTTGGTTTTGCTATGGAATGCTATTATTTTATTGTCAAATGTCAAATTAACGGGAAAAAAAAAATTCTACATGTATACAGAATGATATCACAGCATAAACTCGCATATAATTCGTGTACAAATTATGATTGTTTTCAAACCAATTCAACAAGTCCATTGTAAGTCAAAATAATTTGCCGATATTATCGATTATCCATCGGCGGATGGTCCACGATAATCGATACTTGAAACACGATCGATTGCCAGCCCTAGTATCTATTGTAAAATATACTTACTTGCTACATTGACCTAATTCTATTAGTACATCATCAAAACAATTTATCCTTATACATGATCCGAGATTTAAATGTTCTAACAATGGACATGATCTGAAATTTAATTAAGTTATATTTAGAAAATACACAGGCAATATCTGAAAAATACACAAGGATCAGAAAAATACACATTAAGTATTCTAAAAAATACACAAGTATCCGAAAAATGCACAACCAGTATCAGAAAAATACACAAGTATCCGAAAAACATACAAGTATATGAGAAACAAAAGTATATGAGAAATTCACAACTGGAACAGTAGTTTTGATAGTCTTGCCACAGTAGCAAATAGAATGTTAGTTTTACTTATTCAAAGGTATATCAAAGACTCAAAACGTTTTATATATAATTAAAAATAATTACTGTAATAATGTACCAATAAGTTAACGTATTCGTATGCATTACAATGAATTTTGTAAATAGATGTATATATGTTTATGTTAGTTAAATTAAAAAACAATTCGCCATATTATTTTATATAAAAGTTTGACTGATTTTTTGGGAGAAGATTCATAATTTGTTATAAATTGTTCTTATCCCTTTGTAAAAAAATATTTTTGCAATAAAATATGTTTTGATGAGCAACTAGCATTGTCCTGAAACAACTAATCAGACTTTTTTTCTATTTTTTTTTAATACTTGTATCATACTTCTGTGTTAGATCGCAGTCAGCCTAATATCAAGACAGTGTGATATGGTTGCTATAATATGCACTGAAGAATCATAAATTCAAATATTTACAAAAGAATGTGACAGGTGCGATGTGAAATGAATGTTCGATATATATAATAGTTGATTAAGCCATGAATATGTTGATGATTTTCAAACTGATGCAGACAGTCAGCTTAGAAAAGGGTGACAATGGTAGTAGGACTGAGAAGGTCAGTTTATTGCTTTGAATTACTATACTATTCAAAAAAAGTAGGGGATATTTGATTTTTAAGTGTTATTAAAGTCACCTAATGAAACTGACGAAGAAACAAATGACAAAATGAAATGAAGTTCACATTCATCGATTTATTCCAAATGATCGTTAGACTAAGTAAGGCACAGACTGACCATTATAACGGTAAAATGATACCCGGGGTCAAACAGCAAAGTTACCACAGCATCACAACCAAGTCAGTAACGGGTAAATCCTCCTCTGTTTGCCAAACAAGCATTGATCCGACGTGGCATACTCCTAATGAGACGTCTAAGATCATTTTGGTCCAGATTGTCCCATTCCTGTTGCAACGCAGCAGCAAGTTCTTGGACATTGGCAGGACGTTGTTGACGTTGACGTAACCTCTGTCCAAGCATGTCCCAGACATGCTCGATGGGGGAGAGGTCGGGAATCAGTGCTGGCCAAGGTAATGTGGTGATGTTCTGTTGTTGGAGGTAACCTGTAACGATCCTGGCCCTGTGACATCTTGCGTTGTCATCCTGGAAGATGAAACGGCGGCCATGACGTCGTGCGAACGGCACAACATGGACTGCCAAGATGTTGTCCCGGTAGTACTGGCCTGTAACACGCCCTGCAACAACATGTAAAGCCGTTCTTCCAGCAACAGTGATGCCTCCCCACACCATAACAGAACCACCCCCAAATCGATCATGTCTGATGACGTTAACGTCTTGGAAGCGCTCGTTTCGACGACGCCACACCCTCCTACGTCTGTCCAAAAAATCAACAGTGAACCTTGACTCATCTGAAAACATCACATTGCTCCAGCGTCGATTATCCCAGTGTTGACGATCCCTACACCAACGACGTCTTGCCTGAATGTGATGATCTCTCAAACAAGGGATCACGCGAGGACGTCGGGCGCGAAGGTGACCCCTATGCAGTCGATTCCGAATCGTCTGGCCACTCACTCTCACACCAGTGTCTGTTTGAAGACGAGCGCTGATCTGATTTGCTGTGATGACACGATTTCTCAAGGCCAAGGTACGGATAAATCGATCCTGGGCTTGAGTTGTCGCCCTTGGTCGACCTGAGCGTGGTCTGTCCTGTACAGATTGTGTATCACGGTATCTGGACCATAGCCTGCTTATGACAGACTGAGAAACATTCATCGTCCGCGCCACAACCGCCTGTGTTGTGCCGATCTGTAGCATGCCAAGGGCACGTAACCTTTCATTTTGGGTAAGCCGACGCATATCAAAATTTGTTTTCTGGTCACTAAAACAATTAAACTGATGTTTCCACCCTGGAATTCAATGCCACAATGACTGTAACATTCAAAGTCAGAGTCGTGCAAATCTTGGGTTGGACCCCCATGATGATCCCAAGCATCACCTGCATTCTATGCGGTAGCTATTGGTGCGTTTGGGCGTCACATGTAACTGGAAATGTTTCTTCTGTTAGGTTCTATAGTGACTTTTTTCGTAGTCATTTGCATATTTTAGTATTATGCCCCCAAAATCAAATATCCCCTACTTTTTTTGAATAGTATATTAGATGAGATTAAAGATCATATGATTTAAAAGATAAATATGTCATACAATTTTAACATACCTTATAACTGCTATCAAGGAATGCATATCAACCATAGTTCGATAGAGATTTAATCTTTTTAATTTACTAAATCTTAACAACAATAACATGGCCACATTATCCACCTTACGACAACAACTTAAATCTATCTCTGAAACAAACAAAATGGCAGTAAAAATTATATGCTACATCTGTCACCAATATATATTACACAGAAAAACTACTTCATTTCTTAGAGAAATTAATGCATTCTGTACATCACTGCGACCTTTGACTATTGTTGTTTTTTTTTACCCCTTAGCTTTTTTTGAAAGGGCTTGCCCACAACATTGAAATAGGTTACTCTTAGGGGCATTCTCATACTTAACAGGAAAATAACCATAATTCATTCTCTACCCGCAAAATAAATAACATAATTTAATTACCACTAGAAATTGAACATAATTCATTCTCTACCAGCAAAATAAGTAACATAACTCAATTACCGATAAAAATTGAACATAATTCAATTTCAAAGAGAAAATAAATATGATTCATATACCAAACAAACAGAAACATAGTTCATATATATTCAAAAAAAATAAACATAATTCACCCCCATAAAAAATAAGTTAATTTAATTTAAAAGAAGAACATTTAAGTTATATTTACCTTCAATATTTGGACAATTTTCAGAAACAATTTTTAGAGTTGTAGAATCAACAAACTGACAACAAGCTAGACCAATATAAGTTAACGTATTACTACACACTGGTAGAAAACTAGAAAAAAAAAAGTCATATATTTTGTTGAATACATGTATTTGAGAATAAGAAATACATGCTTCAGAGGTGGGAACAAGTTGCGGGACCTTGAGTCCAAGTTATGTCCGAAGTCACTGACTTCAGTCCCAAGAGTCAGCAATTCATGGCATATAAGTCAAGCTAGAGTTATGTTCCCTCACTACAACTCGAGTCATTAGCCCTTTCAAGTCGCAGGTTGAGTCTCAAGAAATATTTCAAGTTGAGTCACAAGTCAGTTTTTGATTTGAGTCAGACTCGAGTCTGAGTTGTTGGACTCATATTCCCACCTCTTATATACTTACATTTCATTGGCACTAAAAATGATAATTAACATTTGAAATTAACTTTCTATGCTGTTTTTCAGCTTAAAAGAAATAAAACTCTCTGGTTCCATATCCATAATTTGTCAGGTGGGGCCCTATATAGCTGATCAGTGTATCTAAACCGTCTATTCACCATTGATCGGTGTTATTTTTCGATCATTCATTGAACAAGATCTATATGTTTAGACTGTATTAAAACAGAGGTAAGTTTGTTTACTAATTTTAACTTTAATAATTCATACCAACATTTTAACTTTAATAATTCATACCAACATTTTTTTTCTACCGGTATCAAAGAGGTCTTGTCATTTTAATCCTAGCTACTGGAAATAATTTCACACCCCAAACAAAGGTTTATCTAAAAATATTTGACTTTTAAAACTGCATATTGTATGAGATGATATGGACTAATCTTTGAGGGATAAAATGTGCTGCATTCAGGAATGCAGGTCTGTCCTGGATTGGGTGGAGAGAGAGAGAGAGAGAAATGGGGTTTAACGTCCACTCGACACAGACTAGGTCATTTCGGGACTAACATAAGGTTTTAATTTTATTTCAATAATTCACTTGCGCGTAGGTGTCTTTAGCAGTGGGAGGAAACCGGAGGACCCGGAGAAAACCCACGATGTTGGACAGGCAACCCTACTCCTTGTCACGTACAACCGGGGATTCAAAACCACGCCAGTTGACTCAATGACAGGCCTCGTGATACAGCGCGCGCATGCTAACCATTCCGCCATCCAACCCCCCGTCCTGCATTGGAGGTCTGTCCTGGAATGCATGTCTATCTGAATAAAGAGTCATTAAATAAGAAAAAAAACCTTACTTGTTTAAACCACAATTAGTTAATATTCCACCTTTACCACACCATGCTAAGTTTAATCTTTGTAAAAGTTCACACGAACATGTTGACTTCAGACTATTTAAAGTTGAATCTCGAATCTAATTCCATAGAAATAAAACAAAACATAATATTAAATATAGATATGACATGCAATTCAGAATCTTGTCAAATCTGTGAAAGTTAATAACATCATAAAAAGACATCAACAGGGTTTAACATGGTGAGAACCAAGAAGAACTTCAAATTAAAGAACACAGGGACTGTGGTAGACAAGTGGTTACAGCAATGGACTCTCAACTAGACTGCATCAACTTCTGTGGTTAAATGGAAGGCTTAGACAATATGAATAGAATCTTTATTAGTGAAATAGGAAACATGCTTGTTATGTGACAATATCATGAAATCATCCTATCACATGACATATTTAATGGTACTGTGTATGGCACGCAATCATTGCCAAAAGTATTTAATATCAATGTACAATGTAAGCTTTATGCTATTGGGTAAATTCATCACAAAATATCCCAGGTTTTAATATCCCAGAACCTCATATTAAAGAACACATCATCTGGACTGCTGTAGTTGGGTGCTTACTGCTTAGGACACTTGACTCTCAATTAGAATATCTTGGGTGTGAATTCCAGCAAAGATCAATCAAGAAAACTCAGTACTTCTCAAGACTAGCTTAAAATGTTGCCTATTCAATCGGATGGGACAGAAAAAAAACCAAGGTCCACTAGAGAATACTTTGAAATTATTAAATACCTGTGTCCAGTGTGGTTGTAAATTTAATTCTGTATATAATAATGGATCACTACAATGTTTCCGTAGCAACCTAAAAACATAAACAAAATATACTGAAGGAGTTCACACCAAATAGTATCCTGCCTCTAACTTTCCTGATGAGTACACATACATGTACATAATAAGCAAAAATGAAAAACAAAATGTGATGTTAAATAATTATTAATTATCTGATATTTAAACTAGTGTGTGTGTGTGTTAAAATTACCAAAATTTACCCAGTAATATTAATACAAAAGAGGACATATAGCAGATCACATTAATTTCAATATATATACATTCACACCAATCTGATTAAAAGACAGATCTAAATTTCAGTTCTCTTTTTAAAACTTTTCATCCACTTTATGGACATGACTGCTTTGTGACAGGGGGGGTTGGATGGCTGAATGGTTAGCGTGCGCGCGCTGTATCATAAAGTCTGTCATTGAGTCAACTGGCGTGGTTTCGAATCCCCGGTTGTACATGGCAAAGAGTAGGGTCGTCTGTCCAACCTCGTGGGTTTTATTGAAATAAAATTAAACCATATGTTAGTCCCGAAATGACCTAGTTTGTGTCGAGTGGACGTTAAACCCCTTCTCTCTCTCTCTCTTGCTTTGTGACAGAGGACAAACAGATCCTTCCAGATCCTGCTTTTTTTGTGAGGACTAGTAAAAATAAAAATACTTCACGTCAATAAGTCAAATTTCACATATGTGACCCCCCAACATGACCTCTCTCACAAACAAGTCAAATATATGCAATGGGTGCCATAATATGCATAAAAAACAAACACAATTTGGAACTGTATTTTAATTAGACTGATATTGGCCTCGAACAGTGTGGCTATAAATAAAGTTGTGTAGAAGTAACTAATATAAATATTAGTGTTTTTACCTGCAAGTTTGAGCTAGATTACATAAATCTGGTATATCTAGAAACTCTAATATCAGCTGTATTATTTCACCCTATAAAAAACAAGCCAATTCAATTATCAAACAATTTCCAGATTTGAATATACAGTTTCATCAGGCAAGTTCAAATTAGATTATGCGCAAATGAGCCAATCCATTGCTGTAGTCTTGTAAGATAGCATTCATTACATGCAAAAAGACCGATTCCGATCATCTTCATGATCATATCCACAATTTGACCCTTATTCTCAAAACTAGAGCTGTAGTCGATCAGTCAGGGTACTGGTCTCAGGAATGTCCTGGGCTCAAATTATGGTGTGGGGGCAATCGTAGTTATTCACTGCTCAACTCGAAATAAAAAAATAAAACTCACAAGAGAAAATAGACATAATCTCCAGTGGGAATGAGACAATGAAGAAGGGCATACGAGGGAATATTTGCCGGACCAGAAATTGATTTCCAATTTTCAAATATTCTTTTACGTGCATGCCATTGTATACACAGTAGTGCTGGGTATTGCTACAGCAGTCACAATACAATATGTATTGCGTTTCAGGGGCTATGATACGATTCGCATCACGTTTCATAACCAGGTCAATATTTACCAAGAAAACAACAGGATAAATGAATAATTAATATTTTTAGTACTGCTGATATCGAAGAAATAAACTAATGTGGTTCAAAATAAACACCAAAACAATTTAAGAGTGTTTGTGTACCCATGGATAATGTGTGATGTTGATAATTAAGAGTGACAGGTTACTTACTGAAGCCACAAAAGACATAAAAAAAAAGAATCGCAATACATCAATTCAACGATATATCATGCCAGCACTAGTATACAGCACCTCCCTTTTTTTTGACCGACTTGATGCTGATCCTTGCCAGACCTTTCATTCTACACCACTGAAGAATGAGACAATACTATACATGTATACTTACTGGTAAACAGTTAAAAGCACCATTTTCAGTGTATTCAATTTCTTCTTCTTCCTCTACATTAGGTATACTGGAATCTTCATCTGATATTTTAAAGTCTTGAAGTGCTAAAGATATTTTGTCTTCTGGACAGACATCTTCAAGCTCTGGACTATCCAATGTACGTAGCAATCCATTTTCAATTTCATGACTAAAGCCACTTGAATAAGCTTGAACCATTCCTAATCTGTCAGAACTATGTTCCTTGACACCATGAAGTCTAATACTATCTAACTCAGTATAATAATCCACTAAGTCCTGACATATTTCTAGTCGAATGAGACTGAAAAAAAAAAGAATATTTAATTTTTGTGATCATTTTCCATTAAAATTTGTAGAGAATTATTTCCTCTGCTTCGACTGAATAATAGGTTGCTAATAAGCCATTAAATTACCCAATAGCAGCTTGATCTGCCCAGTTTATAAAGGGTTTCGCAGTATGATTCTTTGTTGCACAAGTCGTAAACATTCAATGCAGTTCAGACCATTTTCGTCGATATAGCATTCACAAAACTTATCAAAGTGACCGAGGGCAATAACTTTAGAAGCTACTGGCTGAAATTGTAGAAATTTGATAGTCTTTTATGTATTACCAATCTGGAAAATGAGAGGAAAGTTAACGCCACATTTCATCTTTGCAGCACTGGAAGTTTACAGAATACAGTGGATTAAAGATAAATTTGATGGCCTTTTTGATTTTGATAGCAAAAAAGTTTTGCAATTTTTAATAAATACCAAAGATGTGTGACACAGTTCATTTCATTTCTTTCGTTTGTCAGTACATCGGTAATTGCATGTAGTACTTTCAAAGATATAACTAAATTCACTCACTCAGTCATAAATTTCACTTTCCTCAAAGGTGGAGAAAATATTTTTGCTTCTTTTACTGGAACTTGAGGTTGACCACTCCATAATGTCACCCATCTGAAATATTAATGTTTTTTTAAATGTGAATTTTTTTTATATGAATTTGATGTTGAAATATAAATCTACTACAAATAAGACTCCATCTACTCAGATAAAATCGTATTACAGAAAACTACAGTTTAAATTTATACAAATTAATTTTCACAGGTTTTGTCTTTTCATTAGTAGGATTCAAGTTTAATGAATATTCTTCAGTATTTGTTAAAGAGTTAAAAAAAAATACATTACTGTACTTTTCCGGTATCTACATCAGTACCAGCAGTAGAATCACAAGCGAGGATTTTAACAATACAACCTGGGTTATATGTCTCAAATACTTCAATTTTTGTTGGATATACTTTCTCTTCAAACGATACTTCTAAAATTAAAATTACAATGCAAAATTATGTAGCGATAAACTCTCAGCTTAGTATTATGGGCCTGATACTGGATTTTTTTTTCGAAATTCAGGGGTGGGGAAGTGGGCAAAGCGAGCAACTGGTGCTTGGCAGACGAATGTATATTTATAGTACAGAGAGAGAAATGGGGTTTAAAGTCCACTTAACACAAACTAGGTCTTTGCGGACTAACATGCAGGACTTGCTTGCTTTTTTAGTGTTTACAAGGTTTAAATAGTTTACTGTTATAATAGACAACAGAATTCCTGATTTCAAACAATGTTACAAATCTTACCAATGAAGTCAAAACTACAAAAGTCATCCGGTGTTTTTTTAAACTTTTTAACAGCTGACGGGGCCAGTTTCCACCAGCGTCCATATGTTCTCTGCAGAAAGAAAAAGTGAGACAGCTACACTATGGCCTATGGGCTGTTTTATTTATCGTAAGTACATTAATTAAGAAAAACTTATGATCGTACTGTCGCAGTCCCTTTAATAGACCAGTGCTAGGGTAGTAGAAAACCGAACACTGTTTAACAAGACAGTTGGCTAACATCTCAAAGTCAAAAAATATATCATATTTATTTGAAGAGTGGACTGTTATTATTATTTTATTAAGCACATACACAGTAAGAAACATAAAATGAATGTGTGAAATCAAAAGATAACCTTTAATGCCTAAAGTTAGAACTGGTCAATATGAATACTTTTTGGACTTTTAACAATAAATGTATGACTTTCACTTTCAACTATAATAATATTTAATAATAACCTTCATTCTGACATGTTGGAGCTTTAAACTCTATTTTATAATTACATGTAAAATAATTCATCTGATGATCAATGGGGTAATTGTATTGAACATTACTCATTTGCCTAATGACAAGGAACAGCAGAATAGCACTAACCCGCCGGGTAGGCCTACCAATGTCTATACTTATATGAATATATTCCTTATGTTTAAAGTAGCAATGCCTGTATTAATCAACCTTTTGTCATACTAACTGAATGTCCATTTTAATCTAGAATTTCAAAGAGCTTCAGGTTTAGTGTTTGTAAATATTCTTAAACGATGCTGACTTTTTATCTCTGAATAACATCATTTATTTTATTCATGACTGTAATGTAATACCGTACCGTAAAGTGTTATTTTGGCTGCAAATCAAGTTTTTCAAATGCTGTAATTGATAAATGTAGCGGTTTGCAATTTTATTAAGTTTGTATATAATATAGTCTGTTTAACTCCAGGTAAGCAAAGTATGGTTGTGGTTTGTTTATATGAATTATTTCTATAAAAATGTAGCTTTAGAGATACATTGTCCCGAAAGTATTTATCGGGAGGGTTATTTCAAATAAAAGTATGACAAATTTAGTATAGATGGAAAGTATGGACACCCAATCTTACTAGAAAAATACTCGATTACCCGAAAACCACTCATGGGGCAAGCACTGGGAAAAAATGTCAGGCTATATCTAACTGCATGTTTCTGAAACAATGATGTTGCTAGATTGCCTACAATTCCCAAACTTATAAGTTATGGTCTACGTTATGTCAATTTACTGCAGACACGTGAACAGTAGCATCCAATCAGGGGTTGTGACACAAATCAAATATAGCAACCTCCACGCAGTCCACGTAAACCTTGACATTGAACGAACCTTGAACTTTGCAACACGGTTATCACAGGTAGACATTTCAGCTGGAAAGCGGAAAACGATAATTGTGATAATTGACGAATCTGATAGGCTCTCAAGCTGGGTGAATGCCCAATTGAAATTAGTGCTGAAATAGGCAGAATTGAAGGCCTTGATAAGATGTACAGAGTTAAAGCAAGATCAAGCCTTCGATTGAAGATGATCTAACTGGCAACACAACTGTTGTCGGCCAGCTTATTATGTGCTAGCTTGACTGAGGGAGCGGTTGTTATTTCTTGATCAAATGGTTAGGCAGTGTTGGGAACAATCAGGGGTTTCAACGTACACAATTAAACAACGGAAAGCGAAGTTGACAGAAAATAATTAGGAATTAATTTAGGCCTTAATATGTATGGTAAATGGACAGTAACTTAGTAAGTTTGAGTAAGTAATGAAAAAATTATTGTCACCTCAATGAAGTTAGGTGACAAACATGGGTTCTTACAACAGTTTATTTATAGTGTGAGGTATCTCCCGCAATTACAAAGTTTTGAGAGGGATTTGAAGCAAATTTTGGATAGATTAATTAGTTTGTTGAATATGTTTTTAGTCGGAAAAATTATCAAATATTTGTATGCTGCCTCTATCTCTAATGGGATGTTTAGATACAATAAAATCTTATCTTATCTTAATCTAATCACAGTTTGTATGCGGGAAAGTATCTTTAGTAGGCCTAGATGCAGTATTCACTACAGTACTGCAGGTTATCATACTGAAATCCGGACTAAGATACAGTATTCTGGTCAATAATGATAGCCAACAATTAGCAAGTAAACTTACAAAAACACAAGCTTGTGTGTAATCCCCGTAACCAGGGTAAATAGTTTCTTTTCCTGCTAAATTTGAGGCAGTGTACGAAATACTTCTCTCGCTTCCATACTGAGAGCTAAAATCTACCACTTCTTTTCCAACTTGAACGTAGCAGTCGCCCGTCAAAGTCTTGTCTTGTAACCAAAGACATTTCATTTCTGTTTCCTCGGCCATTTTCCACAACTCAATCAAGGCTAGAAGACATTTCGTCCCAATATATCATTGTGGCGACCGCTCTGTTAATTTCGCACCAGTTTATCACACTTTTTTCTCTCAAGTTATTTTCCAAAGAATAGGACAATTTCTGACGATCTTATCCATTTTACGGATACTTCTACATGGATTAATATTCTCTGATTTAAAAACCGAGGAGATATTATTCGTACATTGCGGCTATCGCTGTGTACACAAATTTCACGCCACATTTCAAGTTTAAATTAATAATCCTGCATTTTTCTAATATTATAAATACTGTGCACACCGTTTCTTGGATCTAATCACTTTCGGGGAATAGAAATCGAAATGGACATCCATCTTCTAAAGCAAAATTTGCTCTAATGTAAGAAAATAATCTCCACGTGTACAGATGTCGAACACTGAAACAACCCAATAAATTGGGCACGAATTAACTGAAAATAAATGAGTCATTTCGTTACATTTTGCGAGACCCTTCAACACGACGGATTCGTAATACGATGCTTTACCCTAAGACGACCCCATATCGGGATAGTAATATTGAAACTTTCCTCGGGAGAATTTTGTGAGCGTGTAAAGTAACAACACAGTTTGTTTTGATAGGATTGCATGAAGCTGAAGTACCGTAACAATCGCTTAGAAATAACAGGTCAAACCCAACTGAACACGTCATTGATCCATAATCCAGCAAACACTATCATTGCATTTGAAGTCCATGATTAGGATTTTCCCTGACATATTTATATTAAGTATTGTTTAATGGTCGAGAGCAAGACATTAAGTAAAATATTTTAACAACAATTAAGAGGACCGTCAGGCCCGATCGAGTGTTTTTACAATATATTATGCAATGTCTTAAAGCTCGAGACCATTAAACAACTTAAAATACAGACACCACGTGCTTTGCAATGAAATACGTCACTTGGGTTCAATATTTTAGCTAGTTACACTTGGCATACCTTATTTGAAATAATGGTACGAAAACATCAAAGGATGACGTCACATCTGTATTTTAAATGCAAATAATATATATATTAATTGCATATATATTAAAGTGGCTAAGTCTCTAACTCAATATCATCCAAAGTGTTCGACATTGAAACACGAATTATTTGTCAATTTAAATCAACATTGATGTTGTGACCTTACCGGGAAAAGGTGGGCTTCTGATATCCAATATATCAGCCAAAATAAACATTTTACCATTACCATGCGTGTAGGCTACCATAATGCGTTTCAGTGCAATTTGTAACAACGGACTCGAAGAACAAGGCTACACATATTTCACAAGTCATGTCAAATGGTGTCTCCATATTCTTATCTCGAGAGCATGCGCAATAAATACTATCAGTGTAGACTGGAATAACCAGACGCTAGAGATTGCCATTCGATTGAGACTTCTGGCGTATGTATTTTGCCGAACATAACTGATCTGAAATTAGAATAAAAACATTCTAGGCCCCAAATGTTAGCGATTTAGCTCCTTAATTCCATGACAAATTCTGTCACAATAATATTAAGATTGCTTATCAGAGTTATGTGTCTAACAAATATAATGAAAATATATTGGCCCTATACATATATCTATCTATAGGCCCTGCTAGCTAGAAAAGTAAATCAATAGAGCCAGATCAGGGATGCATCTTTATAGAAAAGTAAATGATACAGCTTTCTAGCAATGTGTAGTATAAGGTATGCCAGGGTTGGAGTCCACAAGAAACTTCTCAAACCTCCTTTCAACCTCAGTAAAAACCGACAAAAGTCATGCCCTACCTTTCTGACTTCTACCTAGTAGATGTCACTTAAAGCCTTTGAATAGCCATCAAAAAGACTGAGGAAAAGGTCAGATTTAAATTGATGGGGGCTTAATTCTTGGCAACTGAGCTAATATAGACTACAAATCGCAATTTCGATAGCTTGGAGATAAACAAGTAACCTACTCTCAATAGACAATGGATTAAAAAAAAAAATTTATATCATTTTATAATTTCAGATCTAAAGAAAGTATGAACAAAGTATTTACAACTATTCTCCAGTGTGGAAAGAACAAATTATGTCAGTGTTTGTGTGGTAGATTACCAAAGATCTGTGATAATAAAATTGTGAGTCTTGGAAGAAGGGGGGTCATCACATGGAATTTATCCAATCAGTCAAATAATATCAAAACTTATCAACACAGGCATATTTTACGGAACAATCGAAACCTATGTCAGACTCACAAAAGTTATTCAAAACAGGAAGGCAGTAGAAATAATACTATTGAAGACCGATTAAAAGATAAAAACAGACCTTCAGTTACAGGGAATGCAAAAGATGAAATTTTTACAGAGGAATTCAAAGTAAAGTCTTCAGAAATAATAACTGAAGAAATAGAGGATGTTGAAGATTTCACTGATACAGAAGATACTGAGCAGATAGAAAGGATACTACCCATTTCCCTAAATAGTTAAGTCTGGTGATGGTTACGAATAGTTTTCTTAGGGCCATTTTAACTTGTAAAGGAGTATATGGATTTGAAAAATTTACTACCATTGATCATTTGAAATTAAATGATGGCTTATTTAGGATAATGGAATCAGTATTCTATATAATCACCATTTAAAAATCATCCAAATTGGGGTACAACCCACTCAAAACATAATAGGTCGTGTAAAATTCTATGTCGATTCCGAATGCCTAGGATATAATGATGTGTGCGATGGATCACAAGGTCTGTTATTGAGTCAAGTGGCTTGTGTTTGATTCCCCGCTTGTACATGACAAGGAGTAGAGTCGCCTGTCCAAGCTCACAGGTTTTCACCAGGTCCTCCCTTAGCTAAAGACCCCAAATTATTGAAATAAAATATAACCCTGTTAGCCCCGAATGACCTAGTTTGTGTCGAGTGGACGTTAAACCCCATCTCTCCCCCCCCCCCCCACACACACACACACACTCCCAAAATGATAGTTGACTGACTGAAAAATCTGAGCAAATGACGATTGTATCCTTTTGTTAGAAAAACAATGCATTCAGCAAATAGAATACCCTTTGTTCATTTGTTAATGGGTTTAACACCATAAAGGGTGAAATTGCATACAGGTATGCTTTTTATTAAAATCTTTTATCATTTTCAGGAGGTAAAGAAGGTGTATTTGACCTTGATGACTTTGTGACACTGTTGAAGGAATCAAATGTGAAGGATCTGTGTGTTTTGAAAATACCTGAAAATATTCAGTTTATTAATTATATGGTTATTGTATCTGCTTTATCCTACAGACATATGCTGGCCATATCTAATAATATCAACTATGTTGTAAGTAGCAATGACCTCATTTTTATATCCCAAGCTTAAATCCATTAATATTTAGACAGGGACCAGACAACCTAACTGGAAAAGTACCATTTGCATTTCTATTTAAAGATACATTATATAAAATTTAGATAAAGAGCTGGCCGTTCTTGCTACAATAGTTCAAAAGTAGATAATGCAAAATGAATATATTGAAAATTTCACTCAAATTACTTTATTCTTAGCCAAGTTATCACTGTTTGTAGTTTTGACAAGATGTCTACATTGATTGTTTATTTTAACCACGGTACTGGTATATTCAAGCCTTCGCCTCACTTCTCCATTTTGAAATTAAATCATTAAATGGCCGAACCGAAATCTCAAGCATCTGATGGCATTTAGAGTTGATTTTGGTCTTGTCATGTTAATATATGTCTAATTAATATAACATTTAACACTTACAGAAAGAAAGGCAATAGGCAAATTTAGCTCTTAATTAATGTATCTTGAAGTTTGTTTTTTTTAGTATATATTTTGTTACTTTTCGATTTAAATAATTTTAAGAAAGTGCAGATTTTTAGCCTCTGCAATGAAGCAGCCAAATTAAAGAGGTTTAGTCATTTTAAACAATATCTTTTATTTTATTTCAGTATAAGAAAAGAAAGAATCGTAAAGACAGGTTTTTAAATATTGAAGGAATAAATACCAGAAATTGGTTTGCGATTGATATGGGTTAGTAATAGCTTTTATCAAATCAGGGATGCTAGACCATGGTAAATCCAGCACTGGAAAAAACTAGGTGGTGCTCCGCTTCCTTTGGTGTGCTAAGCTATTGCTTATTTTGATTAGTGGTTAATCAGGGGCTAAAAAGGTCTAAGACTTGATCATTTCAATATAACAGTTGAATAGTCAAATGGCATTTGAATAATGACTTAGCATATTTAAATAATATTATGAGTATTCAATTTACCCACTATATATTCTACAATATAATGTAATTTTTGTGATTCCCTTTAATTTATTTTCAGGAAATATATTGTTGCACATATTCATGCCGGAGACGAGAGACGTGTACGATTTAGAAACTTTATGGACAGTTGGAACTCAATTTGATTCCAAGGTGGAGACACAGAATGAACTGGATCTAATTATGTCAAGACTAGGATTAGACATGTCTTTATATAGCCCAGATGACACAAATTTAAAAAATTCTGAGATGGGATTGGACAATAGACCAAAATAGAATTAACATATCTTTATAAGTTAAATTTTGAAAACAAATATAGTCTGTGCAAGCCAACTTATTAATTGACAGCAAGGATAGAAAGTTATATAAATGAAATATTGTTTTGATTTTTAATAGTGGGTTATGTTTAATGTACCCAGCTATTTTTATATTCTGTACATATAGTACACATGCATGAAAGAGAGATGATTTATTCAAGGCAGCAATAGTTTTGTTTTGTTTCAATATATGTCAGTCTTAAAACATGGTACCACACACAATAGCGTTAAATGTGCGTTTATATGTGCCCTGTCCATAGGTTTGTCTTTGTGTAATTGTTTGAGTGCACTTACTATAAGACAGAGTAAGGATGCCACAGTGCCAACAGAACATATATTTCACTAAACTAAATGTCACCCGCCCCTCGCATTAATTACACTAAACTAAGCTGCTCATCTGCTGGTTACATAAATTTCACTATGTCTCTCTCATCCAGGTTACGTTGATTTCACTAAACAATGTAAACATTTCTATTTTTGCACTATGTTCCATATCAGTGTTCACCAAATAGTGAGTAGGGTCCTCCAGTTTCCTCCCACCGCTAAAGACCCCTATGCGCAAATGAATTATTGAAATAAAATTGAACCATATGTTAGTCCCGAAATGACCTAGTTTGGATCGAGTGGACGTTAAACCCCATTTCTCTCTCTCGCCAAATATTGGCAAGGAAAAGTCTGTTTTCAGTCACATCGGACAAATAACCCACGAGGTACCATGTATACCATTGGCAGCACATTAAACATCATCTGACATTTGGAAATAGAAATAAGGCACACCAGGATTTTCAGCAGGGGAGTGGGTCAACAAATTTCAAATCTCTATATTAAGTGATTTGGTGATAATTTGTGAATGCAAAAAGTGCACAACTGGTTTGAAAAAAAAATGGAATGTTGTAGATGCCATTTCTAACTATTTTGGATCCATGGACCCCCTAAAATGAACCAAATCCCCACCTCACAGCAAACTGTATGGCTTATGCCCGTTTCATTAGCCCAGTGTTGAGTGTAGAAAAGTAACATGTTAAACTATATTTATTAAAAAATATAAAATACAATTTTGGTAATTTCAAAATCAACAGCATGGAATTTTTTCACGTTTTTACCGTGATGAGCACTTCACTTCGGCCAGACAGACCAATTCAATGTCTTGTTTTACATATACTGAGCGCCATGGAAAACGCATCACTTTTTTTTTCCCAAATATTTTATTACTAGGTGGTTTTGTGTGTATAATATTATGCAATACTATGAACTATTGTTTCACACAATGCTCCCAAACGCAAAAAATATCGACCTGTGAGCAAAAAAAAAATTGCACGGGATGCACATGAAAAACCCAATATTCACGTGCAGCATTGTGTGTGAGCCCTTTAAAAGCATGTTTTCAACTTAATGTGCAGTACATGAACTGTGAAACGTCAATCTGTCGTAATTTTTTCTTGGACGTGTGAAGGAATTGAGCTAGAGATGCCAAGACTTACTGAAAATCAACGGAATGAAGCCATGGGAATGTCCAGGACTGGCATGTCTACACGTGCTATTGCCAGACACTTCAATTGTCATCAGTCCACTATTGTAAGGTTGGTGGAACGTGTTCGAGTTACTGGATCAACACGTGACCGTCAACGTCCTGGTCCACAACACGTTACAACCCAGGCTCAAGACCGCTACATCCGGGTGTGGGGAGGCTTCACATTTCATCACCGGACCGCCCTAAACATTTGCAGGGGTCGCGTTAATGCTGTAGCCTACCGTGATGATGGCCCGTGGAGGACACATGCGCTACTGACATCTGTGTCGTACTTTTGGTTTTGACCCCTCTGATTTTGTACCCTTGATTACAGATTAAACATCCATAAGTGTACAAATGTTTTGTTATTGATGTGTTCCCATTTGAATATTGTTCACAATAAGAAGCAAAATAAATAAGATATGTTTACAGGATCATTTTGTTATATGAAAAGCTAAGTGATGCGTTTTCCATGGCACTCAGTATATATTTTTTGCAAGGCAGGTCGGAAAAGGATGAAAAGATAGAAAGAACCAGGTATTGAAGATGCACAAAGTATATCTAAATGTTGATATTACTATAATAAATCTCAGGTGTATATCCAAAATACAAAAGGTAAAATATCAATTTTATATCAAAAAAAAAACCTGCTGTCCTACCACATTGGTAATATTGCATTTTATTTCCTGATCACTGTTTAGAAAGTAATCATTATACAGCAATAGTCAATTGAGTTGTTTATTTTTGAACAGTGATCGAGAAATTAAACAGTTGTAAATTGCACGCTTATTATCTATATTGAATGGTCAGCTTTAAACTGGACATAAGTACAAATTAGATATTGAATGAATGTTGAAGAAATCAATGAGAAATACACAAGATTAAATGATACCAAATTCAAACATTCTACCTCAATTAGAAGGAGAGTCATTGTGTCTCAAAAAGTGTGACGGGCAAACAGAACCATTTTAATAGTTTCACTAATTCAAATGATGCATATAATTTTCATACAGATCGAATGATAACTTTTGTTGTTCAAGCATGCACAAGGTCCAACAAAGTAAAACAAGCGCCAGAAGTAATTAAAGGAAATTGCTGAAATTCAATTGGCTTCTTCGTTTCACTAATTTAAATGATACATATAAATTTCGTACAGATTGGATGACAACTTTGTCAATCGAGCATTAACAAGGTTCAACACTTTAAACAAGGGTCATAACTTTAGAAGAAATTAACGGAAATTCAATAGGTTTTTTTGTTTCAATAATCTAAATGATGCAAATAAATTTCATACAGACTGTATGATAACTTTTGTTGTTCAAGCTTTCACAAGGTCCAACAAAGTGAAACAAGGGCCATAACTCTAGTAAACGTAATTAATGGAAATTTCAGAAATTCAATTGTAGGACATTTGTATGATGCCATCTAACCTCTAGGCTCCTCAAACAGGTTTACTTGCACAATGCTTCCTACTGATTTTTGGTGGACCAAGGACTCAACAAGGTATCAATCAGTAATTACGCATGCATGTCCTAGCATATTCAATGAGCCCTCATTGAACAATGATAAAATTCACTGACAAACAAAAGCTGTCCAGTAAACAGGTGTATCCAAAACCATATAAAAATATATAAACTTTGTTGCATGGAATCCTGTTCTGAATTTGAATTTGCTCAAGTCCTACTATCGGCACTCTAGATTATTTTCTGTTTCGTGGTTTGAGGTGATTGTCTGTGATGAATTAAATTAAAAATGACAATTTCGGATAAAGAACAGCATATTATCAAATATTGATATAAATCATTGTGATCTTATTATTACACATTCTATATTGGGGGGGGGGGGAAGCTTGGGAGCTTGGCCTATGATACACCCACCAGTAACAAGGTAGCTCTATGATACACCCACCAGTAACAAGGTAGCTCTCGCTAGCTCTAAAACCGTTTTTATTAAAGGTACTGTGAAACCTGTGCCCAGTAAAATGTGAATTGTGATGACATTAAATGTCCGCATTAAAAATGAGAATATAAAAATGAGTTATAGCCTTAAATCATCATGATGCCTTTACAAAACAGCACAATAATATGACATCTTGAATGATGGAAGTGCAACAAATAATAAAATGTAAATGAATCAGCATTAATTTTCTTAATAATTCACTGTTTATCCGGGACTCTGACAATACTGTGTGACAAGGACATTTTCATGCCATCAATCATTTAGGAATTATGACATCTGCAAACAATAGTGAAAATTATGCTAAACAGCATGAAAATGGCAAATTATTTAAGAAATTTCATAACCTAGGAATAATGGAAATGTCGACCATTTGAGACAATTATAAAATTATCGGGTAATTGTCATCTGAATTAAGTTGGGCAGCAAACCTTCTTTGATCTTCTAGTGAAGAGATCCGAAAATGAATCAAATAGAAACCCCCAAATGAATCAGCAACCCACATTCCATCTTTTGAAAATTGTATAGCTCTTGGTTTACGGATGCCAATAGAACTGATGTGTATTAGGCTGATCAGCCTGCCAGTATTAATATTCAGCTGTAGAATAAAACTGTTGCCTTCATCCGAGACATGTAATTCATTATTAACGGACATAGTCAAACCCTTTGGTACAAAATTCCTTGGTTGATCCAGTCCTGAAAAAAAAATGTAATGCAAAGCTTTACTAATAACTTAATGTATGTCTGATGATGGTGGGGGTGGGGGTGCATTTAAACAGTTGAATGCCAGATATATATATATATATATATATATATATATATATATATATACAGTGAGAGAGATGGAGTTTAACGTCCACTTAACACAAACTAGGTCAATTAGACGCAGAGTTATCATGTTCCAAAATCTCTACAAATCAAATTGCTTATCACTTTGCTTAACCTGAGTACAAGATGTTCTTCATCGAACTTCGTCAAGGTACTGATGATCCATCATTTTACCCTAATTAGAATCAAAGTTATCATGTTCCAAATTATTGATGAATCAAATTGCTTATCTCTACCTTGCTTAAGCAGAAAATGTTCATCATCAACCGTAGTCAAGACATACATTTGAACATTCTACCTCAATTAGAAGCAGAGTTATTGTGTTGCAAAAAATGTGACTGACAGACAGATGGATCAATACATTTCAACAGTTGAACAGACAGGCAATCATATCAAAATATATTAAAATCTGAAAGCCATGATTGGTGTCAGTCCATGCAAACACATCTTTTTAGACATAATTTTCATATTTAACTGAATTACCTTCTCCTTTGTAGATATGTTTTATATAAAAAGTACCACGATTTTCCTGCATGATAATAACTTGTTGACTAACAGGATCACAAATAACAACTGTCAGAAGACCTCCTTCCTTGGTAACCATAAAATCATTTGGTTTCTTCAATCTTAATTCTTGGTTATTTCTAAACAGCCACGTTTTCTTTAAAATAAAAATTATTGGTATAATAATTATAACATTTAAAAGATTGATTTCTATTAACAAGATAATTATATATGTGACGAGTCTTGATGATTCAGCCTATAATCCTAACAGAGTTATCTTCTCTCATCACGTGACTTTAAATCATACATATTGACATTTCTTGCCAGGCCCTCTGTCCTTTACCAATAACAAGAGGATACTAGGCTGGAATATCTAAAGGAACTTTCTTGGTCAACTTCAGTATCGATTCTGGGACCTTCATTAAAAAATTTCTAAATACCTAGATATTATTCAAAAGGAGATAGCTTATTGTGAATGAAACAGGCCTACGGTCAGTGTTTACCACAGAAACTGCTTGATAACTAGGGATACACTTTTAGAACAAAATCGTTAAGAATAGAACAAATAATCAATTTGATCAAGGGCAATAACTCCAACCATAATTCGTTGAAAATAAGACTCTTCATCTTAAGAACACAGACATTGTGTATAAATTTTAAAGTAAAACAGATGTAAACTACATGTAAGTCTCAAGAGCATTACAAGCAATTGTGGACAAAGGATGGGGTTGACAACAATATATGACCATATGGAAAGTTTTAGTCTAGGGTACATGTAAAGCAGTTTTGCTGTTTTGCATGCAGTCAGGTGAGACTGGGTCGTATTTTTAGCGTCAAATTTATTAAATATTTTTTTTTCTTGTTGAAAGTGACAAAAGTTACCTTATCGGTATTCATTACACCTTTTGCTGAACCTTTACCCCAAATCAGCACATAAACTTGACCACCATACTGATAAACTGCTACTGGAGTATCTGGTAACTGAAATCGATGAGACTGTTCAACAGTTGGGTCATAGATGTGCTCCAAATTAAACAAAACCTTTTGACTCGGGCAAGAAATTACCATTTTGTTACTTGGTGCCGGCAATAGTGCCAATCCTGACACATCCTTCCCAGCAATGGCTAGTTTCTTCAACGTAACACCGTTCTTGTTGATCAATTCCAGATTGGGATTGATGGGATCAAAATTTACCCAAACTCGCCCTTGCGACTCTGTGCTAATACATCTAATTATGTATTTATTCATGCCTCGACTCCAAATGGTTCTTACTAATCTGGGATGAATGGGAATGGGAGGTAACTGAGCCATATGATTATTCGAAAAAGGAAAAGCACTTGTTGAGACATCTATTGTGTTACTAACACCATTAGAAACACCATGTTGTTGAGAAATATCCTTAGATACAATTTCTCCCATAAAATTGGAAATCATTTCCCGTGCCTTTCCGTTCTGATTTGCTGCTCGTTCATAAGTTACTTCATTAGTATCAGGGTTAAATTGTGGTGGAGTTGAATCAATGGTCTTCATTTTTTCACTGACTGTTGTCTTTAATTTCAGCAAGGTCTGAACATCATGCTTATTTTGTTCCTTGTTGATCTGTTCAACCAAATCTTTCATTTGTTTGTTGTTTTTTTCTAAAGTTTTCTGGTACTGAATAACTTTATTGGTCTCTTTTCTCTGACTCTGAAAATGGAAAACATAGCAATATGGGATATAACGCCCATAAAAGCCAACAAAGACATTAAAAGACTAATAGTATAGTCAATGCACCATAAAACAATGAATGGATGAAATATGGTTTATTGTCCTACTTTTCTGAACCGATCCGGCTAATGAAATGAAATGAAATGGGGTTTAACATCCTACCCGGGCTAATGAAGGTTGAGATAAAACAATAATATAGGAATATAACCAAACTAGATACAACTGTCCAGATATACAATTCAAACAGGGAAAAAACAACATTTGTTCAGTATACCTTTTCAACATCAATTAAATAGAAATGCAATAGGGTTTAACTTCCACTCGCAACAAACTATGTTGTTTTAGGACTAACATACAATTTTATTCTAATAGTTCATTTGTACGTAAAGGTCTTTAGCAGTAAGAGGAAAGCATTCAAACCTGAAAAAACCCAAAAGCTAAGGCAGGTGAACCTACTCCTTGTCACTCACAAGTGTGGAATCAAATCCACGCCACTGGGCTCAATTACAGTTCTTCTGATCTATAGTGCAGGTGTTAAGCGATTTGGTCACTAAACTCTCAAGAAATGCAATAAATCCAATATTAATAGTACAAGATAATGTACCATATTTCCAACCGGTTGACTAATAATTGGGCGGCGTCGAAATGATGAAAGAAGTATAAAGGTTGGAATGTTAAAGGAAGACTACTCCAGACCATGAAAACTACATTTCTGATGTACAACACTACTGTTTCTGGATTCCTATGTTGATGCCAGTATCTGAAATCACTAACCTTTGTAATCATATCCAATAAAATCTTTTTCCTGTTATCCACCAAATCATGTAGATGTTCTGCATTTCCAATAACCGAAGCTTTCAATTCCTGTAATTTATGGTCCATTTTCTTTTCTATTCCTTCTGCCGATTCCCTTGCTGCCTTGTATTTTAGAATAAATGATTGAATCGTTTCACTCTTCTCTGTAAAATACAAATGCTAAAGAGTGGAAACTATTTGTCAATTAAATAAAATACAAAGATAGAGGTAAATTATAAGCTTTTTGACATTCTCAAACGAGAAATGATATCTTGCAACCTGATTAAAATACAGATCCTATTTCGTTTTGTTTTTTATAGTTCAAAATTTCGTTTTACTTGTCTTTACTACACTAGGATCTGGAAGAGTTGTTATATTACCAGCATTTTGGTTGAAGTGAGGGATAAGCCAATGAAACGGTCTGTTACTGCGACTTCTTGGCGTGCCATGCACAGAACTGTGGGAAAACCACTAGAAACGTCAATGCTGATTGATTAATCAATGTCTGACGTCATAGGGGCAAAAGTCGCTCGTACGACCCCTGACACGACCTTCGAGTACAACTTGTCAGATCTTCATGTAGTGTAGGCCATCGAAAGTATAAAAAAAAAAAGAAAACAAAATATAGATCTGTATTTCAAAGAGATTGGATATCTCATGTTCTAGGTGGGGTAAGTGTATCTTGTCTAGTGCAAAATATTTAATTTTAAAGTGACTTTTTCATTGGTGCGCTATGGATTTGCTCAGCCATAAAATACTTCATTTGTAAACCACCTCACAATGTCTTTCCATTGATCATTATTTGAGGGATTTTGAATCCCTGGCAAATTACAATACTGAGAAATTTGAATCTAGGAATATCAATCATTTAGTATTTCACTTAGTATTAACAATCATCTGATTTTGCAAAATTGATATCCTCTAGCTGTATATGATATTAACAAGCCAGTGCCATCTGTAAAATCTGTTAAAATCTTTTACAAGAGGAGATATTTTGGTTTTCTTTTCTTAATTAAATGTGAAATAACCAATTTGAGTAGGCCTACATCTTTATTCATTTGCGTGGATTAGATATAATTACCTGAAAATTGCAATGATGATCAGAGCCTTTATTGTTCAAAAGCATGGCATAGTATACATAAATTCATAGCCAATCATTCAATACTTGTGGGGTGCGGTTCAAATGGGGAATCATATAAGGGCTGATTTTAACCTCTCATTTTACCTTTTAACTCGTCTTTAGTACAGTGTAATATATCTTCCAAATCTCTCGTATCGTGTCCTTCATGTGAAGTTAGTTTACAGTGTAGGCAAATTGGAATGTCACACTTGGAACAGTAAAACTGTAACATCTGATTCTGTTTGCGGTGTTTTGGACAAGGTTGTTCAAATAAACAGCCATCTTCACCATCTTTGCCACTGTTACTGACAACAGTGCTTATCTCCAAAAGGCGGGATTTCAAAAGCTCCTCTGATGACCTCGCAGCAATAACATAAAAATTTGTCTGAAAAATAAAATTAAGTTTCGGTTGCCAGTCATAACCCTTACAACCACATAAACCAAGTCGCAAATGTAAATTGTCACATTTTTGTTCTTTAGAGGAAAATGGGAGCAATTAAAAGACACTAAAAATTGATCAAGGGCAATAACACATGAAGTAATTTTTAGAAACAATTAAAATTTGACAGGCTTCTGGTTCTTCCTACATCTAGCACTACCATTAACCAAACATACAACTTTCATCCAAAATTGTAGGAGTTCATATACATGTAATATTTTTGTCTTTCGAAACTAGACACTGTGTATGAATTTTAAAGTCCATCGGACAATAACTTTATACCCCCCAAAGCCCGAATCTGTAATCTACTGGATACATACAGGGTTATGTCGAAAGTTCATGTAAATTGTAATTTGTCTTATCCAGTAGGCCATGTGCAGACTGATAAAATTTTAAAATAAGGAAACATGTTATAATTTCTTTGAACATTTTCTTGTAAATGGCAAACTATAATACTGACAGTCAAAAGAAGATGTAAAGAGTTTTTTATTTACACATTTTCATCTGTGTTTTATTGTCTCTGGGAAAAACAGATGTTCTTTGCCAACAACTAACATGCTGACCATAATCTGCAGCACACCATAAGACAATAAAAAAAGCCACAGATAGCTTACTTCATTGCATAATATTAAATCACCTGAAATCCGTCTGCTTCTTTTGGTGGAACTTTAACGTGTGTCCGACAATTTGGACAAGGAAAAACATTTCCTTTCCTTTTGTTCCTTTTGATGTGAGCTGTCAAACATTTCTTACAAAAAGTGTGGAAACAGGGCAGAAGCTTAGGTTCATCAAAAGTTTCCAAACAGATTGTACATTCAAAAAGGCTGTCATCATTAATCGGTGCAGCAGCCATACCTGATACATGTACAAACCAATTAGGATTGTATTTGGATTGGTGTCCTTTCTTCTTTTGTATCTGCCTGAAAGAAAAATATCTTTTAACAAGAATGAGCAAACTATGGACCTGGAATCTATCATGACGTCATCGCCTCCGTCTTGGAATTGTGACTTCATATCAAAAATCGAAGTCTTTTCAATTGATGTGCAATTGTACAAGGAACAACCATGTCAAGTTACATGTTGATTGTACCTGAATTGACGTAGAGCCTTAGGTTTTTTCGAAGTGCGTTGCCCCCAAGAACAAGATGAGTAGTGCTTGAGGCTCAGTTCCTGATCCAAAAATAGACCCTTAATGAAATTTGAAGAATGAGTTAGCGTGATAAAGCCCAGGATTAATTTTTAAAATTAACCAAGCAACAATGAGGTCAATGTACCCCGCCCTAATCCTAAAATAAATAGATGATACTTTTTAATTAAATGAGAGATGTTAAAATATGGAGAAGCTATATCTCAACTTTAGGTAAATTAATATTCATTAAAGAGAATATCGTAAACTCTGGTCATAATATTGTAGATTTCATTTGTCATAATTCAATTAGTGCTCTGAAAGAAATCCTCATTTCAAAGATAGGCAGGTATCGCATATTTTGTCGTGTGTAGATCTTTTGTTAGTAATTTGCAAGTAGGCCTATTTATATACACCATTCACATATTATTTATAAATAGTATTTCAGGAGGATATCTCTCAACATAACTAATTCAAACATCCCAAATTTTCAGATGTTGCCAGTTACAGTATAATAACTCAATAATTAGTAAACCTACAGGTAGTCTATCGATAGTTTCATTAACAGGAGTGCATATTGTGATTGTTTACATAACATCTATTGGAAAAGGGAAATACACATACAAATTCAATAAGTAACCCTGTGGGTTAGTCTGTCATTACCGAGTGCATATTGTGATTGATGGCACAATTATAATTCAGTTTTACTATACATGAATCACCCATTCCAAAAAAAGGGTGTGTCACTGTTGCATTGTGGGAGATCGGTGAGCAAACTCACTCATAGCCGCCATTACTTTGCATTGGATTTCTCTGACCAAATTGTAGTGATGGGGGATATGTCATATGATGTGATAGAGACACAGATGGTTGATGCACATAAAGAATACCTCAGAAAGCACATTTTGAAGTATACAGATCTCAAAAAGGTAAAATTAAAACTTCAAAACAAACAGCTGTCAAAACTTAACCATACAACAAGACTAATAAATAGATAGAACTCAATGACCCTTGAATACCGCTCGGGTTATTCAATGGTTCAAGAGAGTGTATCCCTGCGCAAGTATTCCACGAGCGATAACGAGTGGAATGCGGCAGGGATACACTCGAGTGAACCATTGAATAACCCGAGCGGTATTCAATGGTCATTGAGTTCTGTTTTTATTCTATAACTACATGCAAATCTTAAAATACACTGTACTATCTAGATTACTATCTAAAATTCATCATAGGTTCCGCCCTTTTTTCTTTCTTTTTTACAAAAATTGTGGTTGCCTAGTTGTAACGTCATTACAGTTTGACGTAGTTCTGTAAGTGACGTCATTATGGACAAAAGTAGTACGTTTTCAAGCCATTGAATACAACTATAGGTTATTCAATGGCTGTATTCAATGGCCGTATTCAATGATATTTGCTTGTATTTGCATGTAGTTATAGAATAAATAATAGTAATTAATTTTAAAATATATAAATGAATAATACTGAACGTAATAAGCATTCTTAATGTACCCTGTGCTATTTATTTCTATGCAACACTGTACACTCACAGTTTGAGTATTGACCTGCTAAAAGTGACAGCGATCAGCTGATTGACAGCTGTTTGTTTTGGAGTTTTCATTTTACCTTTTTGCGATCTGTAAACTTCCACACGGAATCAAACACATTTTTTGAAAATACTTGATGAAAATTTGGTTGTCAGTTACCGTAATTCTTGCACTTCTTAAAAAACACAATTGCTAAAGAATTTGGGACATTTAGATCGCAAGATTGATAACTCAGTACATAATTATCCAAACTGTTATAGGATTCACTATTAGTCCAATACAATTATCACCTTAAAATTTTAAACAATAAATATATCTGTTTCAAATGGAAAATAGTACTCACATAAATATTCTAAATCAAACAGTTTTTCAAAACTTTTAAAACCTATTTTTTTGGAATTCATTTTTTGATGTCAATTAAAACTAATTAAAAGAAATAAAATTTTGGTAAGGAAATATTTAAAGGAGCCTTTTGAATTACATGGATGTTGAATGGGATTCATATGATGTGGTATTTTGATGAGTGATGGAGAAAGCTCTAAATGGTTTAACATATCAATAAATAGAAAGCAATCAAATCAAATTTTTTATATTTGACCCTTTAAAAGAGGGAGCACCTTTTAATACTTAATTGATTGAAATTATTATTCGGTACTGTATAGTTTTATACATTTAAGATACCATCATTTATATACATTTACCTGCAACAGAATTGATGTGTTCATCAGGTTCAATATTATGTAGTATATCATATTCTTTAAATATTTTAAATCCAACTTTCCTATGTATACATTCCGGATACTGATTATAAAAGTCTGTAAGTAAATAAGTAAGTAAGTAGGTAAGTAGGTAAGTAAGTAGGTAGGCAGGCAGGCAGGCAGGCAAGTAAGGAAACAAATGTTTCACTTTAATTGAAAATGCATCATTTGTATCATATTTTGAATGTTAAGCTTGAGCAGATGATATAGATGGTCTGAAGTAAAGACAGAAAAAGTTGTGAAATTGTATGTGTATATGATTCATTAAGCTCAACATCTTGTTAACCTAGAAGTCACATTTAACCTGCGTTCATAACCTCAATTTATCAACAATGAAAATTAAACGCAATATTCAAAAAGATGAAGATACATACCAAAACGTGAAGAACAATACTGGTTGGAAGATGATGACATCTGCCTAGACCATGCAGGTTGGCAGCTACACATGACAACCCATGCCGATTCTCTATTTTCAAACATCACAGCTTTTCTTTCAAGAAGAATTAAGCACTCTTTCTAAACAATTTGATAAATGTTTGATATAGTAGTTTTAAAAATACTGCTAATTTAGTAGGTTGATTGTCAGTAATAGCCCCTATATAGCAAGTTCTTATAACATGTGCATGCTTTAGCAGCAAGAAGGATGCTAGTTGTCAACTTTGGTGTTATCTTTAATTTCTAACAATGGGGTAGATAAAATCTATATAATCACTAAATCTAAACACCTATGAGTGAACTTTTTAAAAAATTTTCCTTTTCATTACAGAAATAGATCAACAAGTAAAGAATTTCAATTAGATGTTGAAATTGTTTGCCTCCAAATTACAGATAGACGAAACGAGTCAACATTTGGAACAAAATTCAGTTAAACATATGTTCGATTGATATTATAAAACATACCTTTAATAATGACTTTTCTAAAGTAATATCTGGTAGGACCATAAAAAAGCTTATTCCATCAGCCAGAGTTACAGATTCTTTTTCTGAAAGACACATTATATGCTACATTTTGCAATATTATTGCAGGAAAGGCAATCAATGCTACCCACGTTGTCAAAAGAAGTTAGAACTGCTTCCATTTATTTAAGTGAAATTCATATATCTTACCTGATTCAAGTAAATTCAGATATATCTCCACCTCTGGCAGAAAGGGTTCTTCTTGTATGCCCTTTGAAAATATAAAAAAATTACATAAAAAGTTATCCATGTCTGTAAAAAAAATTGTGAAAACACAGTAATTTATAAATGTGGGAAAGATCTTTAATTATACCTATCGCTCTTTTAAAATACACACAATTTCATTCTTTTCTATCAGAGAGGTAATATTGGCTAATTTGGAAGAGAATATTGTTTAACAAGTACGATAGTACTATATGGACCAGGAACCGATCATGACGTCATCGCCACCATCTTGGAATTGTGACGTCATATTGAAATCGAAGTCTGTCGATCGATGCGCAATTGTCCAATTGCTGATTTTCATGTCGATCAGACTTGAATTGACGGAGCCTTAGGCTTTTTCGAAGATCGACACCCCAAAAACAACAAGAAGAAGAACAAGATGAGTAGCGCTTGAGGCCCAGTTCCTGGTGCAAAAATCTATAATTAGTACCAAATACGTAATAGTAATTAATAATCACATGACCACTGCCTTCTACCCTAGGTGATTACATCACATTACCAAATACCATGTTTGTACATCCTAATATATTAAATGTAGAGTAGTCCATCATCCAAAGTGTGGTAATAAGACTGGAGGGAAATTGGGAAGACATTAAATGGCCAGTAAACATAGCAGTACAGCTGCTAAGAGAGCGGACGTTTTGGTCCTATACTAGAATCTGTGAGATCCTGATATACGATTCTGTAAAAGTAACTTATATTCCTGATAACAATGAAACGACAGCATATGTGAAGATGCCATATCAAAAATTGTTTGACTAAATATATGCAATAATGCATTTTACAATGTACATGAAAATTTAAAACTATGATTAAACACATACATCCTCAAATTGAGCACATCCAATTGGTTCAGTCAATTTTGGGGCAGACTTGGATGTTGATTCAGAATTATTTACTTCCAATGAAGATGATTGACCAATTTCTTTATTTGTCAGGTGAGTTTCTGTAAAAAAAACAAAACAAACGATACTAAATATATTTATAGTTTAGATAGAAATGATGTGAGTAATGTCTATCAACAACACACTTAAAGATCATCGAGTTGCAATAATAAGGTACAATGTGGTCTTGTGTATTAAAGAATCTGGTCTGTTGAATAGATATGGCCTTATGTATTAAAACTGTTAAATAGACCATCAAGACACAACACTGTCTCTTGTGTTATAGGATACGTTAAATAGACCAGGTCTATGTATTATATCATATGGTCTCATGCATTACTTAATTAGGTCTAGGGGTCAATGAGGTAATGCATGAGACCATATGATATAATACATAGACCTGGTCTATTTAAAGGATCAGTTAAAGAGATCATCAAGTTACAATCCATAATATTCCAAAGCATGAAGATCAGTCTTTGTGTGACTTTGATAATAGACATCAAGCAATGATTGTGCCGTTAAAACTAGATAAACAAACCTTGGTTCAAGGCTGATTTTGGTGAACGCTTTGATAACTTTCTTTTAGAAAAATCATAAAATGATTGCCCAGGTCTTTTAAACCTTCGTTTGTGATACTCTAAACTCAATACCTTTGGTGGTTGCATCTCCTTATCAAGTTTCTCATCCATTTAACTAAAAAAAAACATGGATTAGATAATATTAATTTTTTTTTTCCAGAGTTCCACAAAAAAATTAAAACTATCAGTTAATATATTCCAAAACATACATCATCAAATAGAGCACATCTTATTAACACTGTTTTAATGAGGTCTTCTGTATTACAGGGTATGGTCTCATGTAATTAAAACATTCATGAGACCATGATGTGGTATTGTGTATTATAGGGTATGGTCTCTTATGTTATAGGATATGGTCTCATGTAATTAAAACTGTTAAAGAGACCACCAAGTTATCATGTGGTCGTATGTTAAAGGGTATGGTTCCATGTATTAAAACTATTAAAAGGACCATCAAGGTACATTATGGTCTCTTGTGATATATGATATGGTCTCATGTAATTAAAACTGTTAAAGAGACCATCATGTTATCATGTGGTTGTATGTTAAAGGGTATGGTCTCATGTATTAAAACTATTAAAAAAAATCATCAAGGTACATTATGGTCTCTTGCGTTATAGGATATGGTCTCATGTAATTAAAACTGTTAAAGAGACCATCATGTTATCATGTGGTCGTATGTTAAAGGGTATCTTCTCATGTATTAAAACTATTAAAAAGACCATCAAGGTACATTATGGTCTCTTGTGTTATAGGATATGGTCTCATGTAATTAAAACTGTTAAAGAGACCATCATGTTATCATGTGGTCGTATGTTAAAGGGTATGGTCTCATGTATTAAAACTATTAAAAGGACCATCAAGGTACATTATGGTCTCTTGCGTTATAGGATATGGTCTCATGTAATTAAAACTGTTAAATAGACCATCATGTTATCATGTGGTCGTATGTTAAAGGGTATCTTCTCATGTATTAAAACTATTAAAGAGACCATCAAGGTACATTATGGTCTCTTGTGTTATAGGATATGGTCTCATGTAATTAAAACTGTTAAAGAGACCATCATGTTATCATGTGGTCGTATGTTAAAGGGTATGGTCTCATGTATTAAAACTATTAAAAGGACCATCAAGGTACATTGTGGTCTCTTGTGTTAAAGGATATGGTCTCATATTGGGACATATTATTCAGTTACAACAAGAGTGTTATTGGGGCTTTAAAGGGTATGGTCTCATGTATTAAAACTATTAAAAGGACCATCAAGGTACATTATGGTCTCTTGTGTGATTGGATATGGTCTCATGTAATTAAAACTGTTAAAGAGACCATCATGTTATCATGTGGTCGTATGTTAAAGGGTAGCCTCTCATGTATTAAAACTATTAAAAGGACCATCAAGGTACATTATGGTCTCTTGCGATATATGATATGGTCTCATGTAATTAAAACTGCTAAAGAGACCATCATGTTATCATGTGGTCGTATGTTAAAGGGTATGGTCTCATGTATTAAAACTATTAAAAGGACCATCAAGGTACATTATGGTCTCTTGTGTTATAGGATATGGTCTCATGTAATTAAAACTGTTAAAGAGACCATCATGTTATCATGTGGTCGTATGTTAAAGGGTATGGTCTCATGTATTAAAACTATTAAAAGGACCATCAAGGTACATTATGGTCTCTTGCGTTATAGGATATGGTCTCATGTAATTAAAACTGTTAAAGAGACCATCATGTTTTCATGTGGTCGTATGTTAAAGGGTATGGTCTCATGTATTAAAACTATTAAAAAGACCAACCTAGGTACATTATCATTATGGGCTCAAGTGTTATAGGAAAAGGACCCATGTACATTAAAACTGTTCAAGATATCATCAAGGTCTTCTGTTATAGGATGTGGTCTCATGTATTAACACTGAAAGATCTGCAAGGTATTAGGCTATGGTCTGTATATTACACGATATGGTCTCATGTATTAATAAAGAGCAAGAGAAGTTTTGTGTAAATGCATGGTGCGGTCTAATAAAAATTTTCATGCCTGTAAATACAATCTATACTTTTATGTTCTAACATACGTTTATAGGCTTTACCACCATTATGTCTAACTTATAAGTTATAATTGTAGGCTATCCCATTCCCTGTACACTGTGTAACATTTTACTTTTTAGTTGGAGATTTGAGTTCCAGCACGAGCGATTTGTTATTTCAAAATAAGCCAGTAATGTAAAGTCACTCACTGGTTTCACTCTGTTCATTCAGAATAATTAAATATCAGTGCCTTCTTTTCTCGTTGATGTTTAACGTCGGATAAATAGTAAAATATCTCAAATAATACTTATTCATTTATGTTTTGAAACAACCCGCGAGGATCCGCAGATATAACTACTTCTCACATCCGATTGGTTAAAAAGCATAAACCCCGCCCCTTTTCGTCCCTATCGGACCATGGTCTCTGGGCTATTTTTCATTCAGTTTAATACCTCCACGAAGGGCTGGTTATAAAACCGGAACCGGAAATGGATGATAAAAAAAAAAAAAAAGATTAAGCAGATACGTATTCCAGTAAATTCCGCAAGAAAGCCAAGATGAATTTTTATAAGTTAAAAAAAGGTATATACCGGTATTCTTTGAGAGAAGAAAAATAATTGTAGGCATTTCATTTAATTCTTTCATTTCTACCTCATCTTTCGTTTACATTTTACATTTATTTTTGTTCAACTCAATAGACATATCTAAAAGTAAAAGTAGACTTTTAGATTGATCAACTGTCATTCATTCATGCATTTTTATTTTTATTTTAGATCGAGAGTGATATGACAGCCAAAACATCGTTTTCTCCTGACAAACAAGTTACAGATCAGGTATCTAGTTTCATTTATTAATATTAAAAGAATCTTAAATCATTACTATATAAAAGGAGCATTTGGTACAGATTAGATAAAGAGCTGACAGTTCTCGTTATAAATAGTTAAAAAAATAGATAATGAAAAATGAATATGTTGAAAATTTCAGTCAAATTACTTCACTCTAACCTCGATTGTCATTACTACTGTTGTTGCGATAATAAACAAATTCTCGTTTATACATTTTTACGGTAACCGCATATAGTTATCAACCTCAAGACATATTTAAACCTAATTATGGAAGCATCTGATCCGATGACATCAAGAGTTGTAACATCTTAGAAATAATTAAGTTAATTTTATACTGTACTATTAGCACTAATTAAACATACCCGGCCCATTCTAGTGACACAACTTTTGTTTATCTGCAATTATACCGGTATGTCAGTAAAGTTAAAGTTAATCAAGCTCTGTTTTTAACAGAATTGGAATGGCCATTCATAATTACGGTAGGGCCTACATATTAGTCTTATATGCGACCTATAAAGGTTCTCTACTTGCTTTTTTAAATTGTCTAAGTCACATATTTTGATTGGCTGTTGTACACTACATATATCTATCCTGCTTTCATGACATTAACATGTCAAACATGTTTTAGAATGTTGGACGAAGATTTATTAACAGAGTGCATTTTTTTATACGCCATCATTTTGTGAACAAAAATTACATTTTTAGCTTGTGGACTCTTTAGCTAGAGGTCATAAATTTTATTTAATTTTAAAAACTGTTCAAATATGTCACTACTATACGGTAGGCTACCATAAAGATGATCGAGTTCAAAGTTTTTGAAAATTGGACTGAAACTGTCTGACAAAATGGCCACTCCAGTGTATGCAAATAGTGTAAGAGTATGTAATACCAAGGTTGCAGGCCCTCTAGAGGTCACAGTTTTTATCTTTTTTTTGATGAAACTTAAAAAGTATGTTTATATCCCAAAGGTCTCTGTGCCTTTTTATATTAGCACATTTCGGACCGCAACTTTCTGTATTATGACACTGATGGTACGAACAAATTTAATTTTATGGCCCCTTTAGCGTCCAAATCTTTATTTGATTTTAAAAACCATTTAAACGGTTGAGTTTTAGCTTATGAACTTCCTAGAGGTCACAATTTTCATCCAGTTTTGATGAAACCTAAAGTATGTTTACATCCGAAAGATCTCAGTTCCTTTCAATCTTGTAACATCCTGGGTTATTGCCCCTCATAATGATTGTACAAAAAATCGCTTTTTTAGCTTGTTCTCTGTCCATCTCTTGCAAAATGTAGACATGGCACCCGCTTGTTTATTCTATTTCTTTCTTTGTTTCAGAGTGAAAATTCGCCATTGCACCTTGATAATGAAGAAGCTGAAAGTCAAGAGACCTTTACTCAACTTCATGCTGCTGCAGTAAATGGAGATAAACAATATTTAGCCAGACTTCTAACAGGTTTATTTTAAAAATATATTTATTATTTGCCTGGAAATAAAAAACCTGATTATGGTCCATGTAAACCGTATAAATGGCTGCATTGTCTTCTGATGCCTTTATTAAAGTCGCTTGAGATTTATTTGCTTTTTTTCAGAAATTTTCTAATCCAAGTTCAAATGTACCCAAATTTATTATTTAAAACTTTATCGAAAAAAAAATTAAAATATCAATGGCCTATAGTCTCCTGACTTGTATTCAAACAGATAGAAAATAGGCCTATCAAAATATTTAAGCAAGTATAATAAACGGCCATTTCTGTTTATTTTGTCTGCATGTTGGATGTCGAATACTTACGAGCTTTCAATTCTTCATGTGATACTAAATGGAATTAAACTGATTTCTCTATAAATTACAGCATCAAGACATGAGATTGATGCAGGTGATCAGTTTGGAAGAAATCCATTGATGTTTTGTATATTGGCTGATAGAGTTGACTGTGCTGAACTCCTGTTAAAAAATGGTAGTAATATTAAACATAAAGATAATGGTGGTAGAACACCCTTACATTGGGCAGCACACAAGGTAAATAGAGGACATTATGACGTATGGGAAATCCACAATAGGAAAATTGAAGTTGTCACTGTTATTGTATAGTTTTTCCTCATCAGGATATATAAAACATAAATAATCACATTTTGTGAAGTAATCCATGAGCTAAAAACCTTGCTGAATTTTGTCTGCAATATTCAGGTGACATATTTTCTACATAATATTTATAAGAGAGAGAGAAATGGGGTTTAACATCCACTCGACACAAACTAGGTCATTTTAGGACTAACACATGGTTTAACTTTATTTCAATAATTCACTTGCATGTAGGGGTCTTTGGCAGTGGGAGGAAACTGGAGGACCCGGAGAAAACAGATGAGGCTGGACAGACGACCTGACTCCTTGCAATTGTCATGTACAACCAGGGAATCGAAACCACGCCAGTTGACTAAATGACAGATCTTATGATACAACGCGCACATGTTAACCATTCAACATAGTAGAAAAAGATACTAGATGACCATGACAAAACTCTGGCTTTCTTGTTTTTGGAATAGTTTAGTTGTGTGATTGAGTGGTCTAATACATGTACTTTAGATCAGACAGCTAGTCACAAGCAAGTTATTAAAGTAAACTATACCATACCATAGTCCTAAAATGACCTAGTTTGTGTTGAGTGGACATTAAACCCCACTTCTCTCTCTGTCATTTTCATTTGATGCATTAATGTATAGGCAAGTAAGCCAGTAATCACATCATTGGCTGTGCATTGATCCATAGCAGTGGCATCAATGAATCATTCTGCATCTGAGTATCATAGTATGAAAATGACGGTTCTATAATAAATAATCATTTACATTTAAAAGGAAATGAAATGGGGTTTAACAGCTTACTTTTTTGCACCAATCGTACTAACTTGGCAAATTTTTTTTCATTGAATTCTAACTGTCGCTGGTTCATTTATGCTCATGCCAACGAGTACAATGATTTACCTTGGTTTTTCTTTCCATCCAAATCAGTACACTTTTCACTTGTCAAGTCCTCCTTCCTGCATCAATTTCAAGGGGAAATCGGACAGGAAGATCCAGAGGAACTGTCTCTGCCAACACTGGTTATTGAGCCACTGCTTTACATACAAACTTCTGTCTATGTATTATTTTTTACTTTGAACTGTTTTCAGGGGAACTATCGTTTGATGAAGCTATTGTTATCAAAGGGTGCAGGTTGGTTTGAAGAGGACAATGAGGGTCAGACGGCATTACACATGTGCACACGTCATAAACAACCTAAATGTATGTCTTTAATATTACGCAATCTATCTCCAGCTGAAGTTGATGTACCAGATTTCAACAAGGTAATTATTCTCGTGCAATGATATTCAAATCCAGTTCATCATTTTGTGTGGTTTAATGGTTGAGAGTCAGACATTAAGTAATATATTGATACTGCATGGGGATGTTACAGACACTATTCGGCATGTGTATTTCAATGAAATATTTCTTCTAGTATAAATAATATACGATTGGCACATTGCCAGTACCATTATTGAATTAATGATATGCCAACATCAAAGGATGACGTCACATCTGTATTTTAATTGTAGATACTGACAAAAACATATGTATTGCCAGTTTCTTTACCATTACATGTATGTTAAATTTCAGAGAACAGCTCTACACTGGGCAGCATCGTACGGTAATTTTGAACATGTAAAGATGTTAATTAAACAGGTAAGTTTAACGTCTTCAGCTACCTGTATGTTATAATGAATGACATGCAAGAAATTGTCAGTAGTGTAGAAATCTCTTCAATATACACACATCTTTACTAGTGCTGGTACGATATCACCATTTCATGATTCGCGTATTGAATCACAAGACGCTGAATTAATTTTTTACGATTCTGTATTATGGGTATTTTTTGTCGCTTTACTAAGTAACCTTTCACTCTAAATTATCCATGTCACACATTATCCATAGGTACACAAATACTCTTAAATTGTTTTGGTTTTTATTTTGATCCACATCAATTTCGTGATATAAAACAGTTTTGTTTCTTCAAGATCAGCGATTCCCCGGTTGTAAGTGACAAGGAGTAGGGTCGCCTGTCCAACCTTGTGAGATTTCTCCAGGTCCTCCGGTTTCCTCCCGCTGCTAAAGACCCCTACGCGCAAGAGAATTATTGAAATAAAATTAAACCAAATGTTAGTCCCGAAAATACCTAGTTTGTGTTGAGTGGACGTTAAACCCCATTTCTCTCTCTCTCTTCAAGATTGGCAGGATTAAAAATATCAATTATTCATTTATCCTGTTTTTTCCTCTTGTATCACAGTTAGCTAAACAAGAAATGTACAGTTCCTATATAAATAAAATAGAAATATACTTTTGGAAACAGACAGGTAAAATGTTACAAAAGTTAAGAATAAATATGGCTTCTTTAAAATTAATTTTGATTAATTAAATGTGATTAATATCTTTGCTTCAGGATTCTAATATTGGTATACCTGATATTGAAGGTAAAACTCCACTACACTATGCTGCCAGTAGTAAAGATAAACAAGCTCTAAATTGTGTTAAACTTATATTGGTATGTCTGTCGTACTTTATTTTACGGTACTAATTATTAAAAAACGTTATTTCTATCTGCCTAGCAGCCTACCCACCATTGTAATTGTTTTAATGGATGTCTCTTCTTTTTGGTAAGAATGTGCCCCAGCTCAGATCTAATCGTATCTCTCCAGATCTGGACATTAGATTTGTCATTTGTGACCCCTTGCCTGTTGGGTGTCTCACGTTGATTTGAAGTGATAAATTATGAAATTAAAAGCACATGCATGTACAGGTACTTTCAATTCTTAAAGGGAAAGGTTCTGTGTACAAATTAGTAGTGAATGTAATTAGGACTTGGAGTTGGAAGAAGAGTGAATGCATAAGCTACACCTGCCTGTAAAAAATCTTTTTTTGTCCTCAGAATTGCACAAAATCATAAAAATATAATGTATGTATTTTTTGTAGGAAACAACACCTAGTGTTATTAATTGGCAGGATTTTGAAGGTAGAACAGCTTTACATTTAGCAGTAGCAGACGGCAATGAAAGTATAGTTAATGTTTTAGTAAGTACAGAATATGTGATATCAGAGATGGAATCCACACGGATTACAATCTATTTTTCATAGATCTTTAAAGGAGATAGTTCAGCTGTTTCTATATTTAAGCAAAAGATAGAGAATGAAATGAAATGCAGTTTAATGTCCTACTGTTCTGCACCGACTGGGCTAATGAAGATAGGCATACGTTATACAGTTTTCTATGAGCGAAATTTTGTCCCCACAGCGGCACTATGGCCTACTCTTGAATTCCAACTGTCAAGGAATCTTTAATGTGCATGTCAATGAGTACATGGAACCTTGTTTTTTGTCACATACATTTTTGGCCAACGCAGGGATCAAATATGGAACCTCAGGAATAGGGAGCCGTCTTACTCACTGAGCCACCTTGGCTCCCAGATAGATAATGATGACGATTATTGATTCTAGGTGGTATCACACTAGGGCTGCTCTTAATTAAATCTTGATATTTTTGGACCAGGAACCGGTCGCTAACTGCTACTCATCTTCTTATTCTTCATGTTCTTGGGGTTTCGCACTTCGAAAAAGTCTAAGGCTCCATCAATTTAAGTCCGATCGACATCGAAATTGGCATACTTCTTCTTTGAACAATTCTGCATGGATTGGGTGAATTATGTTTTTGAAATTCATCCAACAACATAGTCAGTTCCTGGTCCATTGTATGATTACTCATATCAACTTTATGCAAAGATTCTAGGTGTGCTGCTGAGTGCTCTTAATTAAATATCAATATTCTGTGTGTCGTAAACAACTGTTTGTCACTGTGGAAGGTCATCATACTACAGTCTCAGTAAGAGATCATTTTCCCTCATCACATGTTCACTATCTTGTGTATAATGGCGATCTACACGTCACTTAAATGTAATAAGATACTTTTATAATCCTTTAAGTTGATTTGTTTCAAAAAAGATATCTGGGAGAATGTTCAGGATAATTAAAAGCTGACTTTCAGTTGTTTAGGGATGGTGCTATGGTGCTATCAGGGTAAAATGGTGTTTCTTATTAGTTATATCTTCCCTAGGATTAGAACTATGATGCTATATCTGCAATGAAAGCAATCACCAATTAATTGATACGTAGATGTGGTAATGAACTGTTAATGTTTGTTACCATTACTACAGGGATATGGTTTTAGATATGGATTTGAGAACAGGCTTTGCAAACTTGTGTGAATATCTTTTTGTATATTTTCAGACATCTGTTCAAAAGTGTGATGTGTCAGCTTTAGATAATATGTTTAGAACCCCACTACATTGGGCAGCTGTACTTGGTAAGTCAAATATTGCAGGGAATATGTGCATACAATTGTTAATCCAGAAATTTCCTAGTCGTGGGACAAGTCTCAATCCATCACAGTCACAACAGGCTGTCATACCAACAACTACACCCTGACTCACACAAACCTGTCTGCAAGCAGATTCACCTACCTTCGATAATCACTTAGTGAATTACAAAGGTTAGGCAAGTTTTCCTGGCCAGCTTCACTCTAGCTACTGTCTCCATCAAATCGTGGATTGTGCGAAAGTGCTTGACGACTGGACAAGAAATCAGACTGAACAACCCCCACCATCCCCCTTTGGCAATTAAGATTGTCTGTGATTGTCTGTGTTAACTGCGTTTTTATTGGACGATCAGTGCTATGTTGTCTAATAGGTAGCAGACATGATGTTGGCAGGGGACATAATTCTTAATGGTGTTTTGGACTACACCACCCCTAGTCCTTCAAAAATTGATTGTGAGTGATATTTGCCTTTTAGATTGACCGGTATTTATTTCTAGTTTTTAGTTGCAAACAGTAGTTACTACTAGATTATGACCGTTTTTTTCTGTTTGTGTTTTAAAATTGTTCTATATTTTAGGCCATTCTAAGATTGTTAGAATACTGTTAGAGAAAGGTGCTGATTATACGAATTCAGATTCAAATGGTGCTACACCGCTACATTATGCAGCCCAAAATAATTTTGCAGTAAGTTTTAATAACAAGATTATTAAAAGACTTAAAAAGATTATATTTTAAAATTAAATGTCTTCAATTTGTCTAGAGATTGTGATACAATTGTGATCTCCCAAGATATATAAAATTATCACTAATATGTAATTTATCAAATTAAAATATTTATTATAATATTTTTCTGTACAGGAGACGGTTGATGTTTTTTTGTCGTTTATTAATGTAATGGATGACATGCATGATAATGAGAGAAGAACAGCTTTTATGTGGGCAGCTGGTAAAGGAGCAGACGATGTTATTAAAGTTTTCAATAAATATGGCGTAGATTTACAACAAGTAGATAAAAACGGAGCAACAGGTGATCATGTGTGATAGTTATTGTAATTGACCCCAGGTGTTAATGGCCCAACCCTAAGTAGACAAATATTGTTTATCAGTCCTATCATTGGAATTTTTTACAGAACCTTCTTTTCCAAAAATATCTAAGCAACAAAACACAGAATTTTTAAAGTGAAATGCCCTTAAGTAAGTGAAGCTACCATAAGCAAATGGAGTGACAAAAAAAGTATAAATAAAGAAGTTTGATCAAAATTATTCACTACAGTGAGAAGTTTCCCGATTAAGAATACGGCCAATAATTGCATCTGCATGTCACATAGCCTTACAAGTCATATTTACATAATTTATTTCTTTGATATTAATATTGATGGTTTATCATTGTTGTAAATATTGATATTTACTATAAAAAGTAAATAATATTACATGATATTTGGAATGGAATGTTCTTAATTTCTTTGCCATTATTGATTATTTTTAGTTGTAGGTTTTAATTAGCAATAATCTTGCCTCCTTTCTGGGTAAAATCTTCCTCACGCATAATATGTCTGTTTAAAAATTCAAAGATGTTTGAAATTACTCAAATTTTCAAGAAATGCCAATTGAGAATGGTTTGTCGGAATGAAAATAGTGTATTTCAATTTATTTTGTCTTCTAGCATTACATGCTGCAGCATTAGCTGGACATGAATCAACAGTAAAACTATTGTTGGTACTAGGTGCGGAGATTAATATAGAAGATCATCTACATCATACACCATTATTTCGAGCTTGTGAATTAGGTCATACTGAGGTTGTACAGACATTATTAGATATGAACTGCAAGGTAGATAGTGTGGATCAGGAGGGCAGATCAACATTACATTGGTAAGTAAACTTATAAATTAAGTTCCAAAATACACTAAGTTTAGGGACAGAACAGTAGGACATTAAACCCCATTTCATTTCATTTCACTAAGTTTAGGGAGGATTAAGTGTGCTAAGTGGGTTGCAGCTAATGGCCCCAATATTAAAGGGACTCCTAAATTAGTACCATATGTCACAGTAGAGTTTAAAAAAGGAGGGCAGCTATGGTAAGGCAACCAGGGGCCATTTGCCGGAATAGCCACACATGCCCAGTTGAGGGCATATTCCGCCAGGGGCCCCATGCAAGCTGAATTTAGTTCAGTTCACTAAATATTTCCGTATCAGACTGCCAAAAGGGTTATAGTTCACTCCTTTTGTTTAATGTATAAAGAGTCTTGCTGTATTGGTAATGAACATGTAGTCCAAACTTCAATGCTATAAATCCTAGTGTACAAATTTGTTTTTAAACGATTAAAAATTTACTAAGAGTATATTATGCATGAATCAGTTAAAAAGAATTCATTTTTCACATAATAAACATGTTTTTGTGAAAATTATGAGGTTAGATTCACAATAATTGTTTAAGATGTTAAATAAACTCATTATAAATAATTTCTATTTACAGGGCAGCATTAGGAGGCCATGCTTGTATATGTCAAATTCTTATTGATCATGATGTTGATCCAAATGTTAGAGACTTTTCAGGGTAAAAATTTAATTATTATTCAATACTATAGTTTCAGTATTTTGAACTGTATTTCAATACAGGGTCTGTTTAACATTTCAGGATCTAGCCGATTAATACAAAAAATATTTGAAACAAATACTAAAAGTTTAATGTTCTCTTTTGCTCAGTGAGGCACATGTCCTATATATTTACCATAGTCACCTTTTTAACTTAAATCCTTAAATTGCTTTTTTGGACAATTTTCTAATTTTTCGTATCTTTGCAAATTTAAACATTACGATAATGTGTTTAATAAACCTATCGATTCTTTTACAGACGAACACCACTGCATTGTGCAGCATATGGAGGCTATGTTAATTGTATGTCAGTACTTATTGAATATGATGGGCATCCTAATGCACAGGACAATGAGGTAATATTTGATATTAGGAAGTTCTAATAATGTAGGAACCGTAAGGTGCTGGTGCTGGGTACGATCCCAGTATTGGCCAAGAAAGTTTCCTTGTGGTTTCCTCGTGTCAGTGGTGCAAGGCAGTGTTAAGGAACAGAATTCATTCAGTGTGCACGTAGAAGAACCCTTGAAGTTAGAATTTGAAATCAATCTGATTAAAATACAAATCTATATTTCATTTCTTTTATTTATACTTTCGATGGCCTCCACTACATGAAGATCTGACTGGTCGCATCAGGGTCATATGAGCGGGTTTTGGTCCTATGTCATCAGACATTTGGTTGACCAATCAGCATTGATGTTTCAAGTGGGTATTTGGAAATACAACTGTTGTTTTGTCTGCGCTGTAAATGTCTACTCACGGTTCCGTGCAACACACATCAAGAACTCGCCACAACAGACCTTTTCATTGGCTAATCTCTCACATCAACCAGTATGCGAGTTATATAACAACTCTTCCAGATCCTAGTGTAGGGAAGCCAAGTAAAAACGAAATTTTGAACTATAATAGGATCTGTGTTTTAATCAGATTTAATTTGAAATAAGAGTAGGCTGTAATACCGCTGTCCATGCAAAATTACCATTATTGTACCCTGCATGACATGTGCCCATCTCCATTAATCTGGATGGATCAGAACAGTAGGACCTTAAAGCCTATTTCATTTTTTATATTATTTACATATGGTATATTGTGTTTGTTTATTATTATTATATACAGGGTATGACACCTTTACATTGGGCTTGTAGTAAAGGTGATTTAGATGCTGTTAAATTACTGTTAGAAAATAACGCTTATCCTAATCAGATGAAATATACAGAAGATAGGTATGTTTAATATAATGTGATAAATTTGACCAGCTCTGGTAAAATGAGACACATCAAAATATAACTATGAATATTTTAGTATTAAAAGACATTTAAATTGACGAATATGAATTATCTTTTCTTACCTAATAGTCGAGATATTAAGCTTTGAGTTAATAGACACCATAACATTATTTTTGAGAAAACAGCGATTGAAAATTATTAAAACAAACAAAACCAAGATCTGATAAAGTTTGATCATTTAGGAAATACTAATCAAGTCCTTATTTAAGACAAATATTCTGGAAATGTGGTCAAAGAGTTATTTGCGTTGTACCATATCTAAAGTAAGAGGTCTTAGACATATTATTTAAGCAGAGCAGGTCATAAAACTTCTCATTTGTTAAAGGGATAGCAGTGGGAGATATTCCACTATCTTCGGTTGTACGATCTTATCAAGGGTTTATCTCCCGCTGTACTTACTATTAAGTACTTGACTTGGCTTCAGAATCAGAGTTTAAACACATCTCTACTTCTCAAGTTGTATTTTAAGAATATGTATAATTGATATCAATACTGCTGTTCAGTTTATTTTATAGGTATACAGCTTAACGTAATACTATTGAATTTATTTTTAGTTATATAGCTTTGGTAATACTATTGAATTTATTTGTAGATATACAGCTTTAGATTATGCGTTAATGGGTGAACATCATGATGTAGCTCAGTATATGATAGAACAAGATGCTTTATCTATTACTGGTATACAAGATATAGCTGCTCAAAAAATACAGGTACTTAATATTATAACGATCTTCTTGTCAGGAACCATGCATTGGCTCAGTGAGTACATGGTGTTGGATCATCAACCGGATGATCCTGGATTCAATCCCAGTATTGTTCAAAAAGATTCCTCACGATTCTCAAACAATGTTTCCCCTTGTTCACTGTATGCCATTGACAATTAACATGTTAAGTTAAAGATCTGCTGACAGCTGGAAATCGACACAAGCAGAGACCTTAGGCAAAGTTTTCCTTTTAACACACTGTATGGAGTATGTCTTTCTTCATTAGCTCAGTATGTTGCAGCGGTGAAAAATATTTGCCGACTGTGCAGAATGGTTAAAAATAAATAAAGCCTGAACTTTATACAAATTAGACATTTTCCAGATCCAATCTTTCTATAAAAAGATCCAGTTAACAGTCTACAATCTAGTAATACTGTGTTGAAGTCATAGTGACGATCAGATTTGGCAGTTAAAAATATCAGTAATGAACATGATTATTTTTATCTTCTAGTCTGCATTTCGTGGTTACAGAGTGAGGAAAACATTTACAGAGAGAAAAATTCTCCTGATGAAACATGAAAAATTAAAAAAGGAAGCAGCCAGGTAACATTTTATTTTGTGTATGCCCACATTTCTTGGTGCTTTGCATGTAATCTTTTGAAAGAATTATATGTGTTAAGGGGATGGTTACCGAATGTAGGCTACACATTTTGTTTTGAGTTATTTCAAGTCCTCATTAATTTCACTTATTGTTACATTATACAATTTCTATAGGATAAAAGATGGTTTAAGTTATCCATTGACAGCTTTAGTTTCATTATGTGTGGTTTAATGGTCGAGAGTGCGACATTAAGTAATATATTATAAAAAGCAACACGAGGAGTCCCTCGTGTTTTTTCAATATATTACGCAATGTCTTAAGCTCGAGACCATTAAACAACTATAAATACAGACACTTGCAAGGGCTTTGCAATGAAATACATCACACGGTTCCAAAATTTCCTCTAGTAATGTACGCTTGGCACATTTGAAAAGGATGATGTCACATCTGTATTTTAATTCTACATATAAACCCAGTTTGAATATTCTGTCTACAATGAGTAAAAAAATGCTCTTTATTTTGAGGTCTTGTTCACCTGATGTAAAACGATAATTCCAACAGATTTGAAGTGGAATTTTTTAGATTGAACACTTGATTATATTTTACAGAAAAAGGGCTGTAACGGTAGAAGATGTGAAAAAGAAGGATGAAATTCCATCAAAACATGAAGCTGACAACCATTTAAGCAAAAGATCAGCAGATACAAGTGAAGATTTAACATGTGGTTCTACCTCGGATGTGCAAGATGACAGTAAAGCTGTTAATAAATCTGATGAAGTTTCAAGTAAAATAATAAATGAAAATAAAGACGTTTCAAGTAAACTAGAATATGAAAGTGAAGAAATTTCAAGTAAAATAGAAAGTGAAAGTAAAGAAGTTTCAGGTAAAATAGAAAATGAAAGTAAAAAAGTTTCGAGTAAAATAGAAAATGAAAGTAAAGAAGTTTCAAGTAAAACTGAAAATGAAAATAAAGCAGTTTCAAGTAAAATAAAAAATGAAAGGAGAGTGGATGATAAACTTCTAAAATATAAAGCTGTTGAAAAATCTGGTCGAGGTGTTAATCCATCCAACAACCAATCCGAGCCTACTTTATCAAAAACTGTCAATAAATCAAAATTGCCAAGTAAAGTAAAAAGTGGAAGTAAAGTGGATGATAGACATCTAAAGTACAAAGTAGTTGAAAGTAAATCTAGTCGTGGTCTCAGTCCGTCCACATGTCGATCAGAATCAAGTTCACCAAAAGTAGTCAGTAAAATAAAAACTGAAAGTAGAGTTGATGATAAACTTTTGAAGTGCAAAACTGTTGAAAAATCTAGTCGTGGTAATAGTCCGTCCAAAAATCCATCGGAATCAAGTTCGTCCAAAGCCAAAGCAACTGCCAAACCAACCACTAAGAAAACTAAAAAAGTTGTAGTACCTAAGGGAAAATAGTTGAACAAGACCCTATATTGATGCCAAGATCTTACTATCAAGGGTATGAACTCTCAGGAATTGTTTATAGGCTTTTCAGCGCCTGTAGTTTGAGTAATAACATAACAAGTAGTTAGATTACCCCTGATAGATCAAATGGTGGAAACGGCTAGTAGAAAAACCTTGCTGATTGGTACATGGGTCTATATATTCAATCAATATAGGCCTATATATTCAATCAAATTAGGCCTATACATGTATATTCAATCAAACTAAACATACCTGTAGGTGTAGTCATCCATGATCATAGAATCTGACATGTGCAAATTCTCTTGCTAAACTAAACAACTGAAATCCATGAAGATTCTTGCAAAATATTTTCATGTTTTCACACATATACATGCAACAAAATTTATGGAGAACTCAAGTTGTTGCAGATTTTTAACATTTTATTCATTGTCTAATCTTACTGGTAATACAACCGGTTATGAGGGGAACAGTTTGGGTACTCTATCAACTTGTTGAACTGGCAATAATACAGGTCTGTGTATCCCAAAACTCTGGTAGATTTTTTCCTTTGGTCAATTAATGAAGAGGTAACTTTATTAAATTACCCAGTAACATCCATATCCGTCCTGCATTATGTGATCTATTGAATTACTAGAAAATGTCTAGCAACCAAATTTTTGTCTCTTGAACAAATTATCTTGTTTATAAAGTAGGTCTATGGTTTTGTACAAAATAAGTTCTATCCTTTTAGTGATAAAAATGTCAGTTCATTAAAAGAAAAACTTAATACCTCATTGTGGTTTAAAATCTTTCTGTCAGTGTTAATGAGCGAAACTGCTTGATTTGTGTATGGAATTATTGTTGTTCACCAAATCAAATTAAATTTGGTTGTAATGGATTGTCATATCTACCTGTAAATATCTTTCTGTCAATGTTAATGCTTGAAACTACTTGATTCTGAGGAATTATTGTTAATCACCAAATTAATTTAAATTAAATTTGGCTTTAATGGATTGTCATATTTTTAATACTTTTATACAATGATGAGATATTTTGTTGGATATATCATACCATAGGCCTACAGCTAAATCTAAAGTGGATTACTATTTGATACAAAATGTATTTTAGCATTCTAGAAGAAGTCATTCAAAATCAAAATTTAAAATTTATTTCATTAAAATTGTATGTGAGATACTTACAGTATCAAGCCATAATTCACAAATACAGGTAGTTTGGAATCTCCAAACAATCATCCAGAAATTTCGTGGAAATTTTTCAAAATATCTAATCTTTGTTGCATTATTTGATCAAATTATCTAATCTAGTCATATGATCTAATCTAGTCAAATTATCTAATGTAGTCATATTATCCTGCCAAGTCATTTGTGACCAGCTCTGGCTAAATGAGACATGAGTCAAACACTCAAAAGTCCCTTAAATTGATATGGGACATATGCATTTGACCCAGATATTTAACATTGAATTTGGTCTATGCCTTAATATTCTTATTCGGGAAAAAGTGATTGAAAATTACTGAGACAAAGCAGATCCTCCAAGACAGCAAAATCCAGCAAATTTTTTGCGTTTTTGCCAGAAATGTTGGGAAAATTAAAATAAAGCCCTGTATGAAGACAAATAAGCTGGAAACTCAAAATTGTTAAAACATATTGCAGTTTGTGCTGGATCTAAAATAAGGAACCTGCAACATGGATATCATTTAGCCAAGCCAGGTCATATATTGTCTAATCTAGTTGTTTTATTAAGTCTGATGTTTAATCAGAATTTTTTTGTTTTATTATATCTAATGTTTATATCAGAAACTTTATTTTATTAAGTCTAATGTTTACATCAGAAACTTTGTTTTATTAAGTCTAGTGTTTACATCAGAAATTTTGTTTTATTAAGTCTAATGTTTATATAAGAAACTTTGTTTTATTAAGTCTAATGTTTATATCAGAAACTTTGTTTTATTGAGTCTAATGTTTATATAAGAAACTTTGTATTATTGAGTCTAATGTTTATATCAGAAACTTTGTTTTATTTAGACACTGAAATAGAAAGTTACATGATAATTCTTGGTTATTATATAAGATTGGTTCTTCATGAAAACATTTAAAATATGAAACCGAATAGAAACACAACTGGTTGGGTTCCATCCAATCCTGTGATCAAGCAACCAATCCAAACCTGGTACCAAGTCAATCTGTGTCACATGATAGCAGCATATTTACATGTAGACTTCAAACAGACAAGAAACAGTGTCTAGTCGTTCGGATGTGTACAAATTGGCATGCACGTTAAAGCACCGTGACAGTCAGAATTCGAAATAAGAATAGGGCATAGTGCCGGTGCCTGGTGAAGATTTCCCCTCATCGCCAACTGCATGACGCATGTCCGTCTTCATTAGCATGGATGGAGCAGACAAGTAAGACGTTTAACTTCATTTCATTTATCATAACATTCATTTGACCGGACAAACATCGGGAGAATCCAGGTTGGGTAAGTGACGAGGAGTACAGGGTCGTCTGCATAAATGCGTTTTCAATACATTCTTTGATTTCGCAGATATGCATATATTAGGCCCGAAATGACATTGCATTTAGTGGAACCTGAGATCCTCTCTTTCTGAATCTATACAGAAGACAGGTGTATTGAGTTAGAATTTACATGTATATATATTAGATCATTGGCGCTATTTAACCTAGGGGGAGTCGGTGTTTTTCCTGTTCAATCGACTTTAGTTCTTCTAACACACAACTCGAACCAATCCCTCACTTAGTCAGCCGAATAGGAATGTTTCTATAACTCTCACCAGATAAAGATTATCGTCTGTCTCACACCATGGAGATCAGCTACTTTATGTATAATATACTTATTATCAGGAGATTACAATAGGATTTATAATATCCACAATAGACGGCGACTAATAGATTTATATACATACAACACTGTCCATACACGCATGGTCTATTATTACAGCTATTCATATTTTTGTAACCCTAAAGACCAGTGTAGCTGCAATTGGACACATTTTTAAGTTAACAAAATGCCTGTTACTAGACCAAAAGGAAAATCCGGGTAAGTCAATCAATGTGTTTTAAAGACGCACTGCGATAAACAAAGAGGGAAAAATTGTCTTTAGATGACAGTTAAGGTCAGATACCTTCTTGGCTTCGATGTTCATTATAGAAATGGACTATTGTTAACACTTCGACAGACGAATACACAAAATTAAAGATGGCGGCATTAAAACAATATAACTTTAGATGGGCCCCGACTTTTTCTTTGGTGGATGAATATATATATTTTTTTGACAACATAGGCTTATTATTAAGAATACTTGTTCTTGTGCATTTGGGGGGTTGGATGGCTGAATGGTTAGCACGTGCACGCTGTACCATGAGTCAACTGGCGTAGTTTCGATTCCCCGGTTGTACGTGACAAGGAGTAGGGTCGCCTGTCCAACCTCGAGGGTTTTCTCCGGGTCCTCCGGTTTCCTCCCACGGCTAAAGACCCCTACGCGCAAGCGAATTATTGAAATAAAATTAAACCATATGTTAGTCCCGAAATGACCTAAGTTTGTGTCGAGTGGACGTTAAACCCCCACCTCTCTCTCTCTCTCTCTCTCTCTCTCTCTCTCTTGTGCATTGTATAGCCTTCAAGTATATATTTGGACCTTTAAAAATGATTTATTATGTCACTTCTCGAATTATCAAAGAGGCGATATGGTGTGATTAGAAGATAACCGCCATATAAATGCAATATGTAATTATATAACAATATAGACAGGTTCATATAATATACACAATTATATAAGAACATAACATGAATATGTTGACCTCAACTTTATTATAAATTCGTTGTTTTTTCCTACAAAGAGAGGACAAAAATAGTGTTTAACTTCTGCTTTGTACACTTTGAGACGGTTAATTGAAGGTCATACGTGCAATGCTATGGGGAAGACTTTTGCCCAGTTAGTGGTGCTTTAGTCCCCTCTTCGTCGAATTCCATCTGTCAAGGGTGTAGGCCCTCATTTTTTCGTCCTATCCGAAAGACTGGGTCACACTTTCCTCGCCCTCCCCTCAGACAGCAAGTACCCAAACAGGTGAAAGTCTGGCTTCAAAATCGCAAAAGTAATCCCGTCTGGGGTTCAAACCCGAGAAATTCTATTCAAGAACCCAGGTCTTCTAAGGTATTATTTAAAAAGTGGAAACGATTGTTTATATCGATAGTAAAAACAATAGATTGTAAAAACTATGTACCCATTCTTTTTTAAACTCTAGAAATATAGATGAAAACCTAACCAAAAACAATCACAGTAAACTGTAAAGACATTAGAGTGTCCTAAATGTTATTACAAGACACAAGAAAACCGACTGTCGGGCGATTGAATGTTGGCTACACTTTGGGGATAACTTCGTTGCCTTTCAACCGATTTTAATGCGAAAGATGTTTTTGTAATATTTAAGGGGGGGGGGGGAGCAAACAATTTGTTTTACACGTACTTATACATGGTTACGGGATGCTAGAAATTTGTCAGTGCAGTGCCGAATTACAACCTTGCTTTCCGTACCAACCGAGTTATTTGAAACTACTTTAGACAGAGTATTATTTTGAAATAAATGTACACGTGTATAATGTGTGTTACAGCAAGAAGGAGCAAAATGAAGTCAGGGGTATTCTCTCTGGGAAGAACGAAACACAGAAAATACAAATTGCCGAAAAGAATAGAAGAAAGGACTTTCACAGAAAACAAAATGCTGCCAGTATAATACAGAGAAGTTGGCGAAGGTATAGGCAAATTAAAGGGGAAATCCTAGAAATAATAGTCCGTGTGAACTTATGAAATTTAAGCGCTTTAATATAGAGGAATGGTGTATTGTCTCAAAGTTTCAGCTCAATTTTTTCGTTTGGTACTGATCTTTACTAAATAATCTCAGTCAGTTTTTTTCTGAACACTGAATTAAAAGAAAATATAAAAGATGTCAATATGGCGTATGCACGTCGAAACGTAATACACAGGCGGGGGGGGGGGGGCGCTGTGGAGTAAAAATGTGGTTCTAGGGGCTCGGCACTGTTGTACACATGTTTGACGATTATTGATCGGGAGGGAAGGGGGGATATGTATGAGGGTAAAGGTTTTCCGTTGTCGCAGTCAACGGCTTTATGACATGTCCTTCTAGTCGGAATGGAATGGAATGGAACGACATGTAAATTTGTGCCTGAATACTGGGTTTTCTTTCCATCCACTTTTGGATTCCAGTTGTATCAACTGATGTTTTCGTGGTGCAAGGTAATGGGACAAGGTTTTTAAGGACTTCATGATGACCCCACAAAAGAAGTATCTGTTTTATCAAATTCTATCTATTGATGTTTAGGTATAAAAGACATAAGTTTGAAATGTTAAGTGCTGTTAAAAAATCGGTTATGTTAAAACGTTCACAAAATACAGAAGAAGAATGGGAGGAACAAATAGCTGCTCTTACAATACAGTTAGCATGGAGAAAATATTACAGGTAAGTTAAATACGTGACAATTAAATTAATGAAGTGGGGCATAACGTCCTACTTGTTTGCACAAACGGGATAATGAAGGCGAAACACGTCAAGCAGTCGGCTATGGAGAACTTTTGCAAGGACAGTGGCGGCCTATTAAAATTTCCCATTCTAACTGTCAAGATGATACCACGCCATAAAATCCCAGGTGCACAGCTTTCTCTCCCATCACCGGGGCCGACATTTCCAAAGTCAAATAGTGCAATAGTGCATCTCCTACTCGAACTTTCACATGACCTTCTCCTGAAGGCAACCCAATTTGGGTATATTGCGAAAGTTTCAGCGACCGACCAAACCTATATTCGAATCAAACATTACAAGAGTATATTAGACGATGAGTTGTGCAACTTTTGTCCAAAGAAATTTGCAAGGGTTAATATCTAATTACGTATTATGTTTTTCGTGAAAAATCCGAAAATCTCTTTTACTAGGGTTTTGCGACGGGCGATCCAAGCTGTAGCCGTTCAACCGCTGCAGCCCATTGGTCTGTTATTGGATTGCTTTTACGATTTGTTTTACAGACGCAAGCTTCTCAAGGCACTAAAACCCAACAGGAAGTTATTACGTTCCTGGGATCCTGATGTTATTGCTGCAAAACAACAAGCATTAGTTCATGAGATATATTGTAAGTACGCCAAACGTCTCAGGCGACCACACACGTTTCAATTGACTTGGTGGCCTTTATACAGAATGAAAATTAAAGCAGAAATGTAATACATTTACAAGAATTAATCTGAATAGATTTATACAATTTAAACGGGTTTCGATCTAATTAAAAGTAGGCGCTATTTTTGTTCCGTTTACTCGGCATGAAGAATATTTAACAAAACGAAATATTGGTATACGCATCTAATGTTAATAAGGGCAAGCGAATGGTTATTGATACCATATATTTTTAAAATAATGCGTTTGAAAATTATTTTTGTTTACAGATAGACAATACGAGGCTCCATTTTGGCATCCTATACCCAAGAAAGCCATAAGACCATTATGGTCTTCGTGTATCCCATCACCCGCTGGTAAGTGTTGTTATGTTATTAAGCTACTACTTTGGTCAAAAAGACGTCTTTTATCTCAACCTGATGATTTGCTCGTTCATTCACTTGCTTTTGAAAACTTAAATGAAATGAAATGGTGTTTAACGTCTTACTTTTCAGCACCAACCAGACAGGGCTTTAACGCGCTGCCAATGGTAGGCCTATTCACGGGACCTCGGGTTTTCGTGCACCCGAATGACTAAAGGTTTTTTTCTTGCCAGGCTTATCAAGAACAGACCTTGCTGGAGAATTCGTTCGGTGAATTTTATCGAATAGAAACTATGACTTCGGCATGTGTGAGACATGAGATTCAGAGCTCTCCGGTTATACGAGTGTGACGCCCTCAACAACTACCGTGCCCGGGCCTTCGTCAAGATAACAACATCCCTGACTACTATATCCTTTTAAAACTTAAATTCCATTAGGATAATATACATATTCTTCATTGATTCATTCATTAATTTCAGCTGTATCGTATAATTTTGCCGTAGATCAGTATCATCCTTTAGCTCAAGTAACTTATACTACATCAATAGCTGGTAGTGGTAAGTATAGTTTTAGAGAATCTGTAGAGATATATCAAACATAAGATCCACGGACAGTTCCCCTGGTATTAAGAGAGAAAAAAGTAATGAGGACGATGATCTGAAATAGCCATAACACAGTGCTTCATAATGTATTTTACGTGTAGTGTGCAGTTCGAGAGAGAGGTTTTAGCCAAGACAGTCATGCGATTCTTAACGTGAGATATCAGTTTCTAAATGGTACATCATTTTTTGTCCCATCCTAACGAAAGAGACCAAGCTGTTTTCCTCGCCGTCGTGCGTTCGCTGTCCAAACTGCAAGGCTATACATGTTTCCAATGAGAAATTACCTCACCGACTAGCTTTACAATCTCACCGAAAACGAACTCTGGTATGCGCTCACATTTATTGCAAGAAGTGTAAACAAGTTGATATGTAAGCAATACCCTATGGGTTGTTATTTATTACATTTGTGTAGCATATATCGTTAGTCCACTGCGCAATCTTCTGAATTCTTATAATTTATTTCATGTGTTACACTATTTCAGGAAGTATTGAATATGTAGAGTAACGTCACCAAGATCTGCAAGACTAACGATGTACTGGTGCCGAAAAACACACAACCAAACCATAAAATAACATGCGCGATTGGATTCAAATTTCGACAAAAGCTTCCGTGACATGCAAGATCGCCTATTCAGATTATAAATGTGAATGTATAATTTATATTGTGTATCATCTGGCATAACCATGCGCCGTAACATTTCATTATGTTTACTAGTGCATTTACAACACTTCACCAGATGTATGAATTATGTATATTTGTGAAAGCCATTGGAATATAATAAAGTACTGTACAAAAACAAATTTGTTAGCTATTTACTAAAGAAGATGTCCCCATACCCCTCATTGTCATTGGTACGTATAGTGGGGTAAGGCGGAATTTGGGGACTGGGGGAGATATAAAACTGAAACAGAAATGAAATAAAATGGGGTTAAATATCCTACTTTTCTACACCGACTGGACTAATGAAGACGGGTATACACCATACAGTGTGGTATGGAGGGAAATATTTAGTAATTGTACCGACTAAAAACAAGTCTAATTGAATTTTGTTATTATTAAAAGTGTTTAGTGTTTTGTATCGTCCCCATTACCTACAAAAGAATAAAAATGTGACATCTTTAATGGACGACTGACTCCCCGCCCTTTTCCTTGTCTTGACATGGATTCGTAAATATGAGTAATTTACTCACTGATTTTATTTTTGGCAATAATAAAGTTACATCTTCATTTGGCTTAACCGTCAAAACACTTTTAAAAAAAAAAGAAACCAAAATACCGGCAGTAGATTATGTGGATAATCTCCCGACTTAGATTTAACCAGATTATAGGTAGCTTATGAAATGTTCAAGTCATCATTATCTTTGACTTTCTTTATACTGAACGGAATTGAACGTCCCACTGTTCTGCGCCAACCCGGCTATAAAGACATACATAAGCCATTGGCTACAGTGTTCTATAAGGGATATTCTGCCCTGGACCTCGGCTCCATATAATGATCGGTGTTATTCTTAGAATAACCTAGATGTAAGAGTACACCCCATTCTGTTTCATGAATCTTGTGTGTTTTTCATTGAAGACATACAAAACATTATTTTTAGTTTTATTTTGATTTCATCTGGGAAGCAGGTAGTGGCGTGACATCCATTTCAGATGCGCGTGTGTCTGTGTGTGTGTGTAGTAGTAGTAGTTCAAATGTTTTCTTCTAGGATATCTCATTTGTGGCTCGGACGTGAATTAACGTGGCTGTTTTATAATTAATTTGAACAAATAGTTTATTTCAACTGGTTTTACAAATAAATTGCCCTTCTTTCTGACATTTCTCAGTAGGCCTACTGGGTCCTATGCTTGAGTCTTGGGGCATATGGTCGAAGAATTGGATCCGGTTATCACCAAGCCTCTGCAGGCCACTGGTACCGGACACAATAGCAGTCATTAGCAAGTCCCCGCGCTAGCAAAACGATCAAACATTATGACCCAAATGGTGTTCCATAATTACATGCAGGTTACGACGACGACACGATATGTCTGGATATTCAAGACTACGGGATGACAGGTGCCCAACATTACCTCTCGTCCAATAAACCGTAATAGTAATATTAATAGCAAGAAGGTACGGTATATACATGTCGAAATGTCCTCATGCACAACGGGTCTGTTGTGGCTAGCAGTGCTATTTGTTTATTATGGAGCAACACATGGGTCGGATAAGTTTCTACTAAACGAGAGACTGACTTCAAGTTCAAGCCACAAACTAGGTAAGTAATTTGTTCCCGAATTCAGTTACAAATTGTTAAAAATATACGCACGTGACACTGAGTCAGAGACGACATTTCATAAAAAGCCTATGCATTTTTTTTTTCTAACACTATTTATTCGATAAATACATAGGCTACATTATAGGCCTATAAAGATACTATTATAATTTATATAATTATGGTGCAGAAGAGTAGGACGTTAAACCCCATTTCATTTCATTTATATAATTATGGGATCTAATATAATTATGGGAGCGTATATAATTTTAGTTTCTTTAGGAAGTTTCTAAAGTTAACTAATAATTATAAATTCAGGTCCGTATATGATTGGGCCTGGGGGGTTGGATGGCCGAATGGTTAGCACGCGCGCGCTATATCATACGGTCTGTCATTATTGAGTCAACTGGTGAGTTTTCGATTCCCCGGTTGTAAGTGGCAAGGACTCGAAGGAGTAGGGTCGCCTGTCCAACCTCATGGGTTTTCTCCGGGTCCTCCTGTTTCCTCCCACTGCTAAAGACCCTTACGCGCAAGCGAATTATTGAAATAAAATTGAACCATGTGTTAGTCCCAAAATGACCTAGTCCAACCCCATTGGACGTTTAACCCCATTTCTCTCTCTTTCTCTCTCCCCCTTCCCCCCCTTATATGATTATATTGTTTGAAAATTATAATCATAAATTTAGGGCAATACTAAACAAAACACCGAAATATTCCACAGTGGTCACAGTCGCAAATTTATATAGGTAAGAAAGAAAAAAGAGATGTTTACTCTCAATAATTAATTAATCAGAAGGTTATATTGGATATACATATATGGCAAATGAGTTATACAGAGGGTATATGAACAAAACATGTGAATCCTGATGTCTTTTTGTTCAGGAAACTGTCACTCTTTTTGGAACACTGCTTCTAATCAAGATATAATGTTCAATGATTTCCTTCAAAATACTCAAATAAAAATAAATGATTCAAATCGTCTGAAATTAAACTAGATGAATTATATACAGGTAAGCTTAAATTAGTTACAGCTAAAAGATTAGGGGAAGTATTCTGATAGTCAATTAGTTCAACATTTGATGTCACTATGAGATTTGTATTATTCTATATAATATTGGCCGGCTCCTGATTCTAGTTAATTGAGTAATGGATTAGGCCTACCTATATATTACATGGTAAGATGCTGGCTCGCTAGCCTGGAGGTCGGTTGTTCGATTCCGACGTGATTCCCTCTCGTCAGTGATGCAGAACGGAGGCCCTGACAAGGACAGCTGTCTAGTCCTTCGGATGATATGAAAAAACGAGGTCCCGTGTATGTATTGGAATGCACGTAAAAGATCCCCTGGCAGTTGGAATTCGATATAAGAGTAGGCGATAGAGCCGCTGCCAGGGCAAAATTTCCCTCATAGCACACTGTATGGCGTATGCCCGTCTTCATTAGCCCAGTATAGGAGCAGAACAGTAGGACATTAAACCCCATTTCATTTCATTTATATATTTCATAAATTTCGTTTAGGTAAATTATGAGCCGAGACTTCATCGAGATTAAGAGATGTGTTACTAAACCATGAGATGCCTAGAATCCAGCAAATTTTGGGACCAGGAACTGGTCCATAACCGCTACGCATCTTGCTCTTGTTCTTGGGGTCATTTTTTTTTTTAAAAAGCCCAAGGCTCTGTCAATTTAAGTTCTTGGTCCATGGTATGATCATACTTGTATCATCGGACAAGCTTTCCGCCCCCCACACTACCAGGTACATATACTTGGATGCTGGTCTCAAATTGTGAATACAATCTGATATTGATATTCCCAGTCATATCAAATTGAAAATTATTTATTTACCTCCAAAGCATAAATGCCTCTTTAATGAACTTTTTTCTATTATTTAGATACTGGAAAGATAGGACTATATAAAGAAAACATTCCATTGGATAAAAAGATAGAGTTACATAGAGAAAACATTCCACTGGATAAAATCGGTGAATCTGAAGGCAGTTTTCCTGTTGTCTGCTATCTCTCTATGGGAAATGAATTCCCAGGACCCTTTCCACCAGAAGCTAATGTTACTTTATGCTCACATATTATCCTTCTGGGTACAGGAATTCAAAATGCAGAAGTCGCACCAAGTCAACATTCACAGATATATTGCAAATCAGTTGCGGCCATGAAAAAACTGAATCCTAATCTGAAAGTATTACTCTCTAATGGGGGAGATTTTGGGTCTGTTCTGATTTCAGCAGAAAACAGGACAAGGTATGTATAAAACAACAGAATGGAGGGAGATTTTAATTGTTGTCAAAAAATATACTAAAATTGTTTTTTAAAATGTGTACAATTAATTTAGACTCCTTTTCTATAAGCTAGGACTTGTCACCAGGGAAACAGACAGAAGACGGACTTAATTACTAAATTAAAATACAGCCTAAAATTAATCCCATATAAAAATATATTTGCACAAAAAATTTAATTAGCTTAAAGTTCTGATGTGCCGTACTGGAAAATCCTGTACATGCCACTACTTAGTTACACAATAACAGGAGGGCTTGGATTAAAAGCGTACATACTTTTGATTTTTTAAATATGTGAACCATCCGTCTTGTTGTGCCTTTAAATTATATTCTTGAAGAATTTATATTATTTCTTTTAATTTTGTTAGATTTGCAAACAGTATGATTCCATATTTGACCAATTACCCATTGGATGGTTTTGATCTAGATTGGGAATTCCCGGCATGGCCTATTGGAAAAGAACACCCGGCACAACAACAGCATAATTACAGTCTTTTACTACAAGTAAGAACATTCTGATCAGTATTTTGTGATACATAACTCAGTTTACATACCTGGACCTGGCAAGGAACAGCTCTAGTCATTCGGATGGGATGAAAAACTGAGGTTTGTGCAAATTTTCCTTGCATGCTGTTTGCCGTCTTCATTAGCTCAGTCGGTACAGAGCAGTAGGATGTTAAACCTCATTTCATTTTATTTACGTTGTCTTATGAAATCATTAAAATCTATTACCCAAGTTTGAAATTGTTCTTTTTATCTATTTTGCAGACTGTGAGAGAAACACTTGATAATTATTCAGCAAAAATGAATAGATCTAAATTTTTATTAACAGCAGCAGTAGCATCAACTACTCCACTTATAAACAATTGTTATGAAATACCAGAATTAGCAAAGTGAGTGCCAACTTTTAAGCCCATTAGCAGTTATCTGAAAATGATAGAGGATGGAAGAACTGACAAGGACAGTGCCAAGTCATTTGGATAAGACGAAAGGTCCTGTGTACACATTGGCATGCACTAGAAGAACCCATGACAGTTGGAATTCAAAATAAGTGTATAGTCCGTAGCGCTGCTGTTGAGACAAAATATCCCTTATAGCACATTGTAGGGCTTAGGCCGGTCTTCGTTAGCCCAGTCCATGCAGAAAAGTAGGACGTTAAACGTCATTTCATTTCATTCACAAACGGCTTAATAAACTGGCTAAGCCGGCTATTTCTTCACAATTGGCATTTGATTTGTGTAGCTAGACACAATTTTTGTCAGGAACTCAGTGGGTCTTTCCCTTTATAGTCCATTTTGAAAATAAATGATAACGGACAACAATTATTTTCATGTTTCAGATATTTGGATTTCATCAATTTGATGACGTATGATATTCATGGTTTCGGTCTAACAACACCGTTTACAGGATTTAACAGTCCAATGCACTCAGGAAAAAGTTTTCTAGACAGGACCATATTCTTAAATTATAATTTGGTAATATTTTTATACAACCACATATTCTATTATAATATGGTAATTTTTAAACATCCACTTAGGTCGGATTAAGCTTGGATCCTGGCTGAAAATGTCACTGGAGCAGGGGTTGGGGGGGTGCGGGGAGCAGTGTGAAAGTAGGGCATATTCTAATCATTGTTATTGTCTGTCACACTTTATACAAATGTCAGTATGGTAGATAGATATATTTGGCACAAACACTTACAACATATGGTATGAACTTATTTTTAGAAGTAATTTGGGACCCCTGGCTGCATCCCAGTCAAGCCCCACCCTTAAATCTGCCCTGACATCAACTACTTATTAATGTAGTGTAGTTTTATATTGTGATCACCCGTATCTGCTGGTCCATTCACACTTTCTTGTACACAATATTCAGATTTTCATATAATTTTTTATATGGCCACATATTAAAGTAATTAAACAGTATTCCTTTGTATTGCTTCAGTATAATTTATATCGGTATTGTTTTAGGTTTCGGCAGCAGAAGAATGGGTTAAAAGAGGAATGTCTAAAAAACAGGTTGTAGTTGGAATTCCTGCATATGGCCATACTTTTGAACTGCTTGATAAAAACCTCCATGGTGTATACAGTCTAGCAGTCGGCATTAATAAAACGTTAGGCGATGAAATTAGTTACGATATTGTAAGTATAAAAACAGGTTTATCTGTCAAATTGACCAATAAAATAAAAAAATAGGATTCATTTAACCAGCTATGTATCAACTTTTGCATGTATCCTCCAAAACTATGACAAAAATATCTTTACTTATTTAACTTATTTACTTCTCTCTCTCTAAACATCTGTTGATATCCTGACGTCCAATTTCATGACTACAAAAGACACAGAATGATGGAAATAAAATTATTGCTACGCAACAGGAACTATTATTGGGAGACAGAGAGAGAAATGGGGTTTCATGTCCACTCAACACAAACTATGTTATTTTGGGACTAACATATGGTACAATTTTATTTCAATAATTCACGAGGTTAGGCAGGCGACCAGACCCTACTCAAGGTCAGGAACAAGTCTGGGATCTAAACCATGCCAATCTCAGACCTTATAATCTAAAGTACATGCGTTAGACCATTTGCCACGCCCACCATCCCCTTCCCCTCGTCTACAGTTGAAACATGTACAATTAATGTTCTCATCAATATGGCCTGCTACAAATTCTTAGTGGTCCACTGTGGACAAAATGTATGTTGGAAATTGTTACAAGCAAAATTCTTCTCATTACAAATGGTCTTCTACCAACAATTGACACCCGATTAGATTTTATTACATACTTCGAGAAGGTATTTGTTGAGTAATAAAACCTTCTAGTAGTTTATCGAGGGCTGGCCGTCCTTACCGCACGGTACAAATATTATCACCACTAGAAGCAACAAATTCCAGAACAAGCCAGAACTCATACCAAAATGGCCGCTTTATACAAACGAGTATTTAGGGGAATACTAACCCGAACCCTAACCCTTTTAAGAGAAATAAAAACTAAATTAGACCCAAGTTCAGTCTTTTAAAAAGGGTTAGGGTTAGGGTTCGGGTTAGTTATCCCCAAAATTCTCATTTATATAAAGCGGCCATTTTGGACTCGGGAAGCACCCGAACAGTAGCGGATTATCAGTGAGGTTGATGAGGCTGCAGCCTCAGGCCCAAAGATTTTGTAAAAAAAATTTTTTTAGGCTTTTCTGATACGATTAAAAACACATAGACAATGAATGTTAGGGGGTGGGGTTTAGGCCCAACGGGAATCAACATAGGCCCTCACCCGAAATTAATTAGGCCCACGCCATTTTAAATGGGCCCTATTTTTTGAAGATCTGATCTTATTTTTTAAACGTAGGCCTACAATGTACGTTAAATCCTTGTAAGTTTTCGGTTATGTCTTGCTTAATATATTGTATCCACGTGACGTCATTTATGGGCATATAAAGTTACATTACCAATATCAAACGATTTTGGCTTAAGAAAAAATATCTAGCAAAAGATCTTGAGCTAGTTTCGATGTAAACACCCCATCATGAGGAAATATTATCCTTGAAAATAGGTGTATGTACAGTTGGTTTCCGGTGACGTTTCTGCTGTCAAAGCATTTTGTACTACAAATTTCAATAGTTATAACTAATATTTTAATAATATTATAACCTCAGTAACGAATCCCGTTTTTAATGTTAGCAACTACCTTGGCTCTAACTTTAAAAACTAAATAGGCCCTCCAGCAACTGCCGCCTCAGGCCTTGGTGGAGCTTAATCCGCCACTGCACCCGAACCTCGATAAACTACTAGAAGGTTTTATTTGTACCGTGCGGTAAGGACGGCCAGCCCTCGATAAACTACTAGAAGGTTTTATTACTCAACAAATACCTTCTTGAAGTATGTAATAAAAATTAATCGGGTGCAATTGATTAGGGAATATACATATCTTGTGTTATTTACAGATTTGTGGTCTGTTAAAAAATGGTTACACCGAAGTTTGGGACGAGGATGGTGAAGTACCATACGCTTATGCTGATAAATCATGGATTTCTTATGACAATGAAAAAAGTGTAGCAATAAAGGTAGGCCTAATCAAAGAGTGTGTGACAGAGATGGATGGGGTGTGAATGAATGAGTACTCAACTCAAATGAGGTAATTTCGACTCTTAAATGTTATATCTGTGCATAGAGGGGTTTGAGCAGTGGGTGGAAGCCAGAGAGCCTGAAGCAAACCCACAATAACAGATCACCCACATACCTCTTGATCTGTCAAGCATGTCCAATAAATACTTACACTCCAGTATTTTGCAAGGATAGATCCAAGGAGAGCACCTAGGCAACCTATCTCCCCCCTAAAAAGAAATCAAGTGTCCTTTTTTGTCCACCAGTGGTAGAATTATCTTGAACAAGAAAATGACAAAATTATTACTAAACTCTATCAGTTGAGAATGGCAAGTGGCCCACTTCCTGTGAGTTTTTGATGGTCTAACAATTTTTTCTGTGTATTTTATTCACTTTTAATATTATTAAGAGACAAATTGTTCATTCGTTAAGTCTGTTTTTCAATCCGCTTCACATATCTTGGATTAGATATTGTTAATAAAGAAAAAATTCCCTTTCTAATCTGTGACCAAATGGCAAACTTATGCAGTGTTCATCCAAGCATCCCCCAACCCCCATCCTTATGAATCTGTCAATGGCATTTAATCGATTTTTCAAATTACTAGCAACTTTCCTTTTTTCAGGCAAAATGGATAAAAAGTAATGGTTATGGAGGGGTGATGACCTATTCTTTGAGTGTTGATGATTTTATGGGAAATTGTAATGGAATCAAATGGCCGATTCATTTGGCCATACATAATGCTCTAAAAGAGACCTAGTTTTTGCCTTATTGATTTGAAGAAAAAAAAGCTCAAAAGCTATTATTTTGTATGCAGTTTTAACCTCTACACATTCCAAGAGCACATTCAGTCGGTAAAAATAATATGTCGACCATGTTTATTTTTTTATATATTTTAAATAATTTTGTTTGCATGCAACATAACTCAGGATGCTGTCTTTTGCTCTTTATAATGTTGTCACCTTGTATGACATCAATTTGTCTGTTGTAAACAATTGTTCATATGTACCCAGGGACAAATATCAAGGGCAGCACAAGTTTTACAAATCTTCAACTAATCATAAATCACTAAATGAAATTTTGTTTTGGCTATTCATAAACACCCATCACATTATGGTAAATCAAGAGCTGTATAGTGCTAATGACCAAGCACTACTAGGTGCTGTTACAGACACTTCTGTCTCCTATATCACCCTGGGTGAAATGATTAGTACGTGTATATTGATAGCTTAACCCAACCCACTGAAGGTTGATGAAGCCCACTTGGGCTTTTGAAAATTATTTCATTCCAAAAATAGGGCACTAAATGATTGTAATATATTATATAATAATGGGTAAATGTGGATTTTTAAAGTGTTATATGCAAATCAAACGCCATAATGTCAAGAAACAGCCTAATAAGCTTAAAGTTTCAAATCAAAATATCATTCATGAAAAGTTTTTTTGCCAAGGGGTTACGTACTGGTAACTCATTTTAAGAATTTTAATGACTACTTATTACTTTAACTTTGGTAAGTACTGTATGTATATACAGGCATAGTTATCTTATGGTTAATGTTTGAAAAATGTTAAAGGACAATATTGGTGCCAGTCATTATCACAGCATAGACAATGAATGTTAGGGGGTGGGGTTTAGGCCCAACGGGAATCAACATAGGCCCTCACCCGAAATTAATTAGGCCCACGCCATTTTAAATAGGCCCTATTTTTTGAAGATCTGATCTTATTTTTTAAACGTAGGCCTACAATGTACGTTAAATCCTTGTAAGTTTTCGGTTATGTCTTGCTTAATATATTGTATCCACGTGACGTCACACAACAACTTTTGGTCTTCGAAGGAATTTTTAGTGAGCAGAAATTCAGCCGTGTATCTGTTATCACTCGTCACATCAGTCAGTTATATAGAGAGATGACTCATGTTTTCCTTTGGGGTTCGTCACTTCCGATTCAGGAAACCTGTATTACTCAGCTATCATAGCAATGATCTCTGTGTTAATATTATATTTGGAATATGTTTAACCAGCTCTATCACCTATGGGATAATGACTGGCACCAATATTGTCCTTTAAGAAAATGGTATATATAGAACATATGATTATATTCTAATAAATGATTGTTGTGTTTTAATGTGCATTAATCACTACTTAGAACAATATTATTGGGAACAATGTTTGTAATGCATAAATTATTTTGTTGTGTTTTATTATTGACTTACAGATGTATAAGTTAAGTTTGATATATAGGACTGACAAGGTTGTGTGTAGATACAATATGTGGCATTGCAGGGATGATCCAAGGGCAATAATCAGTTCAGGAACAATCTTATGCTACCTCTTCCTCCAACATAAAACTCACTAAAGCATTCATCAAACTTCTACTATATATTTCTCTATTGTAAATCTATGTGCAAGTCTAAAGATGATAAACAAATTCATATACATGTAGTTGAGTATAAATTATGGGATTGATTGTATATCAACCTCTCACTAACTACAATGTTGGACTAATCAATGGAAGATGTGATTGCTGACAGTCTTGCTCAATTAGTATGATTTCAAATTTAATTGGTTGTTCCAGACCCTGTCTGGCAGATTGAGACCTTGCCTCCTTTCTTAACCTCAATGGCTTGGCAGATGATAACATACATCCCACTCAGGCCGGCACAATATGCACAAAATAATATACAAGATTGAATTGCAAATAAATTGATTTAATATAATATCTATTTTTAATTTTAGACAAAATCATATTGTATATATTTAGTTGATTATTATACATATAGGTTCCTATTGACCATTTGTAGAAGGTTTATTGTAAAGTTTGCTAATAATAAATATTTTTTTAACATAAATAATTTGTGTTTATTTGAGATCCATGTAGACCTATAAACAAAATAACATTTATGAGAGTCATGGGAGTCTTTTGGTGTGTTTATAATTATAATTCAAGTGTTTGATTTGGGAAAAAATACAGTCTTTCAAGGAGAAGTGTAAAAAATAAATGTTTTTTTCACATTTATAACACTGAAAAAAGATCCCACCTTTTTCATATGGAGGGAAATCGGGTTTAATGTTAGTTTGGAACTAAGATGTGACACTGATGTATCATTTTGATTATTCTGGTACCTTGCAAGTGTAATCATCAATAAAAATGTTCTGGTACCTTCCAAGTGTAATCAATAAAATTGTTCTGATCAGATAAATGATGAGCTCCAACAAAGTTTCATTTTGTGACAGAATGGAGAAGTAAATAGTTATTGTCCACCACATCAATTATACTGCATGTACAGATTCTGTAATCCTTTCCTAAAGTACGACCTTCATTAGTCCCTCCATGATTATCATTTATCAAGCCCTATTTGACTCAAGAGGACAAGCGGCATGATTGTATTCCATGTGATCCCTAAGCAAGTCATCCTTTGAAATTGAGGCTTTAGTAATGCCAAGTGGTATTTGTTAGTGCTGGCTATTGCTACTGCAGTCATGATGCAATACGTATATTGCGATTCAAGTGCTACGCAGTTGATTCGTATCACGATTCATAACCAGGTCAATATTTACTAAGAAAACAACAGGATAAATGAATATATTGATATTTCTAGTCCTGCTGATGTCCTACTGATTTTTCATGCATGCCCTCTGAGATCACTGAGAATGATATTGTCATAACCTTTCTCAAATGTACACCTCTCTAGCCTCTTTATTCAGAGAACAAATGAAGAGGAAGAAGACGAAAGCAGTATGCTGGAAAACTGTTTTGTCTGTGATATGTAAAGATCTATCATAATTTTCAGACAACAGTAAGTAGAAAGTTAAGTTTTAATTCTTGTAAACCATATGCCAATCGTAAGTCCACACCAGGGATTTAGACCTGGCAAGCACCTTGAGCAGGTATCAAACTTGTCTGCTCATATGTATAGAGTCTCTAAAATGGACCAGATAACATTCGGTGAGTAGATATTTATCTTGCGATTGTTTTAATATGAAATGTAAACTAGGCAGCTGTATAATGCCCTATAAATTCTCTGCGTCGATCTCTGACTTGGGTTCCACTGAATTGTAATGTTCCCCTAATCCAAAAGCATGTCTATGATAGGCTAACACTATTGGACCGTTACTATTATTGTATTCCTCTCCTAGAATTATTGGTGCACCTTCTGCCTGTATTATTTCTATCCTACATTTTAATATTTTTGAGATGGCTTGAATCTCTAAATGTCCGCCCCATGTAGAAGTGTTAGCTATAGCATCACAATAATACTCATATTCTTCTGGGGTATAACAATCCCCCGTGTCCAATTTAGTCAGAAACGGTAAAAATTCATCTACATTCCCTTTCATATGTTCGGAGGTCTGTCTTCGCAAGCTTTCATTCGTAACCTTCTCATTTTTCATTTGGTGGCTGACAGCATTGTACAGGCAATTTCCATCTGAAGCAATTTCACGTATTTTCAAATTTCTGGCAGCCAGCAGCTGTTTAATTTTCTGGGTCTCTAGGTGGCGTTTTCCTGATAGATTGTCCAACTCCTGCTGCTTGAGCATGGCATCTCTTTCTTTGTTTTTTTCACTCTTTTTATCTCTCCTTTTTTGATTTTTGGCCATTTGTTTCCTGCGCTTTGCAACTTCTGCGCTTTCCTTGGTTTCTCCAGAATTGCCAACATCTAGATTTCCCATTTTCCCCGTCAATTCCTGAACAGTACCACTCCCCTTGGACTCAGCTAATTCTGTTTGATGCCTATCCTTCAATTCATTTTCAAGTTTTGCAATTTGCTCTTGGGCATCTTTCTTTTTCTTTTTGTCATTTTTTGGAACGCTGTGTCGTATCTTTTGTATTTCGGCTAGCATATCCTTTTTCTCATTTCTGTGTTTTTCATGTAGAGATTCTTCCTCCCCAGAGGAATCACTCGCATTTTCGTCGCTCATTTTCCGAGGACAAAGTTCACTCACTTGCTCGACAGCAACACTGGAAATACAAGCATAAGACTGTATTCTTTTCGAAATCTAGACTGTCCTATTTTTTTCTACACCATCAAAATACAATTAACCTGAAAATAAAATCAATTATTTAAAGTAGGACACCTTGAAAACATTAAACAATTTGTGCAACTCGTTTATAATAATAGTAATAATAATAATATCTCTGTTATGGCTTAAAAAAAAAAGGAGCTAAATCGCTAATATTTGGGATCTAGAAATTGACACAAATGGGCCGCAACGCATATAATAATGTAATATGAATGTATTTAAACTGATTTACATTCAATAGTTTCTATTTTTACTCTAATTTCTAATCAGTTATGTTTTGCGAAATACGCCAGAAGTCTCAATCGAATTGAAGTCTCTAGTGTCTGGTTATTCTAGTCTACAACCATAGTTTTTATTGCGCATGCTCTCCAGATAAGAATATGATGTCACCGTTTGACATGACTTGTTGAATATGCTTAGCCTGGTTTTCCGAGTTCCTTGTTACAAATAGCGCTGAAACACAGTATGGTACACGATTCGTGTACCAATGGTAACATGTTTATTTTGTCTTAAATATTAGATATCAGAAGCCCATCTTTTACCGGTAAGATCACAACATCAATGTTGATTTAAATTGACAAATAATTCGCGTTTTGAATGCTGAAGATTTTGGATGATATTGAGTTAGAGACTTAGCTACTTTAATTGGCAGATGTGTCTTAAATTTGGCATACAGTCGAACTTTGAATGTCCCGAATCTAAAGACGGACTAAAGAGTAAAGTACGTTTTTTTTTCTTCGTAGTAAAATCACTTCAAGTTCAAATGGAAAACAACCTTTTACGCAGGCTTATATATCCAGCAAGCTTATTAGCAGGTGCGCCGAAGTCGCCATAATTCTATTGTGTTTATTTATCAGCAAAGGAACGCCGACAAAATTTGCAGTTTTGGGCCCATTTTTCTCTAAGGACTGATTTCGCGCTCTCCGGCTATTTATCATTCCATGGTCAATAATTTAAAGCAATCAAATTTAGGCACTTAGTCCCAGATAATGAATAAAACTCAATTGAAGTTCAGCGCTTTTGGCATCAAGACTGGAAGGATGCCCCTACTAATAGCTAGGGATAGAATACTCAATACAGCTACGAGAACGTGGCTAACAACGTGAGATGTTTTACATAGGGCTACACAAATTTAACAGAAAAACGACTCTAAAATCGAAACCACGGTGGTTCAGTGACTAAGACTAAACGCTGGTTTCTTCGTATCAGTCGGGTGCGGTATCGGGCAAGCAAGTTCAGCCCTGTCATTCGGATTAGTAGGAAACTGACGTTCCGTGTGCACACGCTGTCGTGCACGAAAAAGAACCTTAGCAGTTGAAATTCGATGAAGAATAAGCTGTCCCTGCAATATTTACGGTGTATCACCCTGCATCGATCCATATATTTACTCAATTCAACCTATATTTTGAATAAAACAACACATTTTTTCTTTCTTTTTGTATTCCCTAAACTTTACTCTTATTTTAATGCATGAAGTTCTGAAAGAGAAAACAATAAAAATGTGTTGTTTTCTTCAAAATACAAGTTGTTTTGGTGTAGGCGCAAAAAACCCCAACAAAAAACAAAAAAAACAACGAGCGTTTGGTTTGGCGCTCCCTGCTGCACAGGCGCGGATTTAAGGGGGCCCAGTCCCCTAAAATTAAAAGCTCGGTATACTACATATTATACGTCGCTCGATTCCATGGTGTCATCATTCTTCCGCTCCGCTGTGGTCTTATACTATCTCATCACTATCATGTTCACGGTCATAATTTAACCACCCAGTTAGTACCACTAGTGTGGGGGTCGTGGGGCGACAGACTGTACCAGAGGCGGATTTAAGGGGGGGGGGCGCGAGGGGCGCCCCCCCCCCTAATTTTCGACAGTGCCCTTTCTTACTGCTGAAAGTGCCCTTTCTCAGACCCAAATATGTCCGTTCCCAACCCGTTGCAGGGATCCCAAATGACTCAAACCATCGATTCAAACACACCAGTCTATCTAATTAATGCTTTCACTTTCAAACGAATTCTTGTTGTTTAGCTGACGGTGCCCTAATCCTATAGAGTGGCTATAGACAGACATCTTGTTGAATCGGCGGCGTATACCTTATGCCCATCACCGACGCACATGAGTGCAACTTGATGTAGCATTGTTTCATGTGTGGACAGTACAAAGTACAAGTTACAAGGCTTAAATAGTGAAGTGGCTAGGGAATAGATTCGTAATTTTTCCCATCATAATGCCTCGCTCGCCATGACAATTTTCGAGTCGCATGTTCAACTGGCTTTTTTGCTCTATTTCAAGGCTATTTTTCAACGATTTCTGAACGTTTACTTAGACGAAAATATCAGCCAAATAGCTCTTGGAATGGCTACAGAAGCAAGGAAATGACGAATAATTTTCCTAGGGACCCACCCCCTCCCCCCCCAAAAAAAGAAGAAAAATCGCCTCTCAGCGGCCTGCCCCGTCTCCGCGGTCAGTGCCCTCATTTTGCGGCGCCCCCCTTTTCAAAATTCCTAGATCCGCCCCTGTGTATACAAATTAAATGTTCTGTCTGTCAACTCTCACAAAACAGCAGAATTGACAGGTAGGTCTCGAGATTCTATCTCATTTCTGATTATCTCGTTCACAAGAATTTGCTTCCAAGTTCCATGAACCGCCCAGTTAGTAGTCCCATTAGAGCATGGGGTGACAGACTGTATAAAAAATAAATGTTCTGTGAACTCTCGCAAAACTAGACAGATCTCGAGATTTTATCCCAATCATCTGTACCTCTCGATCACAAGAATTTGCTCCCAGCAATGAACTCAATTGCCAGGAAATTGACTCAAAGTTTCAAAATTATCTCAGGGGAAGGCTATGTCAACTTGCATAAAACAGCTATATAGGCAATACGATCTATGTTTACATTCATTGTGGGGGTGTGATTGGCGGTGGCGCCCAAGATTTGGAACCGCCAGCCGCCCCCCCCCCCCCCCACCACACACACGCCACCATGCACCCAGCCATTGGCCGTTTCTAGATCCGCTACTGTTAATGCAACTACTAAAACCCTAAAACCCACTGGAACGTTCTGCTCCAAACCGACCCTCGATGCGACCGTCCTACCGCGATACTGAGTGAAATAGCTTGTTTGCTCAAAATCTGCAAATTTCCACAAATGATCGTTAAACAGCAGAAAAACAGACAAGGCAGTCATCATTTTTTTAAAAGAATACAGCGGATACTCAGACTTACCTATGGGGCGGTAACTCTAGTTAGAGTGGTAATTTCGGGGTTAGACCACAATTAAATACCTTTCCCCCCAATGATTTAAATATGCAATTGCTCAGGTTTGAAAAGTGGCTAAGAAAACAGATATTTACATTAAATGTCATTAAGTTCCAATCAATGTAAGTCTCATTTTTTTCACTCATAAAAATATATTCTCACCAGGAGAATTCTTTAAAAGACTGTCTGACCGAGACTCGAAGTTCCACGCATGCGCTCTTATGCAAAAACAGATGGCAGTGTTTATTGTTAAAGATGAAAATTAAAATGGCAGAAACAGTCCCGGCTGCGATAATAAGAAGGAATCGGCCTGGAATTAAAGCTCAGGTTGATAAATTATTTATACTGTTTGTATTATATCTAATGAAAACCTTACAATAAAGAAGGAGTCTACCAGCCAACCCCAAATCATAGCGAATCCGACGACCTAATAAGCATCGTTGTATTCTCGCAATCAATTCAATGCCCATAGCAATCTTAGCAAGGCCTATAGCCTATTATAGCCTAGGCTACTGCTGCAGCACTGCTTGATTTTAAATGAAAATCTAAGTCTTGCAGACAATCGTTATCCAATGTATGTATTTGATGCTGCAGATCATTATTTTTAATAATCATTGCAAAGGAAAAAGTGCACTAAAGCCAACCAGGAACTGTTGACAGGATTCTTCTCATTTTGGATCTGGTTGGATTCCCAGGGAATACCACATTTATGATTTAGTTTAGTCACTGGAGACTTTTGGCAAGCGGAAATTCCTAGTCCGTATTGCGTGTCTGTATTGATTTTTTGTATGACATCATCAATTGGTGTGTAGTTCGCATATAGCCCACACTGTATGACGCGGCACACAGACATGTACTATGTAGTTCAGCTCAAAACATAAGTTCTCGTTACACTCGTCCTATACGTTCAGGAACCAGTCTATTGACTCCTTGTCAGTAAATTAAACTGGGCAACTTCTTACTGGTAAACGGTTGCGTGTCAGTCCCTGTGAACACATGTGCAATGTAAAGGAACATTTTAGTGAGAAAATAAGACTTGCTTACCTCTCTAGAGTCACTTGCCAAAAGTCTCTAATTTCAAGGCAGGCTAAAACTTTTTCGATGTAATGAACCCTTGGGTGTGTTTTTTTTTTTCTTAAGAGGAACCAAATAGTCGTATTTCTTACATTGGAGTAGGGCATTCCTTTGGATACATTTTGATGTAGGGCTACAAAAAGCATTTTGTTATAGCTATTTTAATAGGCCAATCAGAATTTTTTTAACTGTACGTTATGATTTGTTTAATATTTTAGGATTGGGGTAACTGGCAAGATGAATCATTTGAAGAAATGGATAGCACCTTAGCTGTTCAACAGGTATTGAATAATTCCTAAATAAAACTAGTTGGAATGTGTTTGCCAATCAGTGGTTCTGTATTTCGGCTCTCGACTGTCAGATATATCTTTAACTGGTGCAAAAGTATACATATTCTGTTCTCTGATCATACATTTGGTCATGGTTGTGTAATTTTTTTTCAATTCATTCAGCAGGCTATTCGAAAAGACTTTACTAATATAGAAGAAATTTTAACACCTCCAGAGGGTCAGGATGAAGGAGTATGGAAATATGAACATCTAAGGTGAGTAGTAGAGACATATAGATAGTACAAACAATAGGTGAATATAACACAAGCAAGGCAAATATAGACAGAACAGACAGCTGACGAATGTAACATTATAGGGTACAGTGGGTGTACTGTATATGCCATTCTAATGCTTATGTTGAGCTGGTTTAAAACTGCTTGAGAATGTTCAGTTAACTTACAGTACAGTCAATGTGTATTCAAAATAAATACTCCAACCACAGTGTTTTTTGTTAATAATAATAATATTCACAGCGAAAGCAACTGTTAAAAATATGCTGTAGGTTAGTCCCGAAATGACCTAGCTAGTGAACCCGAAACCCCATTTCAGTCTCCCTTGTTCTTTTATGGTCATCAGATACCAGTCTCTCCTTGGGTTGTTAATTTGATATTTGATTTTGTTCACTTACTTTTCAATTTTTGAAAAAAAGACTGGTTACACTGGTTTACTGTTTTATTTTTTAGACAATTTTGTATGGAATTAAATGGTTTAGCAGTTAGATTACAGGTCAGTATTTCCATTAATTCACATTAAATGAAAAAAAAAGAGAAGCTTTTCCCTGTTCATACTATAGGCTACACGAGTTTCGATATTTTAATATTGTAGTACCGGGTAATTTAGTAGCAGTAATTCCAGAAATAATCAAATTAGTACGTACTACTTCCCTCCCCCATGTCCTCATTCTCTCTAGTGATAGTATTATTCGGGGGTCTAGGTTCACATCCCAAAATTGGCTGAGATGAATTTTCAGGATTTTTCATCCTCAGTTGTCTGTTCTCTCAGTTGTTCATACTAAACTTAGGCTGTCTGTCTACAGTTAGTTCACTTTAGAACAGACACTGAGCTAGTTGATCGACATTTTAAGTCCTAAATCGATAATTTTAGTTGAAATCACTAAGTATACTTCTCAAATTTTTTTAAGTATTTATTCTGCTTCCATTTAATAAAATTTAAAACGTTTATTTAGTCTTTGAATTTTTGAATATGACAGCCATTTATGTCAGAGATCTATTCTTGAAGTATGAAGTAGATGAATTTTTGTATGCAGAATGTCAGTTGTTAGGGGGTGACAAATTGTTTACATATTGTGATTTTTTGTCTTCTTAAACTTTTAGTGTTCTGAATGTAACCCTGAAACATGTACACAAATGACAGCTACAGAACAATGGATATTCCTTTGTGCTGCTCACAAGACACCTAAAGAGGTAAATATTTATAATTCAAGATGTTTATTGGCCTTTTGGTACATTGCTTCTTTAGTTCCCTAACACAATTATTATATTTTATTGAATGAGGCCCACCGTATTGTCATAGAAATTTGTCTTTCATATAAGACGAAACTGAGTCATGTTTTTTTCTTTGAGGTTATTTCCTTCACCAACAGTTGCTTATGTATTATTAATTTCTATATGATCTTTATGTTTCAGTGTCCAGCTATAGATTATACACGTCATACGTTAGATGGAGCTGCATGTTTATTAAACAGTAATAAATATTTCCCTAGCAGGTAGGTTCACTAAGAGTTTTAAATACTATGATTGTTCTCAACAGCTTTATTACCGACATTATGTATGATAATATGGTATAGTCAGCTGGGTTTTATTTTATGTTATATTGTGAGAAAAGGTGTATTATTTTACGTTGACATAATAAAAAAAATTAGGGGTAGGGTTCAGGTGCAGTACCCACCTCACCCTCATCCCCAAGAAGTTTTTTTCTGAAGGCTGGTTATATTAAATGGTGCAATTTGTCGTATCTTGTATTACTGATTTTGTAGCCATCCCGTTCATATTACAAGTTGTTTCTAAGGAAAATACCGGTAGTCTCTTTTCATTAGCTTGGAATGTTGTGTGTCCTAATTGAAATGTTTACGTATAATTATACTGATATTATGTGTATGTTTTCAGAGTTAGTATAAAAGAATCATCAGTAGCTAAATTAGGATCTGTATGTCGACGAGTATATAGGATTTTCTCACATGCTTATTTCCACCATAGAGCTTTATTTGATGAATATGAGGTAAATAATTTTATCATTGGTTCCTTTGGAATTGATCAGGTGCTTGAAAATCTATAAGAAAAATAGAGAATACACTTCACTCAACCCCAATATTAACCCTGTATAAATCAAACATAGTAATCCTTAATTTATAACAATGGCAAGGTGTAACTTGTTTAGCCTATGATACTGATTATAGAGATGACAGTGTTTCTCTCAGGTTCTTGGTGACGAATAATACTCTTTTCAATCAACAAGCCTATTTTAGACTACACCTTGCCTTACATTTGAGGAAAATAATCAAACGACAATGCTTTATCATATGTGACGAGCTTTGTCCAAAAGAGGCACTATGGTGGATCTTCCTTATTTGAGATGCCACAATTTTAAGTTTCCAGCATACTAGTCTTAAAAAATGACTATATATATTTAATTTGTCAAAGCTCATAGCAATCATTTAACAGAAATGCATTAAATTTGTTGTTTTGGGTAGCTATGAAGTATTGCTTTGTTTGTTTCAGTAATTTTAAATAACTTTTTTCTCAAATTGATATTACGGTTTAAAACATATTCAATGCTAAATATCTCAGACATTTTTTGAGATTGTCATTCCAATTTAAGGGTCTGTAAATACAGAATTTAATTGATGTATATTTATGTTATGATTTATTTACCGGTACCCATGTGTCTCGTTTAATCAAAGTTTACGTCCTGGAGGTTTCCCGGAGTGCACATATATCATTTAGAGATCATTAAGAAACATTGTACACACACCAGCCTATTCTTGTAGTTGTGCCTTTTGCTAATTAGAATTTTTGTCTGTTTATTTCAGAATGAAACTTATTTATGTAAAAGATTTACATCTTTTGTAACCAAGTACAATCTAATGTCTAAAGATAACTTGATAGTGCCAATATTAGAGGACCAACAATCTATAGAAGGCGAGAGTGAAGCTTGAGAGAAAAACAGAACAATTTGTATTTTAAGAATATGAAAGCAAGGAACAGTTAGATATATAAGGTTCCCCTGTTTAACATAGCCTGTATTCGAAACTAATGTTAGCATGACAGAGCAGATATATTCCCAGTCGACCAATAGCAACAATGGAATATGATCACAAAATGGCAGTAACAGACAATTTGTTCTTTGTTGTTATAAATGAAGAGAACAATGTTCTGGATGATCTTAACTACAATTTTTGGTTCCAGAACATCCAGGTTACTTAGAACATAGTTTCGAATATGGCCATAGCATACAGTACGGCCATGTTCAGCATTTCTCTTGACCACAGTGGTCATCAGCGAATTTTGGCGGATAGACCTTTCTTGCTTCGATATGCGTATTTATTGCCGAGCTTCCGGTGATGATCTGGTGATCATGCCTAGAATATGTGGTGTGTAGTGTAGAACGTGGCCATACTCTTCAAATTTTAATCCAACAGATTAGAAAGAAACAACTAATAAAGTCTTACATGTATATCCCTTTATTGTTCTAATTATAATATTATTTGTATTATTATTTATAAATGTAGTCTTATTATTTATGTACTCATTAATTCTGTGCAATCTTGCAACGACAAAAGTTTGAGTGTTTAAATCAAAATATTTGTGCTAGACCCCCTAGACTTTTCAATCCTTCATTTTAAAAGATTATATTTTTTCATCACATTTCAACAATGATGGTTTTAAAACATTTGATCTCAAGTTACGGGTCGGAGGGCTAATTTACTTTGATTCAATTCTTCATCCCAATTCAGTCCTCTCAATCTCCTGAACAGTGAATATGGAGTAAACACAAGTTGAATAAGAAAATCATTACAATTAAGAAACATACTTCTTATTTGATTAAGACACAATTCTACTCCTGCCTCATCTGTTATCAGGACAGACAGACTTTGAGTATATCTTAATTGCAGATCTCTTGAGCATCTCGATATCATAAAATAAATTATTTTGTCTTAATAATGGCCTTACACACAATATCCATCTTGATAATATCCATCTTGATAATATCATGGTGTTATGATATACATCTGATAACTTGATTGTATTATTGCATTAGTCACCTTTTTTTATATTACAGAAGTAACCTGATGATCAACTTCTTAACCCTTTAGCACTTGGACCGCCCCTCCCCATACTGCCTCAAATCATGCGAGTCACAAGAATATCTGTGGACTATTTACTAGTTCTGTGACTCAGGCGGTTTGAGGTGGGTTTAGGTAGCAGTAGTTTTGAAAATGAGCCACAAAACTCAAGGTATTCATTATTTATATGTGTCCAGTAATAAAGGGTTAATGACACACAAAGCTCAATAATTGAATGCACCACGTTACAGTTATCAGTAGAAATCTGTGCATATCTCTCAGATCTATAGCTACTGACCCAATATCTATATATCTGTGTATACAGACATGTTAGTATATTGACCCAATCTAGAATCTGTGAAACATATACTTTTGACCCAATGTATAACTAATGTAGTGATGATATCAGAGGTATGTCATAATGACTTGATATTATGGAGATATTCAAAATCATGAACTATAGTATAAAGATTTTTTAAAAATGATATACTCGACTTACATTAAATGAATACATGTATTTGCAATTAACTATTGCAGATTACTAGTTTTGTTATTAATAAAAACAAACATCCCCATACATTGTTGTTATTTCTTTCAACATTTAATCTAGCTTTATGGCTGAATGACAATTGGGTCAATAAAATGAAACTCAACTGTGTTTGAATTTAAATCCTGTATTGGAGACCTTTGAATTGACATGTGACATTTTTAAACAGGACCGAGATATTTAGATTTGAAGTTGATATACACAATTATATTATTATTAATAATAATTCAGAAAAAAAGCAATTGAAAATTACTAACAGAAAGAATTCAAGAAAACAATACTCAATGGCGACCCAAACCAACTAATTTTTGCAATTCTGAGAAGATTCCACCTGTGAGCTTTAGGGAAATAAAATTAAAGTCACTTATGAAAACAAATGACTGTCAAAAGAGTGGCTTGTGGACCGGGTCCATGGTGGATTCTTTCTATTTTAACCATAGAATTGGCAGATGGTTATGGGTAACTATGGCATATAATCTAAAACATGCAACACAACTGCCCAACAAAAAAAACAAATGACTGTCAAAAGAGTGGCTTCGTGGACTGGGTCCATGGTGGATTCTTTCTATTTATGGGGTAACTATGGCATATAATCTTAAACATGCAACACAACTGCCCAACAAAAACTAAGGATGGAAATGGTTTCAACTTCAGCCATTTTGAGACTGAATACATTTTCAATGACAGTCCCGCAGAACAGACAAAATGTGCTATGGGGAAGCTCATTTTGAATTCCAACTGTCAAGGGTTCTTTTACGTGCACACGGGACCTTATTTTTATGTAGGATCCGAAGCACTGACAAATAGAAATCCTGAGGATCAGGGGATCGAACCCCCCTGGTTAGTGTGAGCCAGCACCCTACTCACAAATCCTTCATGGCTCGCCACAGGACACTGACAACCCAAAATGTCAAGGGCAAAAAAAATAAAAAATTATAATGCACTAAGTTCAAAAGGAAAACCAAACGGTCAGCTGCATGAATCTTAACAAATGGTATCAGATGTTCCAGGAAAAAAGAGTATTTCATCCCTACCCCTTTCCTTGAATTTTATACCGCCAAGAAATTAAAATGTAGTTTAATGTGAGTGAACTAGCTAATTTTCGAACTTTAGCTATCATTTATTGATTGTAGTTATTCCCCTTGGCTTTATCGATTCTTGAGCAACCATCGGTAAAATTAAAAGAAGTGATTAGATGGGGTGCAACGACCCGTCCACTCGATACAAACTAGTTCATTTCGGGACTAACACATGGTTCAATATTATTTCAATAATTCGCTTGCGCGTTGTCTTTAGCAGAGGGAGGAAACTGGGGCCAGAGAAAACCTACAAGCTGGAAAAAAAAAACAAGAGAGAAAAACTAAAGTTATTGGCCTATTTGTACGACTCTTATTGAAAGCTAAAATTTTCAGATTTATTTTAAATTTAGCATAACATTATACATAATATGTGTTTTTATCCGAACTGCGAAGATCCCCTAAAGTACTGTTATTTTTTTTTTTATAAACATATTTTATTCACTATAAATGAATCGGAAATTGGGGAACAGGTAAAATGCCTATGCCAGACCCCTATCCCTTTTTACAATACAAATTATATACTAATAATGAAAAGCAGTATACAATATATACAACCCTTACTTAGTACTGTTATTTAACCTATTATATAGTGAAGTCTGTGTCACTACAGGCCCGGGACTGTACAGCGCAGTGGACGCTCACGGCTATCCCCCGGCCGGATCCATTCACTTGATTTGAATTGTTCGTTTGTTTGTGATTTCGGCGTATAGTGTCTTGTCTATTTGTCTTTGGGTAAATTATTTGTGGTGCACCCCCCCTGCACTTAATATTAAACTAAGGTAAGGCTTATCACAAAACAATCGTGCATCGAAACCGAATAATCTTTTTTATCTGAAAACTGGGCTCCTCAAAAGTAGATTATTAGAGCGTCGTCATCTCAACAATAAAACCAAAAAATCGGAAGACCTATGTACATTATATTATGTAATTTCGATTTTAAGCTAAGGCATTTAAGAAAAGAAAAATTATTTTCTAAAACAACCGACGTCAAATAATTATTGAACGTAATACAATAGAATGACGTCATTACAATCAGATTTACCGTGTATATCGCTACCGGAAAGTCGCGCATCGTTTTTCTGCAAGAAATATTACAATTTTGAAACGAATTTCATCAATTTTACCTTAAATTGCCCCTAACTGTTTATATAAGGTAAGTGACAACAATATTCTGTTATTTTGTGTAAAAGTTGTTCGATTTTATTCAGATTTGAACAAATGTTGTTCAAAATAGATGAATCAGATTTATGATAACGTGTTATAACTTGATTAAAACTACATGCACATGGATTTAAAACAAATAATACAGTAATAATTCAAATTTAAATTCAGAAAACTGTTGTTTAAGAATAGTACGGTACAATTTACATGTTGATTTTTTAAGTTTTAAGAAGAGATACCCCTTTATAAAGATGGGAACAAATAGATGACGTCATTGTCATTTCTTTAAAAACAAAATAACCTTAATAATATGCAAATTAATGTATTTTGATTTTATTAAATGTTTAACAATATGACATGTATTTTATTCTAGACATAAAATGACAGATACTAAAGTATTCAAAGATGAACCCAAGAAAGCAAAACCTAGCAAAACTAAATCAAAAGGTTTGTAAGATATAATTTTGGACCTAGAAATTGACACAGATGGGTCACAACGCATAATAATGTAATATGAATGTATATAAACTGATTTACATTCAATCGTTTCCGTTTTTAGCCTAATTTCAAATCTGTTATGTTCGGCGAAATACGCCCGAAGTCTCAATCAATGGCAATCTCTAGCGTCTGGTTATTCCAGTCTACACCGATAGTATTTATTACCCATGCTCTCCAGATAAGAATATGACATCACAATTTGACATGACTTGTGGAATATGTCTAGCCTCGTTCTTCGAGTTCCGTGTTACAAATGGCGCTAAAGACGCATTATGGTACACGATTCGTGTATCAATGGTAAAATGTTTATTTTGTCTTAAATATTGGATATCAGAAGCTTATCTTTTCCCGGTAAGATCACAACATCAATGTTGATTTAAATTGACCAATAATTCGTGTTTTCAATGTCGAAGACTTTGGATGATATGGAGTTAGAGACTTAGCTACTTTAAGACATTGTTATAATTTTATACGTTGACCTTTCGGAGATTTAAAATTGTTATATTTTTATATATTGACCTTTCGAAGAGAAATTATTTTATAGGTTATGTCTGATCCTAAATCCTTTTCCTATCTTTGTATAAACGAAAAAAAAGCTTTAAGATATCAAGTCCTCGAGGCTAGAAGCCAAAGTTTAGTAATGTTCCAACGAATTTGATTTTCGCGTGCGTAAATCTTATATGAGCTGTGTGTAACCAGCTGGGCCTGATTAAGACCCACGGATACCCTAAGCACCTATGGCGACCAGGCCGTGTACTATATTATTTAACATCTTGTCTCAATATCTCCGATTTATATTCCAAGCCCGGTTAGGTGTGTGTTTAGTGGTTCTAGTCGTTCGGGTGGGAACAAAGCCCACACCTTCAAAGTCGTCTGAACGGTCCTGTGCTTTCATTTGTCCCAAAATCACTCTGATACTGTTTAAAATAACTCCCGGGACAAGGTAATTATTAGTTTCAAAATCACGCAAGTAAATTATCGATGAGACGTGGAAACCTTATTCCACCCCGTCTCCTATTTAGCAGATTAACTACATGCTAAAATGAAATTGAAATACACAAATAGGTACTCCTAAAATATTGACAAATATCTATTGTTTTTAATTTTCAGGGTCTCATCGTTATATTCGATTTAAATTAGACAATTTGGACTTCAGCTTGCAACTAGGAGACATGGATGACTTCAGAATACCACCTTTGTTCTTTAGTATCCTAGATGACTCCAATACTCCTATTAGTTGCTGGAATAATAGACAAGCAACATACAACGTCTTGAAAAAAGTTCGGAATGTTAATAGGAATTTACCTCAGAATATGAAAAATGAGACTGGTGATGGAGACGGTAAAACCATTCCTGGAGATTCTACCACGAAGTTGATTGGTGGAGAGTTTGTTACAGATGCCATTCCAGATAGTGATAACTCGTCTGCTGATGGAACCGTTCACAGAAACTTGAATAAGGAAAGAATAATTTCCGGTACAATTCCAATTCCTATCAAGAGAACTGCTAACAGAGCCATTGATAAAGACGAACAAATTATCGCTGAGGGTCAAATTACATCAAATTTAAGTGCGACCATGCCTGAGATTGCAACCGACAGAAGTCTGTGGATACCAATTCACGAAGAACTGATGTCCAGAAACTGCAGAACGACCAAAGCAAGAGAAGAAGCCTCACTTCTCGAAAGTTTGAATACAACTGTTATAGACGAAACTGTTGCTGTAGGTGTGAAGTCATCGGCTAATGGTTCATCTAAGCCTCAAGCAGATCTAACAGAAAAAATAATGTTACAAATTCTACAAATAGTTGTAACAGACAGACATTTATACAAAACTTTGAAGAATACGCTACTCAGCGAGGAACAAGAAACTGATCTGACCAAACTTCAACAACAAAACGATCTTCTCTTCAGACGTAACGCCATTTTGATCCAGTCCACACGACAATACGCAAGAATTTTCAGACATCGTACTACATCCAGTTTTGATGTAAATGATGCTTTGATAGAATCTAAAAAACTACATGATAAAACCGAGAACAGTTTGACAGAAGTCGATGGCCATGAAACAACTGGGACCAAGAAAGGGCAGAATTTTCTCAAAGTGAGTTTTTATTTCTAAAAGTAGTGCTAAATTGATATTTAATATTTTGATGTTTTGTTAATAGGATTATTTTTAAATAGACAGTCTTAACCTTGGCTGATTAGATATAGAAAATAGTAATAAAGTCTGCAGATAGCAGTTCACATTAATTTTGCCACGTTAATCGTGCATATCCCCCTTTATTTTAT